TCAACCTTCAGCACCCTCAGCCTCGTCAGGGACAGACTGAGCGCTTCAAGGCCGCCCTCGAGTCCCAAGCCCTGGGCTATGACACTCCCATGTCCCCCAAGTCGGCCGACTGGGCTGGCTCCGCCACGAGCCTCAACCGCTTCCCTCGCAACCCCAACCGGGACAGCTACGGTTCAGCCACCCAGGAATACCAACAAATGTGGTCGCAGTCCCCCGCTGCCCAGAATATGACTGCCACCTCTGGCGGTCCCCCTCGCCCCCCCAAGGAGCCCCTTAACGACGTCATCCCCAACAGCCCCGGCGGTGGTGGCCTGGTCCGCGGTGGCACCCCCATCCAGAACAAGAGGGTCAGCAAGCTCCAAAAGGGGAGCCCCCTCCCTCACCACAGCGTTGAGAGCGGGTACGGCACCATGACGCATGGCGTGCCTACTGCCAGCTACATCAGCGAGGGCCAGCGCAGCCCCAAGCCCGAGAACAGGAACTTGACTGGTGCGCAGACGCAGGTTGGCAGACGGCCGTCTGGGCCGAGACCGATGACGCCTACTGGGCGGAGCGGGGGTGTCGCTAGCCCGTTGGGGAGTGATTTTGAGGATGACGAGAGACAGCAGGGGAGCCAGCAGAGGAGCAGGAAGAGAGGTATGTAATGACTGCAGATGGACGAAAAAGTTGGATGGGAGCTGACAGGATATTAGATACCTTTGGGACAATGAACTCGCAGGATACGGATACATTTTAAGCTGTTAAAAACAAAGATAATAAAGACGAGGGGATGGAAGAGGAGACAGGACAGGCTTCTGTCTTGGTGTCGTTGATGTGATGTTTTGATTATGGATGTTTTTTTGTTGGGATTGTGTTTGGGGATACCATATCTGTTTATCTTGTGTTGCGAATGGGTTGGAAGGGATGGAAACCGGATGGGACTTTTCTCGAGTTTTTGTGTGTAGATGTGTATGTTTTTTGAAGTTGGGAGAGCCACATGGCACATGATTGGATTATTTGCTGTCTGTTGGAATCTGGTTTTTCATTTTATCATTGCGATTATACCCTTGCAAACTGCGAGCAAGCGAGCAAAAAAAAGATGGCGATGTGTCTCTCTCTACGTGTGTGTTTGTTATGAAAGAGAATTTGGGGAGAAGAGCAATCTTTTGGGCTATGGGGAGGAAAGGAAAAGGGGAGGGGTCTGGAAGGTTGGCTGCTACGATACACTTGACCCCGTTGCGAAGTGTTGGGTTTTACTTGACCATGTCCATAGGTATCTGAACAAAAGAATTGAGAGGTAGTAACCGTTGAATTGACAAATTTCCCCACCAAGTGGTGTCAACCCTTTCATGTGTAACTACTCCCTTCCTATTTGTGCCTCATAACACGTGCAAAACCGACCCTCCCATGTCCCAAACGCCCGCTCATGACACCCAATCCCATCCCATCCGTGACGATGCGTTTTATACCTCTCAGGAAAGACACCGCAAGTATAAGCAACGATACAAGCAATAGAAACAGCAAACCCGGCTCCCCACTCTAACCGATGACCAACCCCGGTTCGTCTCAAATCATGAAAAATAACAAAAACTAAGCAACCCTCGGCCTCTTGGCCTCTGGTCCCGGAAACCCCCCATTCGCCTGCTGCACAATCGGCGCGTTCTTATTCCCATCCGCCAACGGCTCCCTCGTGCCATTCTGCTGTTGCCCAATGCCATTCCCGGCATCAGGGGCAGGTCTCTTGATCGTAGGTGGCCGGTACTGGTTCCTGTTCGCTAGCGGGCTACCCGGTCCTGAACCAGGTACCCCGATCCGTCTTGTAGAGTCTAACTGAGGATTCGTAACTCCGGCGATGCTTGGACGTTGATATGGGACAACACCCGTGCCTCCTGGTCGTGGTACAGGGCCGCTAGCTGGTTTGGTTTCGGTCGTCTTGGTTGGGGGAACATGCTGCCCGCTTCTTGACAGGGGCTTGGATGTGCTGTGGTCGATTCCGGGGGTCTTGCGAATCGAAGGGCTTTCGGCACGGGGGTTGAAGCCCATTCCTGCCTTGAGGGGAGTAACCTGGCCAGCGACGAGGGCGTCTTCCGGTATGTCTTTCACTGCCCGAGCCGAGAAGAAACCGACCTCCGCTGGGGCCACGGCTGGAGCGGCGTTGTTGTTGTTGTTGTTGTTGTTGTTGCCGTTGGCAGTGTTGTTGTTCTGACCGTTGGTCTGGGGAGCACCATTTTGGGCCACAGGAGGTCGAGGTGGTTGGTTGTAGTTGTTGTTCTGTTGGATGGAAGGCCGGTTCTGGTTGAACTGGTTCCCGGAGGTGAACTGCCCTGTCGATGGCCGTGGACCATTATTGTTGTTGCTGTTCATCTGGGTACCCGCTCCAACAAAGGCGTTTGTCCGTGACATCGGATTAGGGGTCTGCGGTTGCTGTTGAGGCCGAGAGAACTGACTGGTGCCAGCAGATCCAGTTCTCGCAAGGGGCCTCGCTGCTGGAGGTTGCATCTGATTCCCGGTGCTGCCATTACTTACTGACTTATCGCTGACACTAACAGTACTTGTATCGGATGCTGAGTTGGTGATAAGAACCTCGTCTGGGTGACCCTCTTCACTAATCATAAAGTCGGCCTCATCGAGCTCACCAAGAAAATCCTCAAACGACTCGGCGGAAACCGCTAGTTCATGTCAGCACAGATCAACAGTAGCTTTTGAGACGAGATAGCTACTAACAAGATGGAATCACCGGTGCGGCGGCCGGAGCGGGAGCTGGGGCTGCTGCGGGTGCCGGCGCCGGTGCGGCAGGCTGAGGTTGTGGAGGAGCAGCAACTTGTGCGGCAACCGGCCCAGTCGTCGACTTCACAAAGTCCGGGTGTCTATGTAAGTTGTCTTGGTTGAGTTTTGTCGGGGCCGCCCTTATACTCCCGATTTTCTTCAGGTACTCCTTGTCGTAGATGCAGTTCCCCAACACATTGCCAAAGTGCCTCAACGCCCGCTTGAGCGCATCAGTCGTCCCCTCCTTCTTTGCCTTCTCAAACGCAGCCGCCTTTCCTCTGCAGTTCTCGATGTGCCCATATCCCAAGTCCTCATGGTAGGTCCCATCGCGGAGCGTCACTCGTACAATGACCGAAAGCCCGAGACTTACTTTCAAGGTCTTGGGATCCTCGTCGACAAAGTCGATCTGAAAGTTCTGAATGCTGGACGACCACCCATTGAAGCCAAAGATTTCGTTGGCGAGGGAAATGACCTTTTCGGCGGTGATGTAGTGGAGCTTTGAACCGCCGGGGCCTGCGCGGACGGAGAGGTACTCGGGACCCAGTTGCTTGTCGAGCCGGCTTTGGAGAGTAGCTATTTGCTGAGCTGTAAACTCATTGATCACGGGCTTCTGGTCCTCGAAAGGGTTGACAATGCTCGTGTGCTGGTCGCCGGGACTGAGAGTACAAGTTGTTAGTCAATCTTGGCCGTCAAGGTGCAGGTCATTCAGACGCGTTATGCGGATCAAGAATATCAACATACGCAGGCATTTTGGCTGAGTCGAGGAAATCTCCTATCGCATGAACTGGATATTGGGGAGTTCGATGCGAAGAAGGATTTTGTTCCTGAGAAGGACCAATTTGTGTGCTCGGCGGTGGTGGGAATTGGCGGAACCTTTTGGCGTCTTCCAGGCGGCGCGCAGGCAACAGACGCGTGCTTGCACTGTATTCCCATGGGGAATGGTGAGGGTGGGTCCAGGCAGCCTTGTGGAGCATTCGCGTAGTCTACAGGCTGTCACGTGGGGCTCACCACCACTGCCTGGCTGGTGCCCCTCATGAACAACCCCCGAGGTACTGATATCTCAGACCTTGTTCACTGCAAGCAATGGGAAGATAAGCCACAGAAATTAGTTGGGATGGGGCGGCTTACTATCTTTCAGAACCTGTTTGACACTTTCAAACAAAGCAGTTGGTGACTTTCTATTGACAACATGATGGTTTACATCTTGTTTCAACACCCACAAGCTCTGAACCGGGTAAAGACCCTCCATAGCATAGCCAGTAACCTTCTATCCGTTGATCCCCCCAATACCCCAACAACTGAAACGCACAGCCAGCCAAGTTTTGAGTTATTTTCCATCCTCTGTTTCTCTCTCCATCCGTAGATCAGGAGTCGTGTTTCAAACTCCCCAAACCAACCGTCTGAACCGTCATATCCCCATAAGGAATCACTATATTGATCACCACAACTCACTAAACGAAACTAAATGGATATGTTCTATTTAGATATATATATGTAAAGCAAGACTCCAGACCATCCCTTCTTGGTCGGTCAGCATGCCGACCACCACTCATGTCCACCATGACCAGTCCAACACAGAGAGAGACCAAACCAGACATTGAAGGGAAAACAAATCCACATCAACAGATCCACCGCCATGAAATTGAAGCAGCCTGAAGAAAAGTACTTCTGCATACACCACAGCCCACAATCACCAGAAACAAGGGGCTGCAAAGACAACAAAGCAACATCAGTTTTTGTACAAAGTTTCTGAGCTGCTTCCCATCCACCCATTGTACCCACGCCACGGTACATACCCTCCCCTCAAACAATAACTCCAAGCCAAAGACACCGAAAGACATAAGAAGGATACTTAAATACAAAAGAAAAGAACTCAACAAGCAGGTTTCCCATGGCTCAAAGCCATGAATAAACCCTTATCGGTCCTGCTTGCGTCCTGCCCTGTACATGGTGATGAGTAAGGAAAAGGAAGAATCTTGTTGTCTGGATATCGATAATAAAGGAGTACAACAGCAAAACGCCGAGTGTGTGTGCGTAAACCAACAAAAGAAAAAGAAAAAGAATAAAAAAGCCAGAACCCCTCGCCCCATGACCAGCACCCCAAAGTCTATGCCCTTGTCGCCCCTGAATCCTTCATTTCCCGAGAGTGGAAATAGCTAGTAAAGAAAATTGTCGCAAAGGCTTTTCGTCACAAAGATTTACGCCCCTTCTTTAAATGTAAGAACCGGTGAAGTAGCAACCTAGATTGTTGCTATTTACCAAGGTCCAACACGAACGGGTGAACCGTATGCACCGTTAATAAGCTGGTTCAAGATCGAATTAGGGTCCCTCCCGGACGGAGCCGGTGTGTCGGTAATCGGGTTCTGTCCTTGCCATCCGACTTCCACCGCCAAGGCGTTGATGGCCTGTCCCATTTTGCCTCCTGACTGTTGATTGTGCTTTACTAGCCTCTGGTCCCAGCCTCCGGTATGAACGATAAAACCTCCGCCCCTTTTTGAAGCTTCCGTGATGACAAGTGCCCATGCCGCCGAAATCTCATCGTACGCAGCATCCTTGTGGTGGCGATGTGATTGGTTTTCCCAGTCGGGGAGTTCGTGAATGACTTTGGTGACACCGTCCAAAAACTGCAATGATATGTTTGTCTGCTGCTCCAACGGCGGGAGGAATTGTGACGTGAAATCGGAAATGGCATCGAGGAGGGCGCCCAGCTGTTGCTTCACTCGGAAATAGGCATAGTCGGAGTTCGTATGGCCAAGTGGAGTTGCATCGTGTAGCTTCTCCTGGTACCCGGCCAAGATATCGAGCGCACAGGCGACGGTCGGTCGTGGCGCGCTAGTGACCACCTCGTGCCCAATATCGGGGTGTCGTTCGCAGATGGTTTGGAGGACTGTTCGGAGCTGGTCGTTGGTGAGAGTTTCGAGAAGACGGGGAAGTGACAGCGGGCGGGCGGCTACGTCGTCGTTGGCTTGTCGGATCTTTTTTGACGGCCTGACAATCGGTCTGGATGGAAGGGCTGGCGAGCTCAGGGGCGAGACCGACATGTCGTCGTTATCGTCGTCGGCCTTCCTCTTTCTGGATGCCATGTTGTTATATGGTGACACTGAGAAAGGGTCAGTAAATTGGACCTGGGGACCAGTTGCTGGGCTGCGGAAGATCCGCTTGCGTGTGTGCATCATCATGGACGGCGGGCTCAAAGCAGGGAGGGGAGGACTCAAACGTACTGGATCGAGAGGGCGAGATCCGGGTGGTTTCGTGCTGATGAGGGAAAATCGGTGGTTGCGGTGACAACACAGCGTTCATTGTGCGGTTGCGGGTGCAGCAAAGCAGGTCCCTCTGCAGCTTAGCGACGTCGGGTTTGTGGACTGCGAGGGTTTGTCTGGTTGGGTTTGGTCGACAGCACAGCAGAGCGGACGACTCGCCGATTGCCAGATGTCAGATGGTGAATTGGAGGAAGATGAGAGGCGGCGGTCTGTGTGGAGTGGGATGGGAAAATTGAGGGAGGTGCGGCGGAGAGTGACCAGAGAGCATCCAGGCGACCCCGGCTCGCAGGCTTGGGTCGGACCAGTCAGGAAGTGAAGTGTGAGGTGGTCAAAGGAAGTTTAGGGGAGCAAGGGCTGCGCCGGAGTGGAGAGCCGACGAGGAATTTGCCCGCTGCTGGTTTGCTGGCGATGGGCCTGTGCTAGCCCAAAGAGGCAGTCTCCTGCCTTGCACACATATGCAGTCTTTTCATGGAACAGCGCACGCAGTGTTTGTTGCATCTGCGTCTTTCTTTAGCCAGAGGAACAAAAACGGTCTAACGTGAAAAGGTTCCTGTTGTTGTTGTTGCATTTGTTCTCTGCCAAGCTACCCCCATTAATAACACGTGAGTTTTAATGGGATCTTTACCTTAGCAACGGATCGGGTACCAATGGATCCACCAGCTTTGGATCCAGCTTGCTTGTTGCCCGTCACAGACGGCTGGAAGAACTGACTTCAGTCCCACGAGACCAGTTTCCAGATCAAGATCCATGGGCTCTACATGAAGGCCATAAGAAGAAGATTGGCAACCGCCCCTTACATTCTTCGGAAGCTTCAGGAGGTGCATGTTTGGGAGCGGCGCAAAACACCCTCCCCCATGACCGCCTGATGACGAATACCACATCCCTATATTATCGCACACCTCAGGTACCTACCCGACATGTTTGTTACCTGACAATGCGTGTGGCCGCGGGACAACCTCGGTGTTTGAGGGTCATCCAATGGTTGTGTACTCCATCGGCGCAAATGTGCATGTATTAAGATCCAGTCTTGTTGTGTTGCTGTGTCAAACTCGTGATTCTATAACCCCTAGTGCTCTATTCTATACGAGTGATATACTGTAGCTTCCTCGAGGGCTTACCGTACAACCAAACCGACTGGTTACACGAGACAAATTAGCTCAGCGGCCGTCGTTCGTGTGTACCTGGCCGGTGCCGTCATTGAAGCTGAACTGCGATCTAGCGGGGTGTGGAGCAGTCGGTGGAAGTGCGGCTACCTGCCGAGCCCCCCGCAATCGACGGATGCTTGTTTCCTTATCGCTTATCGCTCAAGTAAAATTTCCAACACTGCCCAAAAATTCCCATCTTGCCTGCTTGCGCACTGGAGAACATCACCGGTCCTAACCTCGACCATCCCAGACAACCCATTTTCTCCCACTGCCACCATTACCACCACAATAACAATGGCATCCGATTCATCCTCTCCACCCTCCTCTCCCGAGGTCAAGAAAGACAAGACCTCCTCCAAAAAGCGCAAGACCGACCTCACCGAAATCGAAGTGGACGTCAACCTCCCCGAACCCCCCTCCAAAAAGGCCAAACGTCTCCTCAAAAAGGGCAAATCCCTTCCGGCAAAGCCCAAATTTGACGACGAGGGCTCCAACTCTGACTCCGACACCCCCAACACCGATAAGACCAAAAAGGAAAAGAAAGAACGCTCCCCCTACGGCATCTGGATTGGCAACCTCCGCTTCACAGTCACAAAGCCAGAACTCAAACAGTGGTTCGTCGACAACTCGGGCGGCACCATCACTTTGGACGACATCACCCGCGTCCACCTCCCCACCGCCAAACCCACCTCGGCCCCCGGCGCCGGTCCGAAAAACCCCACCGAAAACCGCGGCTTTGCCTACGTCGATTTCGCCACCTTTGAAGCCAACGTCGCGGCCATTGCCCTCTCAGAAACGGAATGGTACCGCCGCAAAGTCCTCATCAAAGACGCCAAGTCCTTCGAGGGCCGTCCAGAAAAGAAGGAAGAGCCCGCGCCTGTTGACCTCACCAATGGGGCTAAGTCATCTACCGCTGCTACCACCGCCACTCCAGCGAGCACATCAACCAAGGTCTTTGTGGGGAATCTATCCTTCCAGGTAACGGAGGATGATCTGAGGGAACACTTCCACAAGTGTGGGCCGATCAGATGGGTGAAGGTGGCTACGTTTGAGGATACGGGCAAGTGCAAGGGGTACGGGTGGGTGAATTTCGAGACTACGGACGCGGCGCAGTGGGCGGTAAAGGGGTTTGTCAAGGTCAAGGAGACGGTCGACACGGTGGAGGATTTTATGGATGTGGATGAGAAGGAGGAGGACAAGGCCGACGACGGCACGGAGAAGCAAGCGGAGGAAAAGGATGGCAATGATGATGAGGAGAAAGAGGAGAAGCCAAAAAAGAAGGCTGTGCCAAAAGAGGAGCCCAGAGTCAAGACGAGGAAATGGTGGGTTAATCAGCTGTTGGGCAGGACGCTCAAGATTGAGCTGGCGGAGGACGACCAGACGAGATACCAAAAGAGGTTCAGAGGGAAGGGCGCTGCCCAAAGGAGGGAGCAGAATGGTGCTGGTGGTGAAGGTGTTGCAGAGGTCAAGGAGAAGAAGGTGTGGGTGCCGATGAAGGAGAGGAGGATGGAGGCCAAGGGGGCCAAGTTCCACCAAGATATCAACGTGGCTAGGCTTACTGGTGCGGTTGTTGCGCCGGCGGGCAAGAAGACCACTTTCGAGTAGAATGCAACCTTTCCTTCTAGGAATGTAATGATCAGGTTGGGATTGGAAGACTTTCATATCTAATAGATAGTATACCCATTTGTGTGTTCAAAACCACAGTCAACACAAGAAGCGGACGAAGACTTCGTCATGATTGGTTCATTTGTTCCTATTCGCTAACCTTTCCCTAACTGCGGAGTGACTTATCGTGAAAACTGAGAATAACAATCTGAAATTGAGCTGCCTGACCCGAAAAGTTGCACTTGACAAAGCAAAATAAAGAGGGGACTTAATTTCAACCCATGACCACGTTATCTTCGGTAAAAGTAAAAGTAAAAGTAGAAAAAAGACAAGGAAAAAACAAGGCAGACAAACCCTGAATGATACCACCCCTTTTTGCCCGTGTTGGGCTCCTAGATTCTGTTTCGCCCCACGCACTTTGCAAAATGGTGGAAGAGATCACCTCAAAACTGCCAGTGCGAACCAGAAGAGTTGACCGCCTGGTTTGTTTTTGGTGCTCCTGACCGAGCCGCAATCCTAATCAAGGTTGTTTTGAGTTCCTCAGCAAAGAATGAATGGCCATCCAACCAACCGCAAACCAAAATCAACCCAAAATAGACCGGCCAACTTATTCCACCATACAGCGCCTAGTAGTATGTGCCTAGCTGCTCACCGTGTACCAGCGTTCGCACATTGTCCCGTGATATACAGTATTTCGTGTACATCCCGCCATGGTTACCTAAGAAACCACGGGGTGGTTGTTCGCGGGTCGAGCCGGGCGACAGGAGTTCATGTCATGATCCATCGAGATACTGTTGCTGAATACTTATTTGCGAGTATGAGCCTCGGAGTATTCCTCGTCGGAAGCATCGAGGATGTCGTATTCTTCGTCGGTCATGAATCCCTCCTCCGACTCGGCAGCATCCCAGTCATCATCCTCGCAGTCTTCGTACTGCTCGTACGTAACCGCCGACTCAGACTTGTCATCCTCGTGCAAGCTGGAGACGGGCGATTCCTTCTCAAGCTTGGGGAAGATCATCTGGCTCTGGTGAAGCTGAACCTCTTCCTTGGGTGCAAGCGCAGGCTCGGGCTTGGCGATGACCTCGCGCTCCTCCTTCACTGGCTCGGAAACAACAGGAGCGACCGACTTGGGGTGCTCGACCTTGACGTCGCACCATAGGCGATGGCCGAACTTGAGACCATCGGGAGTGGTCAAACGCCAGTTGGAAACAATTCTTCCGGTGCGCAGAGGAGTTCTGAGCAAGACGGTGAAGGGGAATTCCTCTCCTGGGAGGATGGGGGAATAGCATACAGTCGAGACGTTGGACGCACGGAGGTCCTGGGTAGCTGCCGGGTGAGTCGAGTCAACATGACCCATATAGTCGCCGCCAACAAACATGACAGAGCAGCCAGCGGGCCACGCTGTCTTGCCCTCGTTGCGAAGAATCCAGGTCTGCTCAAAGACGTGGTTGGGCTCCATGACGGTGCCATCAGCAACGGTGTCCTTGACGAACACGGCGACGAGCTCAGCTGGAGCGGCAGGAGCAACCTGCTCCACAGGCCTCACCTCGGTCGTCTCAGTCTTGATCTCGACCTTCTCAGCAGGCTTCTCCTCCACCTCCTTGTTGATCTCGTGCTCCACGGGCTTCACGTCAATGACAGTCTGCACGTTGGAAGACGACAGCACAGGGGCGTTGACAGTCTCGGTGGCTCGAGAAGTGGTCACACGAGGACGGCGATCTCCCATGGTAGGGATGGCACGGCCGTTCTCATTTTCTCCTGTGGTGGTGACGCTGACGTGTCTAACGGGCGTCTTGAACTTGATGAGAGGATGAGTTTTGTTGTGGGTGTTGGCAGGGCTGGCTTCGCAAGCCTCGCAAAAGTCGGTATCATTGCAAACAGCGCACTTGTAACGGTCTCCCGTGATGTAGGTGTAGTTGTTGCGGTTAACTGAGCAGAGGGGGCCGTCGCAACAGATACCCTGGTGAGTAGGGCGGGCGAACAAGTCGGAAATACCGGCGTACTCGAGTGGCTCGTAGATGGGCACGAACCGATGACCGGGGTGAATAAAAGAGGCGTTCGCCATGCACTCGCTGCAATAATCCCAGTCAGGACAGTTCAGGCACTTGTGACGGATGCCGCGAATGTTAGTATCGCAACCATCGCAAATGGCATTGTGCTTTTGGCCACGGCCAGCACCGAGACGGCGAGCCACATCAGGCTCCAAGCGTGTGCCCTCAACAGCGGCAACGAAGGTGTGCTTGGGGTGGTGACCATGGGTGTTCTTGGCGAAACAACTTCGGCAAAGGTCATAATCCTCGCAGGTCGAGCAGTGGACAAAGTCCACCTCGGGGAGCTCCCGGACGCAGCAGTTGCAAGTGCGCATGCTGGAGTAGGCGAGGCCGTTGAAAATGGGAATGATGCGCTCTGAAGCTGAGGGGGTGGATGGCTTCTCGGCCGCAGGGCTTGGGGGAGATGGAGGGGAGGGAGGAGCTGCTTGCTTGACCTGCTTGGGAGGCAGCGTCTCGGTGGTGCTGTTGATGATAACGCCGTTCTTGATGAACCGCTTGATCAACCAGTGGTCAGCGCCGTAGCAAGCGACACCTTGATCCACACACCCCGAGCAGAGATCGAAATCGCCGCCGTCGCACTTTGAGCAGTGATAATGCATGTCAGGAACATTCTTGTCGCAGCTGTTACAGCAGACAGCATAGTTTGACCTGATAGCAGGGGGCACGAGGTTCATCTCGGCAGCGAAACGTGCCTGACTCTGTTGCTCCAACTTCAAAATGGCCAATTCGTAATCAGCGAGGACGGCGTCTGGGATCTTCAGAGGTTGGACTGGCTCGACGGGTGTAGGTTGCTCGATCTCCTCGGAAGTTTCGGCAGGGCTCGAGACTGCTGCAGGTGCTTCTTCCTCAACCTCATCGGCCACCGAAGCAGGCTTAGGTCCTTCCCTGGCGGCCACGGCAGCCTTGGCTTCGGCAATTCTGGCCTCAATCAACTCTTTCGGAATCGGCAGAGTTGGCTTTTCGACAGGCTCTTCGGCAACCTTCTCCACGGGGGTTTCAGCGGGCTCGGCAGCTTGAATGAGCGAATCGAGGGATGCTTGTGCTGGTGTCTCCTTCACTGTCACACGAAGCCTGAGCTTCTGCTTAGCTTTAGCAGCACGGTAGAGCTGCTTGTATACTGAGGTGTTGGCCTTGTCCAGCACTACGTAAGAGGTGGCAGAGTCGGAGTATCTCTCAAACACAACATCGGCATCGGGGCGAATGTTCAGAACTCCTCGGATCTATCCAGAGCCATCAGTATCATCGTTGTCAAGTCGAGCGACGGCCAAACTCACCCTGTTTTCCAGAAACGCAGGAACCATTTCCCGCAGAGGGAGCTTGAATCGGCGGGTTGAGCCATGATAGCTGACTTTGAGGGTGACAAGAGTAGCTGGCGTGACCTGAGGAGCTGCCGCCATGTTAGGGGCCATAGTGGCGGCGGACATGATTGCCTGGGGGCAGATATCAGTTAGCAAGCGATGAAAACTGATGCTTTTGAAGAAACAGCAATGTTGTGGATGGCGGTGTTGATGGTCGAGATGATGGGCAGGTGAGAGAAAGAGCGGAGAGGCTGTCCCAGCGGCACAGACCACATGCTGACTGGACGTGAGGCGGGGGTGTTGGTTGCATGTGTCAAAAGCCAAAGAGCGGGAGCGACTCACGACCTAAAATGCTGCTCGTGAGCAAGACAGGTGTCGTAATGATTGCCCTCCCTTGATGATCCGATTGCAGCGGACAAAGTCTGGGGAGGCAGGACTGGATGTCCAACTGGGAGGTATCGGTCCGGAAGATCGGGGATTACTTGTATGCTGTGGTGTACAATTGTAAGCGGCGGGGACTGGTGTTGAAAGTCGAGGCCGGTGATTGAAAGAGCTGGATGCTCTTGCGAGGAGGATGGATGAGAGGAAGGAAGGAAGGGGGGAGATAGGGACAAAATGGGATGGTCGGTCGGAAGCTTTGGAGGGGAGCGACGCAATGACCACAGACAGACGGGCCTCAGGCAGTAAGGTAAGGAAGTCAAGTGAAAGCTGGGGGGGATTGGACGTAGGGGGTGGTGTTGCCCAACAAAGGTAGGTATGAAGTACCTGGTGGTTGGTAGGCTAGCTATCTAGGCAGATGGGGCGCCTCGTAATTCCAGGAGGCAAACGGCTGTCGTAAAGAGGCGAACAGCTGGCGCTTGGGCGGTCAAATGGGTGAGACCTACGGGACGACTAACAGGAGGCGGTCAGCGATACTTCTCCCGTGTTATTCATGGATAAGGTTGGCCCAAACACTGGGGTGCATCAAGAGACCGTGCCCGCTAACAAACATGGCGGTATTTACAGCAGAGTGATCTGACGGCTCTGGGACTCGTCCTTTGGGGCTGCCTATGTTCTGCGCAGACCAAACCCACAATGGTAGTCCGGTCAAATGAATTGTTTGTCAGGTGGCCGTCGTGTCGTCACCCTTCTTTGTCTGGGACAGGCTGTTGGCTCTTTTTGGAGTGATCTGGGCGCGGGTATGGGAGCCACTCAAGGCTGTCACCACTTGCCTTGGATTAGATTGAATAATTCCAATTCGATATGTCAGCTATCTGAGAAGGCTGTCGAATGTGCTGGTTGATGGTTGAGGGGTGGAGGCTGCTGGCTGGCGGATGGCGGTGATGACGACGATGACGGGGCGCGAGTGTCGGGATGATGGCTCTTATATCTCATGCAGTTCTGTGGGAACAGGACGACACTTTGTTGACGCACTCGGAAAGCAAGCAAACACGGTCCGGTCCATGTCAAATGGGGGTCAGAATGGGCCCATGGGAGTTATCCCCGCGATACCGCAGCATTGTTAGAGCGCGATAAGGAAAATGGAACCTCGAAAGCCTATCTGGGCGGCACCTTGGGAGCTGACCCCTCACGTGGAGTTGCGTTGGTTGCTGTGCTGGGCGACCTAGGTGGGGTAAATCAGGACCCGCCCCCAGCCAAGCGGAAAAACGCCCCAGTCCCATGCAGCACGTCAAGCTCCCCACTTTCCCATCCCGTCAGATCGACTCGGAGCCTACCACGCACCTCTTTTGGAGATGCACTGGAAATGCACTTTGCATCTGATCACGAGCCTCTATTGGCCACTGACAGCTCGAGCAAGTCTTGCAAGGGGCCACCTGATGGTGAGCGGCGGCAAGGATTACGTCGACCTGTTTTAAAGGGCCGACGACGTCTTAGCCTTTTTCATGCCGCATCCCTACTCTGAGAGGCTGATCCCCTCTGTCACGCCCTTAACTTCTCGCATACGTGTCAAGCATTCCAGACCGGGCTGGATGCTGGCTGCATGAAGAGATCAGGCTGTAAGTGGTACAGGCCCCATGGTCCGCGCAGGACGGTGTACAGCTCATCAGAGTCGTATATATAAAGTCAAGCTGCCTTGTGCTCCCGTTTACCAATCATCTGACCCGAAACTCGCTTCCAGACGGCGGGGCATCCACCAGACGGTCTGGCTATTCGTATCTCCTCTCGTAGACCGAGGCTGTTTTGTTTGTGAAAAGATTTCCATTTCCCATTCTCAAGTGCTGTTAGAGGCAGAAACAGGAGGCAGATATATACCAGCCGAAACTGATTTCCCACCGAGTGAACATCATTCAGGGAAGAATGTTCCGATCTCGGTGTCCTGAAATTCCAGATCCTGTTATTTATTCGTGTTTTATTTGGGTTGCCGCAACATGAACAGCTAGCCAGAGGCGCAGATGCTGTGTTGCCCCTCTCAGGCGTTTTAGTCATCTGGATTTGATCCGATGCCGACTCGGTCAAGGCCTGGCGGTATGCCACGAGGCCTTCCCCTACCACGTAAAAGCAAGGCGGAGGACAAGCCTGGGCGTTTCTGCATGCACATCTCCCGCGATCACAGTCAGGTAACTTTTCGAGACCAACTCGACCTGGCCAGAGTAGTTTGTGTAATTTATATGTATATATGTATCTCAGACCACCTTTGTACAACATCAACGCTCTAATCTATTCCATGAAGAAGCACCGCTGTACACGTTCCAGGTTGTTGTGCCTCCAAAAGAGATAACCGCTTGAGAAAATACTCGCCCATTGTGAGGCCTCTTTCACAGCTCACATATCGATAATCCTCTCCAACGTCTCTCTCAACTCCTCCTCATCATACCTCATCATCCTCGCCTTACCCTCTCCCACTGCCCTCCCCTGAACCGGAGCACAGTGAATCCCCAGCTTTTCCAAAAATTCCACATCAACCTGTGGCATATCCTTCCTCATCTCCCTCTCCTCCACCATCTCCGGATCAATAAACACCAAATGCGTCACCACCCTCCTCCACTCCAACAATTCCACATCCTCCGGCCTCCGACTCTCCACACAAGCCCTCCAAATCGCCTTGATAAACCCACTCGCATCCATCCCCCTCGTCTCCCTGTCCAACTTGCTATTCAAAATCAACACCTTCTTCCTAATCCCCCCAACCTTCTCAATCGCCTCCCCCACCTCCCTCAATATCAAACTCGGCACAATGCTCGTGTACAAACTCCCCACACTATACACCACCACCTCGGTCCCCTCCCTCAGCTCCTTCACCACCTCCGGGTTAGCCTTTGGCATAATCTCATGCCCATACAAATTGATATACCAAACCCTCTCGATCCTCGTCCCCTGTCCCCCCGGTAAATCCTCCTCCTCTTCCTTGCTAAACTTCAAATTCTGCCTCCGCAAAACAGGCAAACTCCCCGGCATATTCCCCTCATCATCATCAACCTCCAACAACCTCCCCATCCCTCCTCCTCCCATATGATGCGGCGGCAACCCCTCATCAGGAATGCTAGTCGGCTCACTAGGGTGACTAATAGCCACCTGCCCGGTCAACACCCCCCTCTCCCCCGTCTCCCCGTTAACCCACCCAGCACTGATATGATGCGTATGATTCGAGTTCACCGCCGGCAGCACCCTCACCCACCCCCCAATCTCACATATCATCCTCAGCAGGTAAATCCCCGCCTCAAAACTCCCCGTCAAGAGCCTCGCTCCCGTGAGGAACATGTTCCCCACCGATGCCCCGGCAAAGTTGAACACATTCGGCGGTCTTGCCCGCTTGACGATTTCTGCATTCAGGATATTCAACACGGAACGGATGAGCTCCTTTTTCTCGTTGGGGATGTAAGCCCATAGTAGGGAGCGGCTCTCGACGATATCGGCCCATTGACCCCTCGCGGCGATGGGGTCGGGCGAGAGGCGGTGTTCAAACAGGTTGCGGAGGGAGGAGGTTTCTTTGGAGGAGGAGGTGAGGTTGGAGGGGGTGGTGGGGATGAGACGGACGAGGCGGGAGCGGATGTCGCCTACGGAGGGGCCTCCCACAAAACGGATGAGTTCGGAGGATGAGCCGCCGTTGTCGGAGATGGGGATGATGTAGTTTAGCTGGCGTTGTCGGCTGAGTTCGTCAGAGGAGCCAGTCTTACTGGCGAATGAGGAGGTGGGGGTCTGGGTGCCGGAAGAGGATGATGGGCGGGCGATTCTGTTGAAGAGGTCGACTAGATTGTTGGCTGCGGTGCCTGAGAGGTGGGTTAGTATAGTACAAGGTAGGTGTCGTAAGTGATGGGCGAGTGTTGTGCGAACTCAGTGGTAAGTGGTGATTGATATGTATAACTGTCTATGCAATGCTTTTTAGGGAATGTGTAAGTGAACCTCGAGCTAAATGTATAAGACGTATACATCGCGCCGCTTGGAAACAGCGAGTCTTATGGGGCAGCTACTCTCTGAGATGGCATTGAAAAGATACCATAATCTCAAAGACCTTTCTTCATAATACTCAAAACCACAATTGAACATACCTCCTGAAAATACCGTGATCCCCAACCTCCTGTTGCCGCCATTGGCAGTCTCCACAGGAGGCGACGGCAAATTCGAGCTCGCCTTAGAAGCCATTTGAACCAGAATTTGTCTTTGGTTAAAAAAAAACCAAAAAAAAAAAAAAAAACCGAGCGTAAATTGTCAAGGTGCAAAGAACCGTCAAGTCCAAAAAAAGGGAGTGTGTGTTGTGGTATAAGTGACAAAGTGACAAAGTGTCGTCACAAAAAGTGGACTCGGAAATGCTCCCCCCTGAAATTGCAGAGGGCAGGCCACACACCGAGCTTTTATAGCACCACCACAGCTTCTTCACCAACCTCAGCTGCGCCTCGCTCAAAAATCATCAACCACCGTGTCAACTTCGTATTTCTTCTTCTTCTTGAAACCGTGGTAATTTCACACAAAAAGGCCACAGTTGCCAAAAATATGCTTGCGAAAAGAGTCATCGACCGGATGGAATGAAATGCCACGCAACATAACACAGCACAACAGGGATCACCTCACTGCTTCACTTACACGAAATGAGCTCCTGAGGCTGTGCTCAACGTAGTATGGAAAAACACTGTTGTTTGGCACAAAAAACATCACTTGAACAAGTGTTATATACATCTGCCAAAAGGTAAAGAGAAAAAAAAGTGCAGAAAATGTTTATAAATAATCAGAATAATAATGAGCGTGCTGATCGTCTTCTCTCTCAGCTCATGAGAGACTTCAACCAAAATCCAAACCCCAGTCTCAACTTTTGTTCCCATCGCAAGTCGAAAAACCGCCAGCCACCCAATGTAATGATTACAAAGAAAAGAGTTCTACATTTGCTTCTTTTTCTTATCTTTCCCGCACCACAACAGCATAATGACCAAGTCACAGAGAAAGGCAAAGCGCTATGCAAAGACAGATAACCGCCCCCTTTCACTCCCTATAAACGCCTTGCAAAAATGCCCCTAACACGCGACGTCCCTTAAGCAACAACAGCAAACAACAAAACACACCCGGAAAAGCACAGTGAAGAGCAGCGCAGAGTAACCAAGGATCAACACACCACCAACAAACAACGTGTTCCGTTCTTTCTTCCAACTAAGCTGATAGCGGGTTAACATGTCCGTGGTTAAAAAAGGGCAAATGTGTTGGATGTTTTGATGCGTCGAATGCACCTTTTCCCTTCTCCTTTCCCTCCTTGTCCTCAATAACCACTACCATCCTACATCTGTCCACCCATCTTGGCCCCTTGTTTCCCAACACTCGCCTCATTTAATATCATTTCCATACGCACACACAAAGTCGATAAATCCTAACCGATACCCCGCATCACCGTGATATCTTCCATGTCATAAGCCCTCATCTTCCTTCACTCAGTTTCCATCCTATCCCGCCTTACCATCCCTCCCTCCGTGTTGATTTTCCAGCTCGTCCACTAGAAATTGACCAAAAAAGTCAGACCACCGCCTTGTACAAACAATCGCCCAAGCAGCGTAGAAGATTGTGTAGCTCGCCAGAAAAGCAAAAGCTCAAGAAGCCCCCATAGGAGAATCCGCAATTCCAGATCAAAGCTACAACAAGCCAAACAAGAAAAGCTAAATGCAAGCCCGTCCAAGGTAAAAGGTAACAAACACTTGGGCGAAACAAGCAGGGCAACAACGCCACACAAAAAGAAACTCAAAAGATAAAGCTGAATAGCATAGACCGCCGACATTTGCTAGGTAATTAAGGCGGCAAAAGATGTTCAACTTCTAACATGTTAAACAGCTGACGTGGTAAAAAGAAGTTGGTAAAGCGTCGGCTTGTTATTCCTGTCCAGAAAAGAATTATTCCCTTCAGCCATTGGCCTCTCCTGCCGGTCGCTACAGGACTTCGATTTGCTGTGGTGGCGGTGTTGCCTCCATCGCGTTGGGCACTATGACAGTGCCAACAAGAAGGCCTGTGGTAGCCGGTGTGAATGCCACTCCTCCTCCTACCTACTGAGGATAGTAGACCATTCCGGGGGTAGGCTGCTGGTAATAATATGCGTCAGGCCCAGGAACCATGCCAGGAGCAAACGGCTGAGCGGGAGGAAATGGTGCATATCCGGGGACAGAAGGAATGTCGTTGGCATTGAAGTAATAAACAGTGCCATTGACTTCCTGCGTCACCAGGTTGGGGGTCGGTGCTTGTCCAGGAGCCTGAGCACTGGGAACATCACCCTGAGCAGATGCAGCGTAGTTCATGGGGGGCGGAGCTGGCGGGCCTGCTGGCACAAAACTAGGTGCGTTGGCATTGGGCGCCATATTGGCGGGCGGATAGCCTTGTGGGTAGTAGTAACCCTGTTGTGGCTGCATCGCAGGATATGGCTGAGCGTAGTAGCCGGGCTGGCCAAACGTGTTTGGCTGGAACGGAGCAGCATGAATCGCACGCTCCGGAATTTGTGACAATGGTGTAGCCGAGAGCTGAGACTGGTAGGAAGGGTGGCGGGCGTGGACGTCGGGGGGAAAGCCATTAGGTATCTGGGGCGGGACCTGGTGAAGGAAAGCTTGCTGATACGGGGCAGGCGCATTGGCGTTCTGTCGAACAGGAGACTCGATGTTGTCGATAGAAACTGCCTTCTGGGGACGGGGCTGATGCATTGGGATCGAATTGGGCTTGTTTTCTTGGAAAGCAGGCCTTTGGGGGAGAGGGTGCGTTTGTGGCTGGGGCAGAGCGTTGATAGACGACTCCGCAGACGGACCAACCTTCTCAGCACCATCCGGTTGTGTTGGCTGAGATGCTGGAGCTGGAGCTGGAGCTGGAGCTGGAGCTGGAGCTTGCATGATGGGGGCCGGGGCCTGAGCCTGAGCGAAGGGTGGCAGTCGTACAACAGGTTTGTTGGCATCAGCAGGCAGAGGCGGTCTCGAGATCGCAGATCCAGTGGGCGAAAGCATGAAATCACGTCCCATATCATGCGCAATGGAAGAACGACGACTCATCGCAACGCTGGGTGAGTACATGCTTCCATATATGCTCCCTCCCCATACACTTGTTCTCCGAGAAAATGGCCCAGATCCCATGATCGATCGAGGACCTTTGCCCCGGGTCCGCTGCTGGTTAGGCCGCAGCGCCCTTGGGATGAAGATGAAGGATCGATCTGGGTTTGGATATATATAGCGAGGCATAACCGGCGCGGAATGGTACGGCAGCGAGATTCGGACGGGTTTGTCTCGGCGAAGGGGGGGCCGGTGGTCGGGCAACTTGGTGTAGGCCTTCAGCACTAGACCAGGAAACAACTTGGGCCCATCGAAAACATTTGGGAGGTACACCCGGACAGTTACCGTGCCCAAGACTTTCTCTGATGACATGTTACGGTTGATAGGACTCTCTGGCGCTGGCGCGTATGGAATCACACCATTGCCATTGGCAGGCCCTTCAGGGTCTGGACGGTAGCGTGATGGCCGGTAGGGCGCTGGCGGAGGGTGCTCGGCAACCTGTTCATGCATATCATGCTGCCAAGGTCCTCGTGTGGTGGGATCAGAGGGGTTTTGGAAAGGACTGGAAAGCATTGTTAGCATCCGTGTAGAGCGTCAAGGTATCGTGCGGATCCATATAACATACTTCATGGGAATGAACTCTCTACCAAATGCCCCCGCACGACCTCCTCCCCGGCCACGCAATGGCTGACGGGAGTATGGACGGAACCCATTGGCAGCTGGACCGGCATGACGATGGTCGTGCAAGAAGAAGTTGCCCCTGTTGGGTACAAAGGTTGGATCCTCATCCCTTTTCTTCCTGTATTCATCATGCTCCCGCCGCTTCTGATCTTGCAGCGAAGTCCGCGGCTGTTGACCTGGAATCGAAGTCGAGCTCACTATGACCGGCGCCGAATCCTTCACAGAGGGGGCCGTGGCAGGCTTAGTATCTGTCTTTATGTCGTCAAACTCCAGTTCCTCTGCTCTGTTTTCCTTGTCGCCCAAGGTCAGGCCCTCCAGCATGACATCCGCGCCGGCGATGACGGGCTCAGGCTTCTTGGTAGCGCTGTCCTTGCTAACAACATCTGGTTTATGGCGATATACATGTTTAGCTGACCCGTTACCCAGTGCCTTGCGAGCACTCAACAGCCTCGGCGACACTTCATCGACGTTGCTGGTGTCACTATCGTCGGCGGGGTCGTGCTCGTCGCTCGATGGGTCCGTGAGGGAGTCATCGTCGAGGTCAAGGCCAGGGCCGGCCTCTTCGTCTCCGTCATCCTCGATACGACGACGTTGACCGATGGTTTTTTTCCGTCGGGTTACCGCAGCCATTGTGTGGGACCGGGTGTGAGGTCGGGGATAGATCTTAGAGGATGGTGACAGCCGGAGCTGGGAGAGCAGGGAATCGTGATATTAGCGCCCGGGCCGCTTCGAGGGCATGCGTTTGTTTGCTGGTGATGCCGGGCTGTTGGGTCGTCGGGAGCAAAGAGTCAGAACACCTGCAGCCGGAACCGTCCTGCGGTGCAGAGTCGATGGGAACAAACTCGAGTTGGATCCGAGACGAAGGCCGTACGTCACAGTTGGGCGATGGAGCAAAGCGCAACTGCGGCCTGTCAAGAGGGAACGGCAGGGCAGGATCCCCAGAGTCGATCGCGGTCTGGCTGGGGAAGTCCAAACCTGAGCAAGCAGGGCTGTCCAGGTCTCAACTTTGCAAACCAAAAAAAGTGACCGTGCTCCTGTGAAATTTGGTATGGTGTTTCGTTGCAGGCTGCTTTTGCTCTGGAGCGAAAGCGGCCAGGTGACAGACAGAGGCGAGCCAACTCCTCTGACACTCTTCTGGCAGACAGCAACCAGACAGAGTGGATTTGACAGGAGCCCTGTGGCGTGGGAAAGGGCCGGTGGACTGGGGGAAGGGGGAAGGGGGCAGGCACAAGAAGGCCTGAAGCTGAGAGCCGTCGCTTTTTTTTTTTTCCTTCCTTCGAACGGGATGGAGTTGGAATTGGGGATCTGGGAACTGGAAGTCGAAAAGGGTGGCTCAGGCTCCTGGCCGCTGACTGCCCCATGTCAGTCCGTGCGCCAAGGCGACTGCCCGCCAAAGCTGCCAATTTTTTCATGCTTCTGACTGGCACACAGGTCAGCAGCTGGGGACCGTCTTTCCGTCTAGAAATAGTGGAGCTTCAGAAGCTCATTGATCACCTCACAAGGAGCTGATCATTCCCACTGACAACTGCCATCTCGATTCGCGATTGTCCCCATCGAGAATGACGGCCAAGGATGAAGCTCGATCACCCTTGTAGTCGCATCACAGGACAACCAAACCACCTCTTGATGTCACAAACAAACCAATATCTGTACCAACATAAGCAATACTTCGGCACATTCAATATCCTATGGCTCATGAGCACGTCAACCTTCAACACGGCTCGAGGCTGCCTTATTATGCATCTTCTCTGCATATAGGTTTCTGTGATATCACGATCTGATTTGATGCTTCCGAGGCTTTTACGCGGTACAGAGCTCGTTTCTTTGCAGAGGAGATTGGTCTCAGCTATCCTTAAAAGACCTATCACATTGTCTTCAGTGCTCTTATACCAAGTAGGAGTCTCCACACCTAACGTCAGACATTGTGACCTGTGTTATGCCGCCGGAACAATTACCCGTCAGCTAGATTGACCGGCGACGTGGTGCCCCTCTGCCAGAGCGGTATTTTCTTAATCTCATCGGAGGTCCATTCGCATGTGCTTCTGCATCCCGGCCTTATCAGACATATAAAGTGCTCCGTCACGGACATGGCAGAACGGCTTCTTGCGGCCCGACTTGCTGTGTAACTTGCACCGACCTCTCCAAGTGGTATGCTTGGCTGTTATCATATCTTTGATATCCTCGTATTTTCTGTCAAGCTACACCCAAGTCAATGTCGTGTATCGATCTAGAGCGTTGCATTGAGGCTCAGATATTATAGCAATGGCAATATCGACTTGCTGTTCTTGGGCCCCAAATTTCATTCTCAGCTGCGATGTGACTTCAAAAAAACTGACCCGTTGGTAACCGCCTCGTTGTCTTACTTCATATCTACTCAACGTTTTATTCTCCACTGGCTTTCAGCCTCTGCCTTATTCACGAGCACCCACTAGCAGTAGGCTTTCCCCATACAAAAGCCCACAATTGAGTCCAATTTTATATCAAAACCATCAGATGGTGAGGTGGCCGAGCGGTCTAAGGCGCCAGGTTCAGGTTCACCTGAATTCCGCTTGAACCCTTTCGAGGGTCCAAATCTCCTGGTCTCGCAAGAGGCGTGGGTTCGAATCCCACCCTCATCAATCTATTTTGCTTTTTCCTTTTCCTTCCAGGGAATCATTCATTTTTGCACTTTGTTTTGCATAAGGCCTGTGACGGTAATAATTTCAACTTCCAAACTGTCCGTCAAAGAGTTCTCCCTTTGCAGACTCTACCACACAATGTCTCCATCGACTCTGTGCTACAATTTTTAAGGTAGAGTAGGAGGAGAACCCCTAAGCTGGACACAAGCTCGAGCTTTACGATTGTAACCAGGCAAAGCGAGGTAGTGGTTGAAGAACCTGGAGACGGATATTACCATCTATACAGTTCGCTTACTATCACTCGACAAGTGAACTTTCAGAAGCCCTCACACCTGGTGTCAGTCAATTCGAAGATTAGCATTCTCTGCGATGTGATTGGTCAATTGTTGCTATCATCCTGGCGTGGAGCCATGATGTAGGTCTCCGATACGGACTAGGGTCGATTTGGGCACCTTCAAAGATGAAGTGCGATGCCTCTCTACACAAGAGATTGTATAACAACAGACATCGTTCAGAAACGCCGTCATATCTTGCGTATATAGGAACAGCGTTACAGGAGAATACCCATCAGGCAGAGTCGAATTCCGGGCAACAGTTGCAAATCAAGCCTGTAAACAACCCGGGATTTTAGCACGGTTCCGCTATCGGAAGACCCCTGAAACGGGCCACCAAGAGACTGCCGTGGCGGATGGCGCAACCGGCAAAGATTTGGACAGTCATAAATATTTTTCTTCCCCCCTCGAGACACCCCGCCGAGCTGGACGAACTTGGCGAACCAGACCATAAATCATGAGGCCAATCGACCTTGCCAGCCGCTCGGGCGTTGCCCTGAGAGTATGTTTCCTCTTCCAGGGAGAGACAAAAGAGACTCGCCGCTAACATATGTGACTAATCGCAGAGGGCCTTCCAAACCCAGCAGCTTCGCCAAGCAGCGGGCTCGAGACAATACTCCAATATCACCTCCCTCCCACCAACATACGAGAAGCTGCACAGCAAGTACACGGAGGTCCGCAGAGTGCTGGGCGCCCAGCGGCTGACGCTGGCCGAGAAGATCCTCTACAGCCATCTCGACAATGTCGAGGAGTCCCTCCTCAACAACACCAACAATGGCCGCGATATCAGAGGCAAGGCGAACCTCAAGCTCAAGCCCGACAGAGTCAACATGCAGGACGCCTCGGCTCAGATGGCTCTCTTGCAGTTCATGTCGTGCAACCTCCCCCAGACCGCCATTCCCGCGAGTATTCACTGTGACCACCTGATCGTGGGTAGCAAAGGTGCCGATGACGATTTGCAAGCTGGTATTCAGACCAACCACGAGGTCTTTGACTTCCTTGAGTCGGCTGCCAAGAAGTACGGGTTGGATTTCTGGGCTCCGGGTGCTGGTATCATTCACCAGACTGTCTTGGAGAACTACGCCATCCCCGGTTTGATGATGCTCGGTACCGATTCGCACAGCCCCAACGCCGGTGGCTTGTCTACTATCACCATTGGTGTTGGTGGTGCCGATGCCGTCGAGGCTCTTGTCGGTGCTCCATGGGAACTCAAGGCTCCCAAGGTCCTTGGTGTCAGACTCACCGGTAAGCTTAGCAACTGGGCTTCTCCCAAGGATCTGATCCTGCACCTGGCTGGCCTCTTGACAGTCCGTGGCGGTACTGGTTACATTGTCGAGTACTCGGGTCCTGGTGTTGAGACACTGAGCTGCACTGGTATGGCTACCATTTGCAACATGGGCGCTGAGATTGGTGCCACCACCTCCATCTTCCCCTACACCGAGGCCTCAGCCAGATACCTCGAGGCTACTCGCAGAGAGCAGGCTGTCAGGAATGCTGCCGCTTTCCAGAACTTCCCTGGCGCGGGCGCCTCTGAGGATGCGTACTTCAGGTTCAAGGCCGACGAGGGTGCGCAATACGACGAACTCATCGAAATCGACCTGTCCAAGCTCGAGCCCCATATTAACGGTCCCCATACTCCCGATCTTTCCACTCCCCTGTCCCAATTCAAGAGCACAGTTCAGGAGCAGAAGTGGCCCGAGAAGCTTTCGGCCGGTCTCATTGGTAGCTGCACCAACAGCTCGTATGAGGACATGACCCGTGTCGAAAGCATTGTGAGGGCTGCTGAGGAGGCTGGACTGAAGCCCAAGGCTGATTTCTACGTCACTCCTGGCAGTGAGCAGATTCGTGCCACCCTCGAGAGAGACGGCACCCTTCAGACCTTCGAAAAGGCCGGCGGCATTGTGCTGTCCAACGCCTGCGGTCCCTGCATTGGTCAGTGGAAGCGCCAGGATGGTGTCGAGAAGGGCACAGTCAACGCCATTCTCACCTCTTACAACCGCAACTTCCGCGGCCGTAACGACGGTAACCTAGACACCATGAACTTCCTCGCCTCGCCCGAGATCGTTACCGCCATGGCCTACGCCGGTTCCACCACCTTCAACCCCGTAACCGACTCCCTTACCACCCCCGATGGCAAGGAGTTCAAGTTCCCTGCTCCCCACGGTCTCGAGGGACCCAAGACTCCCTTCGACATTGGCAAGGACGTCTTTAAGGTCGCCTCCCAGCCCCCCAACCCCAACGAAAAGGTCGCCATCTCTCCCACCTCGGAGCGTCTTGCCCTTCTCGAGCCCTTTGAGCCCTTCCCCAACTCTGACCTTTCCGGCCTCAAGGTCTTGGTCAAGGTATCGGGCAAGTGCACAACCGACACCATCTCCGCCGCCGGCCCCTGGCTCAAGTACAAAGGCCACCTCCCCAACATCTCGGCCAACACCCTCAACACGGCCGTCAACGCTGAGACGGGCGAGGTCAACGTCGCCTACGATCTCGATGGATCCAAGCACACCATCCCCGAGCTGGCCAACCTCTGGAAGGAGCGCAACCAGCCCTGGCTCGTGGTCGCCGAGCACAACTACGGCGAGGGTTCCGCCCGCGAGCACGCCGCTCTGCAGCCCCGCTACCTCGGCGCCAGGATCATCGCGTGCAAGTCATTCGCCCGCATTCACGAAACCAACCTCAAGAAGCAGGGTGTTGTCCCCCTGACGCTAGCCAACGAGCAGGATTATGATAAGATTGCTGCCGGTGACGAGGTTGCTACTGTGGGCTTGTATGACATGCTCCAGAATGGTGGACAAGGCGAGGTCCAGCTCAAGGTTACCAAGAAGGGTACTGGTGAGGAGTTTTTGGTCCCTGTCAAGCACCAGGTTAGCAAGGACCAGGCTGGGTTTATTTTGGCGGGGAGCGCGTTGAATCTATTGAGTAAGAGTGCTTCTGTTTAGACGGGAGGTGGTGTCTAAGAGGGGGGTGGGTGTGCATTATACGAAAGCAAGCGAGCGAGTTTACGAGATATTCATTTCCTTTTGTTTGTTTTGCATGGTGGCTACCTGGGGGTCAACTAAAAATTCGGTTTGGTGAGGGGGCTCTCTGGCTGGTTGGCATCAGAAAATTGGAGGCGTGTGCGGATGGATATATACGGTCTGGAATTTGAGATTGATAAAGTTTGTGGTTTTTTCGATGTTTTTTTTTTGTTTTGTACATAATACCAAGTTCTCATTGTAGATGGAAATGAAAGAACATATCGAAAGGTTTGCTTGCGTTTGCTTGTGTGTTGGGTCGCATCTTTTTTTTTGGTAGTTGTTCTCTGTGTGACCGATATACAGCCGGTTAGATTGGTGACGGTTGGTCGGCTGTCGAGAGCTATGTATCTAGGGTTTTACAAGTTTGACTAACTGTCGGGCTGTTGCTCCAATGCTCTCTCATTTGGAAAGCTCACTGAAAGTAGAGGGCTTTTTTAGTCGGGTGTCAGTTCTAGTCGTTGGTGTCGCGGTACAAACTTCCGGCGGGAAATGAGGTGCGTTGTTGCAGCCTTGTTATAGACGTTGGGGAGAGGGGCGGGGGATATCCTAACCTACAAGCAGGAGAAATGATATTTTGTATTGTACTGTCGGTGGTCGTTGTCAAGCATAATTTACCTATGTAGGTCATTGGGACTAGTTGTTTCTTACGGCACAGTGTGCGTGTGTCCTACAAGACCGATGGCTCGCTCCATTCTGCGCGTCCACACTGTGCAACTTCGAGAGCTATGCTAGATAAATTTCAATTCGGTGAGCGCTAGTTGGTCGGTGCGAGACCATTCTATTGCTATTTTTACGCCTGGGAAATCATAGTCTTGTTCTATGGAGCTGGGAGAGAGTCGCATGTAGTCGCGATAAGACTATTGCAGGCACCTAGCTCTCAGCTCAGCCTCTCCCCTCACCCATATCGATTTGACTATCTCGTGTCTTATCACCTATACCTGCTCCACTGCAATGCAGTCGCTATGCTCCTCTCAGCCATGTACGCTATCTTCCCAAATCACCCACAGAACTACATAAAAACAAGATAAACTCAATTAACTAGACGCCCCTCCAATGCAGCTATGCTTTGACGAAACCGTAGAAATAGAAAACCACCCCCCCGTACTCCTATAAGAATAGCCCATGTCTTGCTAGACTTCCCTCGACGACAAAAAAATGTATACTGTGTAGAGAAAACACCGCGTCAGCCACTCCTCTCGCCTGTGAATGTGATGCCAAACATGCTTACAACTCCTTTTCTGGTCCCCTCCGAGTCCCTCCCTCCCCGACACCAAGCTTTGTACAGCAGCCCGCCGATAACTCAGCCCAATAACCTTATACACGAATCGTGTTTTCTCTCAGTCAGTTCATACCATACTCGCTCAGCTCAAAGCTCTCCTATTTACACTTCCGCTCCCTTGCCGTTCCGGTCCCCAAAACTCAAAACCCCATCTCGATTCACAACGCTCAGCCCGCTCCCCGTCCTCTTCATCTTTCGTATCTTTCTCTCCACTCCATTGACCACAGGACCACTCGTCCCACTCCCATTCGCAAATTTTGCAATCGCCTCATTCGTGCAGAGATCCATCGGGTCTCCTCCACCCTCAGCTTCCACTGCCGGTGTAGGCATTATGCCCCTCAGGCTCTTCAACGCCCCCACCCAAGCCGGGTTTTCCTGAATAATATCAGGTAAGGTCTCCTCCCAAGGTATATTCAACTCAGCCTGCGCTTCCATCTGCTTTTTCAGACTTTGTGCCGCCTTGCCAAACCGCTGCTTTCTCGTCCCCCGAGCTTCGATCTCCTGGGCCTTCATCGCGTGCCATGCTAGAGAATGAGCTCGCGGGTAGTGTATTCTGGGATCGATGTCCAGAGCGAGAGGCTCATCTTCTACTGGTTTTGCCTTTGGTGGCTGCTGCGAGACTGTCGATGAGACAGCAGACGGCGAGGTCGGAGGGGGTTTGTTGAGGCCTGGAATCTCCAAGCCTGGAGGTGGGGTGGATGCCCCTGGCTGAGAGTATATGAAGTAGTCTAGATCTGTTGGGGTGACCGGACGAGTCGCCTTGGCTGGCGGTCGCGCCTTGGTAGTGATGACGAGTTTCTTGGTTTTTTTCACCCTCGGTGGAGTGCTTACGCTGTTTCCTGTAGAGTGGTTTGTCTCTGTAGGAGGTATTGGAGGGGACTCTGAAGAATCGTCACGCTTACTTGTTGAGGGCCTCTTCTCCAGGGAAAAGTAGTCCGTCCTCGGTTGATGAGAACTGGGCCCGACACTGGACGTAGTGGCAAATATCTCCAGCGACTCGTGACGAGATGTCAAAGTGGGTTTGCTAGGATGAGGGGGGAGAATAGAGTCAATCTCCCTTCGGTCAATGTGACCCCCTTGATCCAAATTCAAGGAGACCGATCTAGAGGGAGGATTCCGCTGGGAAAGAACCTCCGCTGAGCCATTGATTGGTGACGTTGCCGTAGTCCCACTGACAGATGGGCGTGCAAGGTCATTATCTGGCTCGTCGGCGAACTTAAGGGCCCTCATAGGCGCCATTTTTCGGACAGGTTCTTTCGCACTCGGCTTACTGTGCTTCAGACCCGTCCTCCGCTCCTTTTCTGGCCGCTTTTCTGGGGAATCCGGAGCAGAGAGCGAGTCTGCAGACGCACCTGCCCCGTTGAGCCTAGACTCATTTGACTGCGACAGGATTGGGGAAATCTTTTGTCGCTTTTTTGGAGGCTCCATATCTTTCAACAAAGTAGGGCTTATGGGCGCGGTATAGGCGCGGGCTGGCGCCGGTGGAAGTTGGGACCGAGCAGAGGCCACTGTCGTCGAAGCCATCGCGTTGATCACTGGCCTCTGCTCTGGAGGTAGAGAGGACGAGCTCCCTTTGGTCTTTGGCGGGGGGAATGGTGGTGTGCCGTGCTTGGAGTCGGAGTGGGGAAAGCCGGAGGAGGCTGTTTTACGCATAAGCGTAGCTGGTCGTTCCAGCGTCTTTTTCGGGTTTGGCTTTGACGACGGAGCCAAATTGGCGGTCACGCTGGGAAGTGACGTGGGCGCGGCAGGCGCTCGAGGGCGGCTATTTCCTTTCAAAAGTCGAAGGTGCTCAGGGCACATGGGCTCTTCCTTCACATTGATTTGAGCATTGCATTCTGGCCATGGGCAACTGTCCACGTCACTCGGCCCATCGCGTTCACTTACAAGAGGACGGCGGGGCGCAGACGACTGTGAATCAGACATGGCGGCGGTGGCCTCTCGTGAGCCCTCTTCATGGGAGGCTGTCGAGGCCGAGACTCGCAAAACGGTCCGCGCAGACGATGAGGGTGCCAATGCCGACTTCTCATAGTACTGGCGTTTCTTGGTCTCTGGCGGGCCACTGCAGTTTTTGCAGACCCAATTACTATCCGAGAGCGTGGTTAGTCAATGGGGTTGGAGGTTAGGAGTGAGGTGAGCATGCTGAGAGATAGGATGGGCTATGGCAAAGATTGAGAACGTAAAACAACAATAGAGTGAGTTGTGCGGCGCGGGAAAATAGGCTATCAGTGGGGCACTACTCCATATAACATGGGGGGGGCGGGTTGGAGAGGACAGCCAACCAGGAGCGAGGGTTTGGTTACCATCTAGGACGGCTAGCTATGCGTTGTATCGAATAGGTGGCAGGCTGTCAAGATGCCGGGGAATGATGGAAGCTTGGAGATAAAGATGCAAAACATACCTTGGGTCTTTCGGTAGTGGCCTATGACAGGCAGAATGATAACATCTAGTGCAAAGTCTACAACGAAACAAAGCCTTGTCGGGCGTTGCTTCTAATTTGCAACGCCTGCACCGCGGCATGGGTCCTGCTTGTTCGTGATGTCGACCTAAGTATGACCTATGTGAGATGATTAGCGCCAATACAAGAAAAAGACTATCTACGATTTCAGGGAGGTCCAGAAATCAAACAAGACATGTGCCTCAGGTCTTTTCAGTTTATGTTTGGTCATCATACAGCCAGCTCAGCGGTTTTATGGTCCATGTTGGGCGACGAGGTAGGGCAGACAAGGTTCGGAGAACTTCATCCGCCAGATGTCCACCACAGCCTTTGGCCCCTTGTTCGTAGAGATGAGTGAAGTCGAGACTCCGTGTAGCGGTGGTGCTGAAAATCATGGTCTCCAGCATCGATGTTCCTGCCACCATGCGAACCGCACATTGCCAACAATCTCTAGGTAGCGCGGAGGAAGTAGCATGGCAACAGACGCGCCAAGGCGCAAGGCCCCGTCACCCAGAACCATAATACCAGAAGAGCACACGCGGCTATCAAACCTTTTACCAATTGCTCATCATTGACACGTAAAAGAGGTGAAGAGAGAGGTGGAAATGAAAGTGAAGCTTACCTGAAAGACAAGTGCGGAAATAGGTAGGCTTGTTGACTGACACTCCCGTCCTGTCGCTTTCTTTTTGGCTACCTGTATCTTGCTCCCACTCCGCTTAGGTCTGAGTGCGACTTCGTGGTTCCTCTACGTCCGACCGGCGACCACAGCCCTCAGCAATCCAAGTCACGACACCATGTGCCATGGAAAATAGGGATGGCAAGCTGAACCAATAAAGTCGGGGCAGGACAGAGCTGAAATGAGCTCAGATGCGAGGCCAGTTTGGATTGAGGAATGAAAACGTGGGGAAGGTTGAATTGGAATTGTCGAAGAAACAGCAGTCAGCAGCCTAGTAGACGGAGTTATGAGGGCCCGTGCGCAACGGGTCCCGGCAGAACTGTAACAAGCTTCGACTCCGCCTGCTGTATTAGGGTTAGCGCACATTGGCAAGGCAGCAGAGCGCCCGCGATAACAGATTGCGGTTTGCGATTACGCAGAAGGGAGTCCCCTTTTCCGACAGCTGTTCAGCAACTACACCATGCCCGAGCTGCGATATCTCTGTCAAGCCTCCAATACTCCAAGAAATCGATCGCAATAATCGTTGCACCGAATACAGAAGAACTGCATGGACTTTCTCAAATCCGCCGTCGCTTCGGCGATGGCAGCGAAGGGACCGCCATTCCCCTATAATTTTGGCGATAAAGTCGACCTTGACCCCTCTATATGGACTCTGTACAATGGCACTCGGCGGGTAAGCTTCGCAACCCAACTTTTCTCTACCGTATGCACAAACCCGCAGAACACACCTTAGCTGACTATATTTATGGAGTAGGAAGATGGTTCCGATTGCAGTATCTTCTCATTCGAAATCGCCGCGAATCGATCCGCCCTCCCTCTCGCCAGAAATGCGCTGAAGAAGCTCCGAACACTACGACACCCGGGTGTAATAAAGGTGCTGGATGCGGTCGAGGTACGAGCTTGCGCGACAACCCGGATACTGCTTCATACTGAAATGTTTGAAAAAGTCAGAGACGTATATATACATCGCAACGGAACGCCTAGTACCTCTGCGGTGGCACGTTAAACGAAAGAGTCTAAGTCCTGAGACGGCGAAATGGGGTCTTTACAGCATCGCGGTTAGTTTCATTCGACTGTGTGATGTCTCTATCCAGGGTTTTGTAATGCTGATAATGACCCAGCGAACCGTCAAATTCATCAATGATGAGGCCTCGTCAGTCCATGGCAACTTGAAGGTCGCTTCTGTTTACACAACAGAAAGTGGCGAGTGGAAGCTTGGTGGTTTTGAGGTTTTGAGTAATGTTAAAGATGACGAGGCTGTGATCTATGTAGGTTGGAGCTTCCTCTCCAATGTGCGACCGACTAACTGACATGAATGTAGACATATGGCAGTCTTGTCCCAGACTCAGGACGGTATACACCGCCTGAGCTAGCAAAATCGGGATGGGATGCGATCAAGCGCAGTCCTCACTCTGCTGTAGATGCGTACGACTTCGGTGCGCTGATCTTCGAGATTTTCAATGGCAGTTTCAGCAGTGACCAGGCTGGGCAGACGAAGAATATACCGCCCAGTCTTCACCCAAGCTATAAGCGTCTCGCCAACCCAAATCCCAAGGCCAGACTCACAGTGGCTCACTTCCTTGAACAAGGCCGTCGAAATGGGTCGTTCTTCGACACGCCTCTAATCAAACTAACCGAGGGAGTTGAAAATCTCGGGGTGAAGACGGAGGAGGAAAGAGAAGTGTTTCTTGAGTAAGTGTTTGATTTTTTCAAGTCATAAAACGAGCGTTTGCTGACTCGATGCAGTGATCTCGATCAGCTCACCGATGATTTTCCGGAGGACTTTTTCAAAATGAAAGTCTTGCCAGAGCTATTGAAATCAGTGGAATTCGGAGGCGGCGGTCCCAAAGCCTTCGGACTCGTCATGAAAATCGCCACGAAGTTATCGAATGAGGATTTTGACGCCAAGGTCCTTCCCGTGCTTCTTCGACTATTTGGGAACCCTGACAGAGCTATCAGGGTGTGCTTACTTGACAATTTGCCCCTCATGATTGACAGGCTCTCGCAAAAAACAGTCAATGACAAGATCTTTCCACAAATAGTAAGTTAAGAGTCATAACTAGTGGTGCGGTAACAGGTGTTGACGTAGTCTAGGTTACGGGGTTCACAGATGTAGCACCAGTTGTCAGAGAACAGACACTCAAGTCTGTCCTCACAATCATCACCAAACTTTCCGACAGAACTATCAACGGCGAATTGCTAAAGTACTTGGCCAAAACAGCCAATGACGAGCAGCCCGGTATTCGCACAAATACTACGATTTGTCTTGGGAAAATTGCCAAGCATCTGGGGACTTCTTCCCGTTCCAAGGTTCTCATAGCGGCCTTTAGTCGCTCACTTCGCGATCCATTCATTCATGCTCGAAACGCTGCCCTGATGGCTCTGTCTGTCACATCGGAGCACTTCTCCGACGAAGACTGCGCGACTCGCGTGCTTCCAGCCATCTGCCCGTCGCTCATCGACAAGGAGAAGCTTATTCGAGACCAAGCAGTCAAGACACTGGACGTGTACGTCCAAAGGATCAAGAAGGCAGTCGAAAGCATGCCCGAGACAGCTCTACCACCAGAAAGCGCGATCTCTGGGAACCCCAGGATGGGCACACCCCAAGCAGAGGCAGCAGCCGGCTGGGCAGGCTGGGCCATTTCGTCTTTTACAAACAAGCTCTCCGCTGCAGCAGGGGATATTACTTCTTCCAACGGGGCATCCTCTGTCCCAGCTTCCTCGTCTGCTCCTCCCTCGCGCCCACCAACAGCAGCTCCCATCACGTCCAACTCCTCTGCCTCGCCACTCCACCGGCAAGCAGTCAAATTCCCTCCTCCATCAGCACCCCTCACCCGAAACCCATCGACAACAGGCGAGTTGTTTTTCCCAGAGGACGACAACAACGATGATGGTGCCGACTTTGACGCGTGGGGTGATATGGGCGACATGGACGACGATGATACATCCACTCCGAACAAGATGACTGCCTCGATATCGAGCAATCAGTCAAACGACAATCCGTTTGCGGAGCCATCATCGTCAAAGAAGAAACCTGCAGTAACGACAACGGCGTCAAGTAAACCGTTTGATGATGGCTCGGAGCCAGATTTCGCGGGGTGGTTGGCGCAGCAGGCGGAGAAGAAGAAGGGAGGAGTGTTGGGGGGGAGTAAAGCTTTGCCGAAGGGGTTGGGTAAAACTACCACTGCGACGACAGCAAAGAAGACGACAGTGCCGGTGAAGAGTAAGCCAGTTGTGGTGAAGAAGAAGATCGATACCAAGCCCAAGGATGATGATGGGGACGATGGCTGGGGTGGGTGGTGATTTTCGCTGCTTGAGAGACCTATGTATGACGATATGAAAACTGGGTACTTATAATATAGACCGGTTTTGGTCAGGTGTTTGGTGGAGGCGATCGAAAAAGCATGGGAAGCAAACTTGGAGGGGTTTTTTTCGTGTTGTGTTTTGGGTTTGCATGCGAGGAGAAATGGAGTTGCGATTGATGGGCGGCTTGTTGAATGTGCTGTAGATAGTTTACAAACCAAATAATGGGAAAGCGAGGTGCAAGCCGCAAAATCTTTGGCAAAATGTTCCCAGGATTACAATGTATTCGACTGGTCGCTACTTGCTAGTTGCAGAAATCAGATAATTATTTTGCCGGTTGCCCCGTAGGCACCAAACTCTTCGCAATCGCTATCATCAAATGCAGCCCCCAGCCTTTCCCTCTCTGCAAAACGCAGTCGCAACTGATCAACCCTATTGTTGGTACATATTCCTACAGAGCGTGTTCTGATGGATTGCGAAGAAAGAAAAATCACTGCATATGCTGATACTTCTTAGCCATAGTCGTTGTATCCCCAAATTATCAGTTCACCAAAACTCCCTGCAACTGATCGCTTCACCTGCCCCTCGATAACCTCAACGAATGATGATCTCTTGCTCTCCATGGGGGTGATGGGGGTCACGTCGCTCGCATCGTCGGGAGAAGCGGATTCCTGGGGAGTGACAACGATTCCTGGGGAGTGACAACAAGCTCACCAACCCGAGCTGTAGCTTCCTCTACTGTCACCAGTGGCCCAGCGGGCGCGGGTGTTGGTACTGTTGGTGGTGCTGATGAAGGTCCCGACTTATCCTTGGCTTTCCTCGCAGCCTTGTAATTCGTCCCAGACTTTGTCCGTTGTTTCTGTCTGGGGTGCTGGAGTCGCCTCTGAGCTTGGTCTTGCTGTCTTGACCCCGAATTGCTTTTGCGGCGTTCTCCGCGTGATTCGTCCTTGCAATAGTCTTCCGAGGGCCCGTCCTATCTGGCCTCCGAGTAGTCATTGAGGGCCACGCAGACGGCGCCACGATGGTGGCCGTTGTACTGTCTGATGATTTGTTGACTGTGAAGCTCCCAAAGGCGAGCGTAATGATCGCTGCATGCAGTGACGAGGTACGCACTATCGGCGCTGAAGGCACAGTCCCAAACCCATCTTTGGTGGCCAGTGAGTGTGGCTTCGAGAGGGAACGGTCGTGGTTCACTATCTGGACCCTGGGGTTCCATCTCTTTGACCTCCCAGATCTTTGCGGTATGATCCGCGCTGCATGTTGCCAATTTCTTGACGTCGGGCGAGAGGAGAATGCGGGTGATGTAGTGACTGCTGTGTGCTGAGAATTGGGTTAGGGGTACAAGAGTGGTGCGCTCATACTGCTGTTCGAGTCGCCAGACGAAGACATTTCCCTTCAACGGCAGGTCAGCACATCTCATTATCACGAGCTTCAAACGAGAACATGAAAGATCCACATACAACAGTGTTTGCGGCGCAGAGAAGGGTCCCATCGGTTGCCACGGTGACACTTGTCACAGACACATCTTCCTCTGGGATTAGTTGGTGCGAGCAGGTATTCTCGGCCAGATCCCACAGTCGGATGCTGCCAGCGCGGTCACAGCTGATGATTTCACCCTGGTTGGGATGAATTACGACGTCATTCGCAGGGGATCCATGGTTGTAGCTGCGCTGTATTGTGCCAGTCCTCGTCTCCCAGATCTTGACGGTTCCATCCTCAGAGCTCGTGACCATCCATTTTCCCTCGCAGTGGAATGCAACACCTGTGATGTTGCCCGTGTGGCCCTCGAAGACGAGAAGTGGCGCAGGGTTTGTCGATCGGATATCGAAAAGCTTTACGGTGTGGTGGCCGGCAGCAGCGAGGTAGCGCTTGTCTGGTGAGATGCAGAGTCGGTTGACCTGCGAATCAGGATGTTGGATCGTTCGGGAGCAGATGCCTGATAGAGCTTCCCAGAATCTGAGCAAGAGTGTTAGCCCCTTGATACGAGAGAATCTGCATTTCGATATTCCGGCTTGTCGTACCGTATTGTGTGGTCGTAACCCGCTATTATCGAACCCCAATGTCAGCCAGGCGTGTCAATAGCGAGCAGCACCGAAATAGGATCTCTCAGAAGGGTCGCAACATCGTATAGCATGAGAGGAAAACTCACCGGTGCATAGAATAACGGACATCTTGTTCGCGTTGTTGCTATGAATCCATGATAGAATGCGACAGTCGGGAGAGGCTGAGGATTTTGCGGCAACTGTGGGCTGCACAGCTTCGGCTTGACGACGTTGAGCTGCTTAAAAAGAAGCCGTCGTGCAGGGAAGAGCGTATCCAATTAAAGTCACTGTGGGGGTAGAGACGATAGCCCCACAGTTGATCGGGCTGGAAGGGCAGCAAAGTGGGGCTATTCCATCGGCAGCTGCGCCATCGTGGGGGTCATGTTTGCGGTCGTCTCCACTTATGTAACCTCTGCCACTGAGTAGCAACGTTGGGGATAACTTCACTGTGTTTGGAAGGCAGGGCAATCGTGCCTTCCAGTATAGACGAAATAGCCAGACCATTTATCACGTGGAATTTTGCTGAGAAAAGAGCACGACAATATTTTTCCAATCGAAAGAACTCGAAATACATCCACAGAATGCTATCTTATCAACATTCTCATTGCAGTAAAATCATTCCTTGTGTTTTCAACAGCGAGAATTTTATTTTGACGCTCCGCACAAAGTTTACGCGGCTTTTCTCAGGGCCAGCCACATTTGTATTGGGCACGGTATGCTGAAATGGTTTTCTTCAGTTGGCCTCCTTATTATACACCACCTGCTTTTCCCGTACTACCGATTCACCACTCCCTCCCTACCTACCTGTATCCCATACATTGGCACACCACGATCTAGGGGATCATTTGGCTCTTTTCGATGTCTGAGCAACGATTGGATACATAGACCAGCGGTGTTACCCTGTCTGTACGCTCCTTTGGAACCGCATTCTCTTCCACAGCCCGGATGGACAGGTTTTCTACCCCTGAACGTCTCCAAGTGGCTGGTGACGGGCGTCCGGATCAAGACGATGTGGTGTCACAAACTCCAGGTCGGTTGCTGCTCCATTCAACTTTGGAAAGAGGCGGTCAGGCGGACTTGGGGTTGGTTTTTATCGGGATAGCCGTGCCATTTCCCATGAAGACGCAGCGTGTTGGGGCGACAGGAAGAAGTAGCACCACACAACCTGCATCACATGTCCAAGAGATGAGAATATTCCTGCTAACTCAGCTCAACTGCAGCTCGAAAACCCACTCCTTCCGCGCAGCGTAGATATCAACATCCGTCGGGCTCGCCGACTATATACCTTACCCACCGAGATTATTTACCCTTCGACCTTGTCAGTAATCACGCTCAACCTATGGTATCATGAATGATGAATTTGGATCTTTGGGGTCTCAAGAAAGGCAAGCTTTTCGGCAGCAGGTCCTCATGACAAACCAGTTGCTAGGGCCCCTGGGCTTGTGGCTAGCCTACACAGTGTTCATTCCGACGTTGGACAGACGTTGACGTTTGACTCTTACTTCCATTCAGCTACCCGATGCCTGTGCGGGACGGCCATGCTTGCTGCATTTCCTGCATCCAAGACAGTCAACAGCGGCCAACCTTCCGGATCCGACTCACCGGACTACAATAAGCCACTGCAGTAAACATTGAAGCCGAGCCTACCTGGATCGATCGAGTCCATCGCTGCAAGATGAATGATTGTCTGAGCCTGTGAATCACAAAGAAAGCCACACCCGAGAAGCACCAGCGGTCCCGGGGCCACAACGGGATAACGGCTGGCGTCGCCAATCAGGCCCCAAGTTCTTCCGCGTTGCCTGGATAGAACCAAGCCTGGCTACTCCACTATTACGAAAACACAGCTTGCTTTGCGCTACAAATGTGGAATAGTCGTTCCCAAGCGGCTCTGAAGTGGCTATCGCCGATGCACGTTGCCGTTCTGGTGGCGTTGGGATGATGTTCATGCACGATTTCGCATTCAGGGGTCGTCGACAACCGACGACATGGCTCCATGACGCGAGGCAGGGTAAGCTGAAAGTGCTATTCTTATTTGCTCAAGTTTCCTCTATGCTAACCCATTGTAGCCTGATCAAAGTCAAACGACCGCCTCGAATCCTAGCCAGCGTTACAAAAAGGCCGTACTCCTGCGCGACCCGAACCATACGGAAGAAAGTATACCAGAACACCAAGACCCTTGTTACCTGGGGACCATACCGTAACACCAAGTAAGGCATAACTGCGGAAGCCAAAGTAAACGAATGGAAAACCGACCGCCAACTCGGGAACTCCTCGCACACTGACATAACCAAGGCGATCTGTTATGATGGCTCAGAACACTCAACATGGCTAAGAGGCTACTGCTGAGTGGTAGTATATGCTGGCTGAGCCGAACGCCTCGTCGCGTTGGACTGGTGGTAATGAGGGCATGGTTCCCATTCGAGTCCCGTGTTCTTGCAAGATCCACAACCCCTGTACTGAATTAGCCTGTGTACAGAACGGACATCGAGCCCAAATTTTTCTCTTACCATCGAAGATTGCCTCCGCAAACGTGGCAAGTTGCCGGTTGGTACAGACGACCATCAGACCAAACGCAGCATCCGCAGGACTCGGGATTGTTGTATGAGTTCATGGTGTTATTTAGTTGACTTGTTAAGAAGGTGTTGTTGGGTTCTTGTGGTGTCTTTGTGGGGGTTTGGGGGATAGCAGCTTGAAGGATAAGACTCTGGATATCTCAGGAAACAACAAAGCATACAGAACACGGGGACGTTTGCGGCTTTTATGCTAACGACGATCCGCCACTTTGGTTCACCCGAGGTGATGATGTTGCTTGGAGGACACCATCTCACCGCTAGGAATGCTTCGGATGCCATCAACATCGCATCATCATGTTGCAACAGACCAATGGCAGGCTGAACTCCGGATGACCTTCTCAAGATGGTCTGCTGATTACAAAGCTCGGCCGAGAATAGCGCTGAGCTCGAGTGACAATGCGGAAATAGCACCATGTTTACACATCAATAGGGTCGGCGGCTTTCGCGGGGACAAGCAAGTGAGACATGTTCCTGGCCTCGCCGACGTGGGTAGTCAATGGGTATCCAAGGATCAACCATGTCGACGAGAACCACCTTTTGAAATTCCGTAAAAACATCTCCCGGAGCCTGGAGTTGCCTTGTATCGGGCTGGTCGTGGTAGACAAGGCATCAAGATAACGGGCACCTCACCGAGAGTCGAGATCATGCAAAGAAACTCCTGCCAGTACCCGCGACCCCAGGCCCATGATTCGTCGTTTCTTCTTCGGAGTCAAGTTCTCTACACCCTTCGATGGGCCGGTAGACACCCCTTTGTGCGGCTATCTGCATACGGTCCTGCGCTACAAAGCTAGAAGGACCTACAAAGTGACTTCTCGACTAGTGGCATCGGGCTTCATTGATACTCGAGTGTCAGCAATTGTCGTCACACAGTAAGTGACTTCAGAGTTCGGACTGTTGAGCTACTTTTCCCTATGGATATGAGCTTTCGTTTCTAATGCAAAGGCCCGGGAGCGTACCATTGCATTGGAGAGCATGTCTCGGCAAGCGCATTTTGACACCTCAAAGACAGAGACATAATTCCTGCAGTGACGAACTCCGAGCGAATGAGACATGTCGTTGAGGCGGGGTTCTGTTCAGGTACCCTTTTTTTCTTCTGCCTGTCCCAGATTCCTCCAGCTCATTTCTACGAAGAGTACCGGAGCTGGTGGTACCAAAGAAGCGGCTTAAAAGTTCCGATATGGCCAGTCAGTGACTCGGGCTCATTGTTGCGTCCGAGATCACTTCCGTTCCGCCTTGGCCTCCCAGGGCAGCTTCCGGGGTGGGGGGAGCCTCTATTTCCATGTTGTGCATTGGAAATCTTCGTCGACGCCCTATCCGCAGACATCCTTGACGACCTACCTAGCTCTGCACATGGTGACATGCTGCTTGGGGCAGTTGTGTAACAGAGCTAGGGCTCCAAACCGACCTTGCTGACTGTTTAGCTATCCTCGGACATTTTACGGAACGGAGGACCCGATCATATATCCAGTTCGAGCCTGGGTGCTCAACATTAGAACGGTGTCATGTGGGCTCATGTGCGGATTTGGGCCACCGGGTTCCCTTTGAATGGCTGTGTTGCAGTCGAATCGACGAAACTACCGCCCCTGGAGGGAACAATTGATGCGCACCGTGGCGTTTCATGTGAAGCGAAGAGGCTGCTCCGGATCTTCACAGGGACTTACGTTTCCATTGCTTTTCGGCATTGCGTCTATGATGCGGTCATGATACACCTTCTCGGTGTTGCTCGGTCAATTCATCCCTCATCTGCAACAGTATTGGACAGAGTGACGGATGTCGACAATTCAAATTCCTCGACCGTTATCTCCAGCAGCATGATAAATCGAGGATACCTGTTGATCTACCGAGCAACGAAACAGAAGACAAGAGACTCGTCGGCTGCCTACCTGAGATTATTGCCCACCGGTCAGATTGAGGGGTCTCGATGAGAGAGGCAGGAGGGCGGGAACGTACGGGGACTGGATGGCAAGCGAATGTGGCTTGCTCCTCCAACACCAAAAAGCAACAACGAGCGGCTCAGAAATCGGCGACTGAATCTCGGTCGCAGACAAAGAATGACCCCAGATCTCGACAACAATCACCGATTCGCAGTCTTGACCCTAGGGTAGGGGGAGGGGTCGGAAGCCGGCAGCAAAGGTGGAGTCACGACCGTTCAAATATGATAATATCTATCATTTCTGACCATCTCGGCTTTGCAGGTGTCCGCAGCGAGATCGTCCCATTTCTGGAAAGCCACTATCATGGGGATGGACAAGAGAAGGATCCCCAGAACTCAGAACGGCATGCCGGGAGCAGGTATGTCATGTCATGTATGTCCTATGGCATGCTCATCCGGCAGACGTTGTTGTCTCTCTTGCCTGTCTCTACTCGCGCATTAGGCGGTGAGATATGAGCTATCATTATGCCCATCTGAGTGTGACTGCATACATGCCCCTTATGCGCGTTGCACACACACATACAGGTCTATCGTAATCTTCACTGACACGCATTCTAGTAAACCCCGCTCCTCACCATGACGCTGGGTTCAAAACTGGCATCATGACCTACTTTCACAGCAAGGCACACGCATGCTTACCTTTCTACCAGTGTGCTCAGAGGTGCAGGTTTCAGTGCGTGGCCAACAAGTCTAGAACCGCAACCAACATTCTGACCAGTCAAGAACTGGGGACACAGCCTGCATGTCTCGGTGCGGGGGAATACTTGGTCTGGTAGGTCAATTGAAGCCGCCCCTTCCATGGTACATAACCCAAACACGCAACAACCCAGCGGCATACGACGAGATGGAGGTATTCAGCTTGGGTGAAGCTTGCGAAGGAGTGGGAGATAGCAGGGTGAGACAAGGGATCCGAACAATATCAACAGGGAGAGATCAGGACCAGGATCAGGGCACTGAGGATTCGAGGACCACAGGACGACACTCATTGAGACAGGCAACAAGAATCAACATCCTGCGTTCTTGAGGAACCGGACAGGGAAAATGCTTGCTGGCTGGGCTCTGTGCCTTTTTACTTGGGTAGGGGGAAGCAATGGGAGGGGAGAGAACTTGCTTTTTCGGTCGGTCAATGACCTACTTGGGAATCTCGCCTGCCAGTCAGAACGACAGGAGAAAGCGAGGGCTCCTATAGGTAGGAATGGGATCTGAGCAACACGCCGCTACAAGAGGCATCATGCAAAGCATCGGTGGTCAATGGGGGACGTTATTCGAAAGGCGGGTTGCTTTGCTGCACTGCACATGCAACAGGGTAGCACCAGGGTTCAAGGACAGGGGGGAGAGGGGGGGGGGAGTTCACTTGCACTGTGGGAGGTATCTCTTGATAACTTCCCGGCTCGCCTCACTTTCGAGTGGTACTTGCTCACCGAGTTTCTCAGTGCATGTGAAACATGAGGGTGTAGGAAACGGGGCCAAGGGGGACCGGTGGGATGGGACTGCAGGGCGTGGCGTTTTTGTGGTCTCTGGGACCCGCGCATTCTGTTAATGTGCGTATGGGAATGAGTCGGGATGAGCCATCCGGGATGCCAGAACGGGAGGTTTTATCCCGTATGTGGTGATGATTGAGTGTGTTACACGCTCCTCGAAATAGGACACCGTGGGAAATGGTGGCTGGGTTGGGCATCAGCGGCGGAAATAGGTAAGGCAGGGTGGCTTGATATAGGATGTGCAGGAGGAGAGCTGATGATGCTGGATGTGGTGTTGAGAGAGAGCTGTTCTTTCTGTTGGTGGGGGGACGAGGAAGAGAGCGGAAGAGGGACTGGCGGGGTGTCGATGGATACCGAGTCCGAGAATATGACAAAGCAAGGGATTCCAGGTTTGTGAGGGTACACAAAAGTTTGGTTGCCCTACGACGCTACGATTACCCAAGCCGATGGATTGGCGATGAGTGATGGCATGTGGTTTCTTAAGGCGTCGGGATTCTGACAAAGCTGGTGGGACTTGTGGGACGGTGATCAGGAAGAAGCTGAGGTTTGTTCGACCTAAAATAAAAATGGTTGTACTAACCCGTGACTTTTGTGGGATATGTTGACGATTTGCTGTATATTGAAAACCCAGCGTGTGGTCACCAAAACTTGGTTGAGCACGCTCTTGTCACTCAGGCAGTAGGCATGACAGCCTGGTGTTGTGTCATTTTCAACACTCATTCATTATGGCCAGGGACTACTTCGCATGATAAGCGGCTAAGTATACAGAGCAAGCCGACATTGGGCCTCGAACCTCCCCGGTCGTCTCCTCGAAGGAGGAAATGCTCCAGATATGAGAATGGGTCAATAAGGATCCAGAAATCTCTTGGTCGCCAAGAATCCTCCGTTTATCAGCTTTCAGTTACAATAAGTAAAGCAAACTCCAGCCATGCGTTTCACCCATAACCTTACGGAGCTTCGCTCCAATCAGCTGTATGCTGGATGAGGGCCATCACGAAACAAAAAGCAATTGCAGAAACCGGATGCAAAGACCAATACGAACGGACGAGGTAAGCCCCAGCCATACACGAATACTCATACAGGCAATACAGGAGCAACAAATGTGATATCATGATCACCGTGGGGATGATGGACGGAGACGGCCTGATTCCCATCACTGTGAGCTTTTGCTCTCAGAGTGTCGTTCAGGCCCATTGGGAAGACAAATATCAACCATTGTGCCAGACCCAAACCTCTCAGCTCCAGATCTTATCCAGAATAAGGCAGTATCATGAGATTTCGATCCAGGCACCGGATAGATCAGGATCGCAAACCGCCGACTTGCTTTGCCCGCTCCAACTTTGCCATAACCAAACTCACATGTCGGAGCAAACCGCGTTGTGAATTCCAGGTTCAATTTTCCCATCCCTTGATGACCCGATCTGATCTGAGAGATTGGCCCAGATCAAACCGTCACGTTGTTCAGTTCACCTCGGATTAACGTTTGTGCAGTCATCAACAGCGAAAGTGGTCGCATTGGGGATTTCTGGGGAAAATCTAGAATCCCCAAAATCAGATGTCAGATGCCAACCGAGCCCAAACTTGGGATGGCACCTCCACTTTACCTCCCCAAGCCCAGCTCCGCCCAATCACAAACTTCCCATTCATCCCCATTCAGCCCAGCTTGCCAATGCCCACCCCCGGCCACCTCCGACAATCACACCACGGGCGGCGCCAAGCTCTCCAACGTCGTCAACGGCGAGGGGTCCATGGCACGATTTCCACACCCAGCTGGCCAGATGGTGAGGCAAAACGAGACCGCGGTGGCCCGAGCTGTTACCCAACTTTGCTGACGGCCGTAGGGCTGATCTGGTGCTTCTGGGTGAGGGTGATGCGATTTTGTGTGTGGGAGCGCCTGATTTGTGTTGGCGACGGCGTAAACGACGAAGAGGAGCCGGAAGCTTGGGAGCTGGAGCTTCATTCCAGGCTTTTGGTACACGAGCTTGGATACCAACCAGCCGGATGGATCGATTCGGGAGATGATGTTGGTCAAGGTGGTTTATTCTGGGCTTTGATGGAATGACTTTTGTTGCTGGAAATAGTAATATATAACTCTTGACCATCATCCTGTTTGTATCTTTCCCTTCTTGTATCACCATCATCATCAACAGCTTCATCAACACAGCTCCTCGATCTTTCAGATCACCACCACCAACAAAACAAGCAATCTCCTCTCTCTCTGTCTACTTTTAGTACCAACATCTCAACTTAACCTCTACTCATCACCACTTCAAAAAACAAAACATCAAAAATGTCTCCCATTCTTGCCCGCCTCGCCGCCCGCAACGTCGCCTTCCGCGGTGTTCAGCAGCAACAGAGAACCTTCTCCGTCTACAAGTCCCTCCGGCAGTTCGCCCGCTCCTTCGAGCACGCCCCCTTTGAGCGTCTGCCCGTCTCGACCAACTCTGCCGCCGCCGACTGGGGGAGACAGATCAAGAGGGTTGGAAAGCAGGGTGCTGTGTATGTTTTTTCTTCTCTCCCCCCATTCAAATCAACAGAAGAGATGGCTAACATTTGACGGCGATGATACAGTTACTTCCCTGCCATTGGCATGATCCTCGGGTGGCCATACCTTGCTGCTTCGGGTCTAGATGGTCGTGTTTAAAACATACCTACCTACAACTCCCTATCAAGAGGCACTCTCTTCGATGAAACACACACACATCCACCACGACACACATGAATATTTGCTTTGTTTGGGTATAACGGCGTTTTGGGATACCAATTGGGTTGGTTGGGGTTTTGCATTATGGATGGGCTGGGAGGTTGGCTCAGTCGAAAGTATATTATTGTACAACAGAACAGACAGGATTTAGAGCGTTATACCTACACTCTTAGGTTGGTGGCTGGTCTGGGGAGTATATACAAACACAATCAAAATGCAATGAAACCTCCAGTATGCAGATTTCAGAAAACGTGTTTCCTAGATTAACCCAGTGTCGGAACCCAGCAATCTCAGGCACTCTGACCATCATTCCGCAACATCTCCTTAACATCCTCGTCAATGCCATCGTTTCCAAGATCCGGGAAGTCATCCGACGGCGCTACCTTGCGCTTCTTATTAGACCCGTTGATAGGCACAGCTTGGTAGTTTGCAGCAACGCTAGACAGCATCTCAATCCCCGGGGCAACTACTGGGAATGTGGGGGTCTGCTGAGGCACACCATTGTTGCCATTCTGCTCGGTTTTGATAGGGTCGCTCTGAACGTGCTCGTCGTCGGCATCGCTCTGGGGAGGTGGCGTCAGTGCCTCAAACTGAGGAGGCTCGGGCTCGGTAGAGGTTCTATCCTCCTGTTTGGTGACCTGGCCGCCAAGGATGGTTGCCTCGACCTGGTTCTTCTTGTGCTCAATCTCAGTCCTGCGGCCGCTGAGCAGCTTCATCTGAGCCTCCTCCTGCTGGAGAGCGTTCTGGTTCTCGGCCAAAAGCTTCTCTAGGCTTCTGATCATCTCCTTTCGGGTGCGCAGGCTCTCCGCGACAGCACCCTCGGCGTTGGCCAGGTTCTTGAGCAACCCATTCAGACGAGCCGCCTGAAGCGGCAGCGCCGTCGCCTGTGCGGTGGCTGGGTCGGAAAGCTTCTCGTACTCTGTCTGGGCGTTGCTGAGAGCGACTTTCATGGGAGTGGCACTTCTAGTGACGGCCTGGTGTTGAGCAACCAACGGCATGAGCTCAGAGGGAGCAGGTGGGCCTGACGAGTGGAAACCAGAGCCGCCAAAGGTACCGCCATTGTTAGTAGGGCGTGATTTGTCAAGTTCTAGAACAACAATGCGTTAGTAAGGAGCCACGGAATCGCAAATTTGCCGTATCACGTTACTAACCTCCCATGCGCTCATACAAGCCCTGGATAGTCTCTCTGTCAAAGACGCTGCGATCCCTCCAGACATCCACAACTCTGCGAAGCTTATTCTGAACCTCGGAATTGGCACCCTTATATGCCGACGCCGTGGCCTCGGCGATAATAGGGGCAAAGGCAATGATGAAATCCTCCTTGTGGCGAGCCTTACTCTGCTGAGTCACCTCTGTATTAACAGTCAGCAAGGTGAAAACAAAGCCAGCGACTTAGTCGAGGACGGCACTCACCATTGGCGAGGTAAATCATGTTGAGTCTCTTGGGCGGTGGAAGGTCCTTCAGTTTACCAAGCCACAGGTTGACTGTCTGGGCTGCATGGCGTCTACAGACGCAGTTAGCATCTACAAAAAGCAGAGAAAAAGTCTCATCGAGACTCTGGCTTAAATTGAGGTCGAAACGTACCTGTGGAACATGATCCACTGAGCTGTCGTTGCGATGCTCTCGTGCGTCTCGTTTAGAGCCGAGAGCTTCGACAACACGGCATCATCGGTATATGCCATTGTTGAATATACAGACTGAGAAAACAGATAAAATGTGTGGATGTGTTGCTATGGCCTGCGGGGGTTGGTTAAACACAAGATGGCCGAAACTGAAGCAGACGGGCAATAAATCTGATGATAATGGGGGTGGTTGTGAATGGGTCCCCAATCAGAAGCTTGCTCTCAAATCACGGTTCAGATGGCCGAACTTTGAGAAAGCGGACGTCGCGGCTTGCTTTGGCCTGCAAGAGCTCTGCCACGAGCAATCGCACTATCAGGAGCTACACTTCCTACCAAACGTCCAGGCGTAGTGGCCAGGCAGAGAAGAAGGATGGGACAGAGTGAATGCGCAGTTTGTTTTTTGTTTGTTTGCTGCAGAGATGAAATGGGAAAAGTAGATGGGGATGTGGAAGCTTTAAATGGATCTGGGAAGTTGTTGCCCAGCTCCAAATGCATCAAAGACTGTTTCGGTACCTGATTATTGCATAGTCGTGGCAGTGTGCCCGATTGAAGCATATGCTGGAGCCCCCCCCCCCTTGTCAGCCAATCACTCCTGCAAGCTCCAGGTGCCAGTCAGCCAGAGCCCCCGGAGCCCAGCGCAAGCGCAGCAACCTGGCGCGATCAAAGGCACCTCTTTCTGGATTTATTCGAACAAACACCACCACCGATCCTCCAAACCTGCCATTCTGTCATATTCCTCGCATAACCCCGCTTGAACTTCGGCACCACCAGACACAATCACCATGGCTGACAGATTCCCATCGTTGGAGGACTTCGACTCCGGCGGTAAGTCGACTGCAGCCCCCTATATACCCTGTACCTTGATGGAAACAGGTCGCTTCTAACACTTTCGCATGCAGCCCAGACCGGCGTCCAGGATGCCTCCGAGGTTCCCACAACCAGCAACTTCCTAGAGCGCGAGAAGGCCATTCTCGGTGACGATGCCAACCAGTTCGCGACAGTCGAGGACGCCGGCTTCGACGAGGATGACGACGACCTGCTAGGAGGCGGCATCTCTGCCACCGGCAATAACAGTGCTGCGTTTGATAGCCAATTCCCTGACATCACCAGCCCAAATGAGGTATGGAAGAACGCCCAACATTACATGCCGCTGTGTCTGCGTATAAAGAGTTTCAACGTTGACGAGTTATCAGGGCCTCACACCCCCCGCCGGAACCACCACCATCACCGGTCCCTCCGTCAGCTACAACTCCGGCTACAACGCTTACGCCCAAGAGGAGGAGGAGCCCCAAGTGATTAAGGAGTGGAGGGAGAAGCGGGACGCCGGCAACGCCAAGCGGGCAGAGCAGTTCGCCCAGCAGCGCGCCGAGACGGTCAAGGAGGCCCAGCAGAACATCGATGACTTCTACGAGAACTACAACAACAAGAAGGAGAAGACCATTGCCCAGTCAAGGAAGGAGGCTGAGCAGTTCCTGGCCAGCCGTGAGGACACCACATCGGGCGGCACCAGCTGGGAGCGCATCGCCAAGATCGTCGATGTGAGCGGCAAGGGCGCGAAGGGTGGTGCTTTGGGCTCTGGCAAGGAACGATTCAGGGAGTTGCTGGTCAGCTTGCGCAAGGACGAGAAGGCCCCCGGTGCTGAGGGTTATTAAACCTGTTGAGAGTTGGAGGTTGGAAGCTGAAAGGGGTGGTGACGATACCCATCATAAATTACAACGAGGAGCCATGGCCTATTCGCATTAATGTACTTTTAGATGGGGCTTTATTTATTTGCTGCACAGGACTTCTCGGGTTTTAAGGGTGAAGGCGTCAAAACATCAATGGGAGCACAGCTTTTTTTTTTTGCCAAAGGAACATATAGCATACAAAAAGTGACTTGAATACAACTGCTAGAGTGAAAGAAGACCAACCAGAATTCATCAAACATATCAGCCTCGGCAATCGGCGGACATACCGAATAAGCTCAGTTATCCCGCGCCATCATAGGACACACCACATGGAAGAAACACATTGGTGAATAATGGCAACCTCCGTTCTATTGCTGTTTCTCAGCAACCTCTTGCTACACACATGTACAAGTTTCCAGCGGTGGTCCAAGGTTCGATCCCCGCCTTGTTCTATCTCCCCTCACTTCCCACGGCTAAACTGCATCATCTGATATGCGGTAGGCTTAGTTCTTGCCGAACCAGGTCTTGTAACCGCAAACCTGACGGCCCATGGCGTACATGGAGGCTGTTTTGATTCTGTCAGCCAAACTAACTGTCTTTGCTGGTACTCTCAAGGAGTGATACATACCACCGAAGGTACCCCACATGAGGGCGTAGTAAGGGGTGAGCATGAGGCCGGAGCGGGGGCTCTGTTTGAGGGAATCGTAGGTTAGTACGTCATGTTTGATACCTCCTCGTGTTGCCATGTCCATATTCTGCTTTTGAATGACCGCCAGGTCTTTCCAGCGGACAGACCCCCCTCCACCTCTGTTTTCCTTGCGACTGGGGAAGGGGAACACTCACGATTCTCCAGATACGAGTGTGAGCCCGGTAGGCAGCCTGGTAAACCCGCTGCTGGTGAGGGACCTTGTTGGGAGCGTCGACGAGACTACAAACAACCCATTAGCCTTTTCTGTTCCTTCTCTCCATATCCCCTCCCTCTGTTCTTCCCCCTCAACCCCACTACTCTATTCCCCGTCGTTGTTCACGTCGTGATTGTTGTGGTGTCGCTTTCAACCCCTCTCCAACCGCAATCGTATGACCCTCCAATGTCGTCGGTATTTTCCCCCATGCGCGAGAATTGCAAGCTTCCTCCACTCCCCTCCCCTCCCCTCCAAACTCCTATCCCTTAAGCCGAGGAATTGCTTACCCCATTGTGAGAAAAGTGAGCGGAGATTTGAAAAAGTGCGGTTGGTGTTTTTTTGCGGTTCGCGTCGGCGACAACAAACAAAGCTGATGTTCAATTGATTCGGGTGGTCAGCAAGAGGTTCGAAAGCTTGGGGCAGCGGAATGACGGAGCAAAGCGGGCTGCAACCGGGGAAGGTGTGGTCTGTGCTTCCGGGTTTACTAAGCAGATTGTTCGGCTGCGAGCCCCTTCTTTTGGAGCCCGGGCTGGAGAAAACGACGTACTACACAGTAGTCTCCTGTTGAAAACGACGCTAGCCATATAGAACCAATATTGACTCAACATCAAAAAATGGTGAAAACGCACCAAAAAACGGGGTGTTTTCGTGCAGACCCATCCGACAAATATTTCAACGGCCTCCCACCACAACAGCGAGCACCTCACTGGCTTCGGCCCGCAATTGAATTGTACGACCGGTGTGGCCTTAGTTGGTTAAATTGGTCGGCTATTCAATTGGCTGGTGAGTGGTGGTTGTAACTGGGTGCCGTCTAAGTTGCAACCGCACCAACGCGAGCCATTATTCAACACCTTCGATGGCCACGATGCATATCAAAACATCTATGGCATTGAATTCCAGGTCAAAAGTCCACCAAAACGTGCCAAACCAGGTGCAGATTGGAGCTAAAGAGGCCTTGCAAATGTGTGTGGTTGTGCAGGCGGCCTGCCACTTGGTGTTTTTGTATGATTTTCAACGTTGGTGCCAAATGCGGCTACGGCCGTTTTCAACAGGAGACTACGTCGTTTTCTCCAGCCAGGCTCCTCCTTTTGCTTGTGAAGCTTCAACCCTGTCGGGTCCACTTTTAAAGAAGGAGAAAGGCAGTGGCATATAGGTATTAAATATCATACATATCTCAATTAGGTGGTACAAAAGCATTTGCGCTCTTTGCTCCAGTCTGGGAGCATTCTTCTAGTCCTTGGAAGCCTCCCTTCTACACTAGTCAAACAAACCCTCCAAATATGCGCCGTGCCAAGTGTGTATTGTGATCCCTCTAATGGTCCTCGCTTGGTGGGGGGCTGGGTGGTGAGCCCCCGTGGTTCTTGGGCTTGATGACCAGCAATATGATTACCGCGGCGATTAGAAGCAACAGAAGTAAGATGATCTTCCGCTTGATCGTCTTCTTCTGATATCCTTCTGCAACTTGGAGCTCCTTGGCAGCTTCTTTCACGTCGCTCGACATGGACTCGACATTGTAGTCTATCCTATCCAGCATGGTGCCCTGGTCAATGACCATCGTTTGTAAATCGCGGAACAAATTCGCCAAGTCGATGATGCCCTGTGCGATCTCCTCAATCTCTCGCTCGCGTTGCGCAATGGCAGCGTCGTTTGAGTGGAGAAGTTTCTGGTGTGTAGCTGCCTGCAGTGTAGCTTGCGAATAAGTTCTATCCGCATCAGATTCCATAAGAGATGGTTCACCCCCACTTAATGATGTCGACGTTTGGTCCATCGGGCTTATCAGTCCAGACATGCCCTTGAGTTCTGCAAAGAAAGTCAGCATCCGCGCTCCATACTTGACAATTTGGGTGCATTCTTACTCTTCAGATAATTGCTCTGTTTCTTCCTAAACAACGAACTCGCTTCCTGCACCCTGGTGGCCAAGTTCACCTGGATATTCTTGGCCATAGTCTCGTCGGCCTTGCTCATCTGGCCCGTCTGTTTGCCCTCACGAACCATCTGCTCTATCCGTTGTATGCATCCGTGGCAGTCGTGAAATCCCTTCGTGATGGCCTGCGTCAACTTCTCAATCTCTCTTTCCTCGGCCTTTTTGGTGTCCTCGTCGTTGAACCCCGGCAGCACATGTTTCTGATGCAGCCGTTCCAGCTTCTGGCTCTTTTGCGCAATATCGGCCAAGATCTCGCTGACTTCGTCTGACACGTCGGCCCATCGTGGGGGAAGCAAGTCCATTTCGATCACGGCATCGCCATCGTCCACATCGTACGCTCCGGCAGATAACAGCCCCCTGCGGTCCTCGTCTGCCGAGAAGAGCACTCCGGTGCTTGCGCCGCTGCTTCCGCCGAAGCGCTCGCCCACGGTGGATGGCCCATATCGATTTCGTTGTGCCGGGTGGTGGGCGTAGGACTGCCGGTACGAAATGTAGCTGGATCAGACACGTTAGCTCACGTCTTTCCAAACAGAACGAACTGGCAAGCTGCCACCTACAGATTTGTGCGGTCTCGCCACATGGCGGACGCAGGAAGGGTAGAAGTGGTCCCTTCAATTCGCTATGGGAAGTTGTAAAGGAGTGAGGGGCCGTCTTGTGGTGTATGTTGCCGCAAATGTGGATGTTGCGACATCACATCGTAAATCACCGTCGTAATGCGCTCCGGCTACTCGCTCGCTCTCTGGAAGATGACGCCAACTGGAAGCAGACACAATTGCCAATTGCAGGAGGCGCAGTGAGAGGTCCGGCTGGGACCCCTTGGCTGGCGCGCTGGAGAGCTGGAACAGCCTTGGGGGAAGGGCGGCCGTCAGCTGCCAGCACCTGTGGGCCTTATGGAACATGGCTGACAGTGACGGTGGAGCTGCCAACGCCAACAGAAGGCGGCGTGGTGCCTTGGCAGTTGCGCGCACCCAGGAGAAGGCAGCAATGCAGGCCCGCTGGAGGCCCGGGCGCCTCTCCAGAAGGGGGGGCCCCGCATCCCTTCTCGAAAGCTTGCGTCTCATTTAATCTGACCCTCACGACGACTCCATCAGCTCGCCGAGACGCTACACTTCGTTCTTTGGCCTTCTGCAAACACCGCTGCTGCCAGATCAGATCCCTTCAGAATCGCTTCCACGCATCCATAACCAATTTTCGTTCACTACAAACACATCAAGATGGTCAGTCTTCCATGTCAACAGATGCGCCCGAGACCTTGAACCAACTGCCTGGTAACCCCGCGGTTGAGGGGACAATGAGGCGGCATTCGCAACACATATTCAGGAGAACATCGCAAGCTGACGTTGTTCGCTACAGGCCGACTCTCTCACCGAGGAGCAGGTTTCTGAGTTCAAGGAGGCCTTCTCCCTCTTCGTATGTCCCCCTTTCTATTTCTATCAGTGGTTCCTCCTGGCGCAAACTTGCTGACCTCTTCAACAGGACAAGGACGGTGATGGTTAGTGGTTCCCCTGTAGCCGAGTTTCCCAAATCTCCCCAACCCGCCCAACGAGGCTCGCGTTTTGCACGTTCGACATTTCGTACGACGACGATAACGATGATTTCCGCCTGGCTTATTTCCTTTTATACAATGGACGAATCACTAAAGCGGTAAACAGGACAAATCACTACTAAGGAGTTGGGCACCGTTATGCGTTCGCTGGGACAGAACCCTTCCGAGTCAGAGCTCCAGGATATGATCAACGAGGTCGATGCGGACAACAATGGCACCATCGATTTCCCAGGTAGGCACCGCCAATTGCGCGCATGCGCATCTATACACGACCACATGGCTGACCAGGTGTAGAGTTCCTTACTATGATGGCTAGGAAGATGAAGGATACAGACTCCGAGGAGGAAATCCGTGAAGCTTTCAAGGTGTGTATACTCTCAGAGAGGGTACCTTCCAATTGGTTCTAATCAGGAGGTGAAGGTGTTCGATCGCGATAATAACGGCTTCATCTCGGCTGCCGAGTTGCGTCATGTCATGACCTCCATTGGCGAGAAGCTCACCGACGACGAGGTTGATGAGATGATCAGGGAGGCTGATCAAGACGGTGATGGTCGCATTGACTGTAAGCACCTTTTCATATCATATATACACGGCAAATGCTGACAATCTACAGATAACGAGTTCGTGCAGCTCATGATGCAGAAGTAAACTCCGAAGCAGCCAATTTGCATTTAACGTCCCGTCTTACGAAAACCTGCGTCTAATGTTTCGGATTTTTCTTTCTACTTCATTCTGGATGGGTCTGCCCCGGTCAGCGTCGGGTAGGGTTTTATCGCCAGAGGTTTGATATCAAACATCAATCGCAAGGGATTCCCCTGTTCTCTATTGGGCATCATGCTTGACGCCATCTCCACCCTATGGATGCTCCCCTTTTCCGGGGGGTTTCAGGGGTCAGTGGGGTACGCCAACACCAAGCATCAAACAGTGAAGGTGGTGATTGATGATTGAAGGGGTGGGAATCATTCAGCAAACACAAAAGACTTCTGGGCCTGCCTTCTGGGTCGAGGGGGTTAGTCTGTTTTTGTTGGCTATTCAAGGTCGGGAGCTGACCACCGCCTCGTTGTTTGTGTCTTGACGACTCTTTGCCTTGTCGACTTCAGCGCGATGTTCTTTTTGTCCAGCGGGATATTCTTAGTGTAGGGTTGATAATGAGAAGCCTGTTTTAGAAGGGAATAGACTTGTGTGTGTACCCAATTGCCCAAAGTTACACAGGAACAAGACAAGTGACACAAGCAATGAAGAGAGGGGGGAATAATAAGCTGACCATTAACGTCATTTTTGCCGAGCCAGCCGCTAGTATATAATAATCTTGGTCCCCCAAGGAAGCATCCGCCTCCTCCCGCTCGTGCATGATGATTGTGGCAGTGCTGGACGATACTATGTACTAGGGAAGCCGAAAACGAGGCTCAGCCCTATAGGGCTGGCTAAGGTAGAGGAACAAAGGGGAGGATGTGTAGATGATGCCCGATGTGATGCGAGAGGTGAGGTGAGGTGGGTTGGGTGTAATTATTCTATGTCGAGTGTTGTAGTAGGTGTGATTTTTCCAGTGATTTCTTTCTTTACGTGTAGTTCTTCCCATCCTCCTCCGTTACCAGCTGGTTGTGTAAGCCCAGGCAATAACTTCATTCCTCCTTTTTCAGAATTTTACTCGATGACCTTTCCGAGAGGGAAGCAACACGTTGTTTTTGTTCAGTGTCTCTCTGGCATTTTTGTTGTGAGACTTTTGAACAAGTGTTGCAAAGTCTCTTTTGGTCGAAAGTTGATGATCAGTTTCTTAAGCTTTTGTTGTCGATCGGGTGAGATACAGGGGCGGTCGTGGGATGCTGCGAGTCCCGCCAGCTCGTTCTTTGATGCTCTCGCGGAGGCGGATGGCGGTGGGGATCATGACTGCGTCCATGCCGCATGTTGGGCCGCCGCCGCCGCCGGAGCCGAAGGAGGAGGGTCGGGGGAGGAAGGCTGCTGTTGCGGCGAAGGCGAGGAGGAGAATTCTTTTGGAGCGGGGACTGAGAGGTTGTTAGATGGATGGGGAGCATGGGGACGGGGAGGGGGGAAAGGGGTTTACAATCGGATTGGTTTGGGATGTTGTGGTGGTTCCATTTTGGTTGTTGGCTCTAGAGGATGCTTTAGGGTGGGTTTGGTGGAGGTTGAGGTGGATGGTTGAGAAATATGTATGTGGTGAGTTGGTGTGAGATTGAGGTCGGAGGGATGAGAATATCTAGGAGCTTTCTTATTTGTGGGAGGCGAGAGATGTAATGAAGTGAAGAGAATTTTGGGTTTGATATTGGCTGGTTCGTGGCTTGTGTCAGAGGTTAAACGGTCAGTCGGGTCGAGTTAATCTACATTCAACGGCCTTGCATTTGGTATGCACTCCATAATCGCTTGGATATTGTTCCGCAAAGGGATTAATCGATTGAGAGCAACAGTTGTAATGGTTTATTGCTCTGGATAGCCGCACGTTGCAGCGGTTGCTCTTCGTATGAAATGAGTTTGAGATATCAACCCACGTATCGTGAGAAATTGAAAGCAACACTCAGTGTTTGTCTGGTTCAGCCCTTCTTTCGGTCATGACTCAAAGGGTAAAACTGAGCGCCTAAACAATGACCAAAAGATTATCTTGACCTTACATAGACGTCGTTCAAAGTCTGATTTCAACCGCAATCAGCTGTATGATATGAATTAGACTCTTGCAAGAGTCGAAAAAGTCCATTAGTTGACAAAGGGTCAGTCAGGGTGTGCTTGCCTGCAGCCCCTATTTTACCCCTTTTTCAGGTTCCTTGGAAGAGTGAGAGACCTGAAGCCATGGTGAGATAGCCTCAGCGAGCACACACAACGACAGCAATTCTGACGGGGACTTTTGGTTCTCTACAGAATTTCATCTCTCCATCTTGAAACCCTCCATTGCACCTATGCTTTGCAGGCCTCTTTCAATGGCAAGTGTCGAGATTATTGAAAGGGGGAAGCGACCCACTTTGAACCCTCAGGGTCTGGAACAGACGCCAATCGCAATGGACGCTGCCTGAGGCACCGAATGGGACAAGGGTCCGACAGCTGCCACCCTGAACCTCCAGCGGACAGCACGCAGAGCCACATCGCTGTGAGAGACCATCTGGTAATGCGGCAACGGTCTGCAACTAGCGAACACACGAACAACCTCCTCCAAACCTCCCGCTCTCAATTCTGGACCGAATTCTCCCCTAGGCCCCTACGAGGGCCCTAATAAAGTCACCATGAGCTCCCGTGAGTTTAATGCCCGCCATTCCCTTTGCCTACCTACATCTGCGCCAATGTATCGCCAGCCAGCCAGCCGTATCGGGAGTTACTGACGTGCCTGCAACCCCACAGTCAAGCAGTTCATCCGCAACGTACGCGCCGCGAAGACCATCGCCGACGAAAGAGCCGTCATTCAGAAAGAAAGCGCATCCATCCGTGCCAGCTTCAGGGAAGAGAGCGCAGACCACGGTGTCAGGTACATATATCATCGACCCCTGGAGACAGACAGTCTGGGTTGGGCAGTGTGTGTGCTGATAGTAGGAACGGTACAGGCGGAACAATGTGGCCAAGCTACTCTACCTCTTCACGCTTGGCGAGCGCACTCATTTCGGCCAGATTGAGTGCTTGAAGCTTCTCGCATCACCTCGTTTCGCCGACAAGCGGTTAGGGCATTTGGCAACAAGTTTGCTGCTGGACGAGAACCAGGAGGTTCTCACCTTGGTCACCAACTCTCTCCAAAAGTGCGTCCATTTGCTCTGGCAGAGAACCCTACAACCAACTGACTCGATGGTACTAGTGACCTGCAACATTCTAATCAATACGTGGTCGGTCTTGCCTTGTGTACTCTCGGAAACATCGCCTCGGTCGAAATGTCGAGAGATTTGTTCAGTCAGATCGAGAACCTGATATCCACCGCGAACCCCTATATTCGACGAAAAGCAGCCCTCTGCACCATGCGGATTTGTCGAAAAGTACCAGACCTACAAGAACACTTTATCGAAAAGGCGAGCCAGCTTCTGTCCGATAGGAATCACGGCGTGCTGCTCTGCGGCCTGACCTTGGTCAACAGTCTTTGCGAGGCCGACGAAGCCGAGGGCGGTGAGGAGGGAATTGTCGACAAGTTCAAGCAGTTCGTCCCTGCTCTCGTGAGGATTCTGAAGGGGCTGGCATCCTCGGGATATGCCCCTGAGCACGACGTCACTGGAATTACAGACCCCTTCTTGCAGGTCAAGCTTCTGCGGTTGCTTCGTGTTTTGGCCCGCAATGATGCCCAGGTAACAGAACAGATCAACGATATTCTCGCGCAGGTCGCGACCAACACCGACTCTTCCAAGAATGTTGGAAACTCGATTCTCTACGAGGCGGTACGGACGATTCTGGATATCGAGGCGGACTCTGGCTTGCGTGTTCTGGGTGTGAATATTCTGGGCAAGTTCTTGACGAACAAGGATAACAACATTCGCTACGTCGCGCTGAACACCTTGGTCAAGGTGGTGGCCATCGATACTAACGCCGTACAAAGACATCGGAATACTATTTTGGAGTGTCTGAGGGATCCCGATATCAGCATCAGGAGAAGAGCCTTGGACCTCAGCTTTACCCTCATCAACGAGAGCAATGTTCGGGTTCTGATTAGGGAACTGTTGGCATTCTTGGAGGTGGCCGATAACGAGTTTAAGCCAACCATGACCACCCAAATTGGCGTCGCTGCGGACCGTTATGCACCAAACAAGAGGTGGCAATTCGATACCATGTTGCGCGTGCTGAGCTTGGCGGGCAATTACGTGAAGGAGCCGATCTTGTCGTCCTTCGTTCGTCTTATCGCCACAACCCCTGAGCTTCAGACGTATGCCGTACAAAAGCTTTACGCGAATCTCAAAAAGGACATCACACAGGAGAGCTTGACACAAGCCGGTGCTTGGTGTATTGGTGAGTATGGCGATGCTCTGCTCCGTGGTGGTCAGTACGAGGAGGAGGAATTGGTCAAGGAGGTCAAGGAGCACGAAATCGTTGATCTCTTTTCCACCATTCTTAGCAGCAGTTATGGTACTCAGGTTACCACCGAGTATGTGATCACAGCCTTGGTCAAACTCACGACCAGGTTCTCCGAGCCAGCACAGATCGAACGGATACGGCGCCTGTTGCAAAACCACCAGACAAGTTTGGACGTCGAGGTGCAACAACGTGCGGTTGAGTTCAGCAACCTGTTTTCATACGACGACATTCGCCGTGGTGTGCTCGAGAAGATGCCGCCTCCTCAGATCAAGGAATCATCACGAGTACTTGGCGAAGCGGCGAAGAAGACGAAGAAGGCGGACAACAGGAAGTCCAAGTCTCTCAAGCCGAAAGAGGAGGATCTTCTTTTCGACCTCATGGGCGATAGCGGACCATCGGCCCCGTCGCCAGTCAATGGCACTCAGAACGCGGATTTGCTTGCGGATATTCTTGGAGGAGCCAGCGCCCCGGCTCCTACCAGCTCTTCGCCAGCTCCGGTACAGTCCAATGTGGCCTCGATCATGGATCTCTTTTCGCAAGGACCAACGTCCACGCCACCTCCCGGCCCGGCTGCTGCCGCCCCTCCACCCAGCGCCGCCCTCTTCTCCATGGATGCTGTCCCAGCACCACAGGCGGCCGCTGCTCCTGCTGTCCCAGTTGGACACCCTTGCTACGACAACAACGGCCTGAACGTGACTATCCAGACACAAAGAAACGCGGAAGGCACAGTTCAGGCCATCGCCAGATTCAAGAACACGTCTGGGGCCCCTCTCTCCAATGTTGGGCTGCAGGCTGCTGTGCCAAAATCACAGAAGTTGCAGTTACTCAGCATTTCATCGACAGATGTGGCGCATGGTGCTGAGGCCACACAAATGATGAGGGTAGCGGGTTGCAAGGGGGTAAGTGATTGTACGTTCCATGGTACAAAAGTACTTTGCTAACAATCCTGTGAACAGCCTCTGCGGTTGCGCTTGAAGATTGGGTATACTCACCCCGCGGCGGGACAGGTAATGGATGTGGTTGCTTGGCAGGAGCCTGCTTAATGGTGTCATGCTAGCGATGGTTGGTTTCTATAGTGCGGAGAAGAGAGATTCGGGTGGGCGTTTTCTGTCACGTATGGATGGCTGTGATGGCTGCGGGGCGTCGGACGGTTAACAGCACAATAAAACATCATGGAGGGGGGAAAGCGTGGTAACCTAGATATATTACTGGTGTGAGTTGATAGTGGTGATGACTCCAAGAATCCAGATTATACCGTGATGATAGTGTGACCTTGCCTTAGGTGCAAGAAATTGGCGGCTCCTCGAAACAGCTTCCAAAACATATGAGTACCCAAAACAGACGTCCTTGAAATCTCAAAAGTCTTCCAGTTTTAATAAATTTTGCGCCATTCCCAACCCGCTATTGATGCAAGAAAAAAAGCTTCAATCGCACACAGCTACATTTATTATGATACATTTTTTCATCTCATCACCACTCACACCACCATAACTCTGCTCAGTCCGCCTCCGTAGCGCTACCATCGCGCCTGTCATGCACAGTTAGCACATAGCAGTGATGAGTCGAGAGAGCGCGCCAAACTTACGGGATATACTGAATCCTATACTCCTCCTCCAGCATGGTGCGGATCTCGTCTGGCAGCTGGCCGAGGACCTTGTTGGCGTAGGTGCCGCGGACGTAGCCGTCGAGGCGGTTGTATTTGGCTATCCAGGACTTGGTCGGGTCGGCGATGGCGATGAGGCCCTCGAAGACGGACGAGGTGCAGGACTCGATTTGCTCGCTGGAGCCTTGGAGGTGGAGGAACTCTTCGCAGTTGGGGCAGCCTTCGTCTCGGAAACGCTGATGGGTCATGACTATGCTGCAGACCATGCAGGCGCGAAGGTAGCGCTGTTGGCCGGGGGCGACGTAGTTTTCGGACATTTTGGATGAGAGGGGATGAGAGATGGGATGAGAGAGAGTGAAGTGAAGTGAAGTGGGGGGTGGTAGAAGTGAGCGGGGGCTTTGGTTGGGAATGCTGAGCTTTGAATAAGTAAGGCCTTTGATGAGTGAGAGGATGTATGTAAGTGAGAGTTGCAACCAGTTGGTGAAGATGCACGAAGACATCCACCAGTGGGGGCGCAATTGGCTGGGCAGGGACTGGGACCCCGGCTCTGGGTGACATGGGTGACACGGACCACATATGACTTGCGGTGGTGGAGCGAGGGGAAACCTGGTTGGGGGGGGATCTTTATCGATCCATCAAAAACGACTGAACCCCCAGACAGTGGACCTCAGCACCTCCATCTGCTGAACCATTTACCTTCTGAATTGGCTTTACCCGCGGTTGAAACTGGCCGAATTCTCTGTCGTCCGCTTCTTTTCTTAACCGTATCGGAGTCAAGGTTGAGCCAGTCTCCCCTTTGTTATCGCTCTCCGGCACTCCCATCTGTTGTGTTTTTCTGTTACATAGCGAATACTCCGCTAGGACCCAGCACCTCCTAGCACCCAGCACCACCCCGTACCCGCCAGCCCAAGCTTCACTGCTCTCCCACCCTTCGATTTTGTTTCCGGTTCGCGTGTGCTGCTATCGGACAGCAGGCACGCCCGGAGAAGAAAGGTTGATTAAAAATGGGAAACAGCCCCTCCACATCAAAACCCACGAGCCAGCCGTCATCCTCCCAATCCAACGCCCCAGGAAGCCAAAATGAGTCTCCACGGCCCGTGAGGCGAGATAACAAACATCCGATTCCGGTACAGACTCACCGGCTCGCCGCCCCGCCCGAACCCTCCCTCACCCAAGCCCAGGGCACCGCCGTCCAGCCACCGTCCAGCAGCAGCAACCGGCCAAAATCACTGCAGCACCGACCCCGCGCCGCATCCCCCCCGGGTTATTCCACCCCGTCGTCCTCGGTGACGGCTGACCGCTCCACGACGGTTGCGAAGCCCGTCGACGTCAAGCAGGGCATACCCGGCCCCTCGCATGAGCCCGCCAAGCCCGTGGCTGTCCCTTATTCTCACAACTCGCCTTCGTCCCCGAGGTCGCCCCGCTCACCAAGGTCCGAAGACATATACGAATCCGTCGTCATGCCGCATAGTAGCTTGCAAGATATGTCGTATATGACGCGCCCGCCGCGGCTGCCCCTCCCCATCGAGGAGGAGGTTCACACGCCCGGTTCGCCGATTATCTCGCCTGCCGATATTGGACAGCCATTGGAGGATGTCGAGGAGTTGGATTCGCAAGGGCTGGTGCGCCCCCCGTCAAATGTCAGCAATGCTTCGGTGTTGGATGACGATGACCCAGAGGGACTTTTGGTGGACAAGAATAGGCCGACGGTGCCCACGAGGTTAGAATGGAAGCGCGGAGGTGACAAGGTCTACGTTACGGGGACCATCTTTCAGTGGAATCGCAAGACGAGGTTACATCCGGTGTAAGTGCTGTTGAAGGCCCCGTTCAGCGCAGAATTTAGGTTCTGAAGAAGAGGCTAACAAAGATTTTCCTCGACACAGCGAGGGACGGCCAGGTGTATTTGCGACCACGATCGACATTCTCCCCGGCACCCACCACATTCGATTCTTGGTAGATGGCCAAATGCAGACATCCCCCGACCTCCCAACAACTGTCGACTTTGGAAATAACCTTGTCAACTACATCGAAGTCAACCCAGACGACCTCCCCTCCGCCGCGGAAAGTGGTAGTGGTGCCGCGGCAGCTGGAGCTCCGGCCAAGGACGGACAGCAGACGACTGAGAGGTCGCAGAACCCCGTCTCGGAAGAGGAGTCGAACCAGCAGCAGCCAAAAGCCAGCTTCAGGGACTGTCCGCCAGCCGAGCTGTTTGCCCACAAGATCCCAAGATATCTCCTCGACTTTGATCTGCAGGAGGATGCGCCACAGTACAATACTGCCTGCTCGGCGATTGAGAAGCTCCCCATGCCACCAGCACTTCCCGGCTTCTTGGGCAAGCCGATTTTGAACGCGGCGACGCTGATCAAGGACGACAATAGCGTCTTGAACATGCCGAACCATACGGTGTTGAATCACTTGGCGACGAGCAGCATCAAGAATAACATTTTGGCAGTTTCAGCGACGACGAGGTATAAGAGCAAGGTATGTTTATTTTGTAGTAATAAGAGTTTTGTTGATGGTAAGCTGACATGTATCAACCAGTATGTGACCACGATCATGTACAAGCCCACGACGACAGAAGGGATCTAGATATTTCCTTTTTCTTACATGATTTAACGCTAATTCCAAGAATTATTACTATCATGGATTGGTGGTGGCGGGAGGCAGGGCTTTGTTTTTTTGCATGGCAGTGTTTTTAGAGGCCGGGGTTTCTTGGAGTAATATGAATTGGTGGCCAGACTTTGGTAACACCATCAGAAGATGATGGTGTGTGTGTATGCCGGGCGGGCTACGTTTTTGATGGTCTGAAAGAGAAAGAGATATCACTTGGGCTTATGTGAGAATTGCGTGTCTCGATATCATGTAGGTCGGAGCTTTTGTTGAAACGGGGGAAATGACGAGTGGGTGGGGTCATGGACTGTTTGATCCAAACGGCCACCAGCCCGACCAGATGCAAATACAACTACCTTTTCACAAGGGGTCCAAAACTGTTTGTTTAGTTCGGTGTGAAACCTTGTTTCTTCTTCTCTTTGGTATCATGCATCACTTTCTCCATTTCACCAACACCTCATCCGTCCTAAACCGCTGGGTACACGTACTTTCCTCGATGGGGGTCTGGAACCCAGTCTCGTATGCCAGCAGCCCAGCGTGCGCAATCATGATCCCATTGTCGATGCAGAACCTCTCGTCTGTGGCATAGACGCTCCCCCCCCTCTCCGCCGCCATGGCACCCATCATCTCCTGTAGTCTTTCGTTGCAGCCCACACCCCCCACGATCAGAACCTGGGAACTCCCCACGTGCGCCATCGCCCGTTCCGTGATCTCGACCAGCATGGCAAAAATCGTTTCCTGAAGCGAAAAGCACAGATCCGCGGGTGTAAACGCTTCCCCGTCTGGGCCTTTCCCCCCGCTCTTCATATGCGCCGCCAGCTCGTCCGCCCGGGTTAGGATCCCGCTGAAGGAGCAGTCCATCCCTTTTACTGCATAGGGGAGGTCGAGGAGGATGCGCCCGCCTTGTTTGGCGAGCTGTTCGATATTATACCCTGGGGCAGGGTCGTTGCTTATTTCTAGTGTTCGGGCGAATCTGTCTAGGCAGTTTCCTACCGCTATGTCGAGGGCTTCGCCAAAGATGCGGTAGCGTTGCTCGGCGTAGGCTATGACTTGGGTGTTGCCTCCGGAAACGTACAATACTACGGGGTGGGAGGCGCCGGTGATGGCGCGGCCCATTTCGATGTGGCCTACGCAGTGGTTGACGCCGACGAGGGGTTTGTTCCACAAGAGAGAAAGGGTTCGGGCGGCGATGGCGACCGAGGTGAGGGGGGCGCCCATGCCGGGGCCGCGGGTGTAGCAGATGCAGTCTATATCTGGGATGGTGATGTTGGCGACACGGAGGGCTTGGAGGGCGATGCGGACGAAGAAGGAGCGGTGGTGGGCGGCGGTGTCTTTGGGGAGAAAGCCGGTGCCGGGGGGGGAAACGAAGGTGTGGCGGATGTTGGAGAGGACGGTGGAGGTGTCGTTTTCGTGGAGGATGATGCCAATGCCCAGTTTGTTGGCTGAGCCCTCACAGCCGAGGGCTATTCGGCGGGGTTTTTTGAGGAGGTCTGTCATGTTGGGGGGTTGTGGTTGTGCTGGTGGTGGTGGTGGTGAGTGAGGTTGAGACATGATCGGATTAGATAGTATTCAGAGTTGGGATGAGGATGGTGGGGGTGGGGTGGAGGGTTGAGAGGTGGCTGAACTTCGCTGGGTTGTTGCGCGTTGTTGCTTGCTGGGACGAGGAGTCGGGTTGACGTGTAGAAACTCAATTGATAGGTCGTAGAGAGTCGAGGTGAATATCAGGCCTCTGTTAGTCTACAAAATGCCTTCGTCTCTTAGACGTCGTTATTAACTCTGATGGCCGCCGATAGCCTGCAGGAGGGGTAGCTTTTTGACGGGACGGATATTTCGTCAGCGGGGCATAGGTTTCTTTCCCTGAGGGGTCAGGACGTTTGATCTGCCTGGGTACGTACCGAAGCTTTCTTGGCTCGTGCGCACTTCCCGATTGGATCAGGATGCAGGGCTCCGCAAGACTGGAGTCGACGCCTTTTGGGGGCTTCGGTAGTGTGGGCCCCACTGCACTGAGAAAGTACCAATTCTCTTTAGCAGCCATCGCTGTCGACATCAGCAATCCTGCCACACACACAACACATTGCCTGCCATGATGTCCGGCACACCGGGAGCCTTCCCCTCCTTCGTCTGTACCATCATCTTGCAAAACCTTTTGCCCTCCTCCATTTTCTGACCCCGATTTCCTCCCCTGAAGACCAGCGCATGGGTCCCAGCTGAGCTCTGGTGCTTATCTCCAGCAATGCTGATCTTTCACCCTCCTCCCGGCCTGAAGACCGCACCTCCGGTGGCGAAGAGTATATCTCCTCCTCCGTGATCTCTCGATTCTTCAGGTATGTTCTATTTTCTGCTTTCCTTCTCCGGAAACCTCAAGCTTGCCTGCCACGGCGTCCTCCATCCTGGCGGAAGGCTTTCTTCCGGCGCTTATGATTCCGAGACTGACTTTGCTTTTACCCAGAGATGCACGATCAGCGCACAAAACACCGTCGTCCTCGAGGAAACTTGTCACAGTCTTCCACATCTATCTGCTTCAAAAATACCCGGCATCAGCCCGCGGGAGCTGCCAATGGCGCCTTGTTTCCCTCACGGGAGCTGCCTGCTCGCCATTGATCTGTCCCCGGCGAACCACACTCCTACGTGGCCTCGCTCCTGCTCAGGATCGCTACGGTGTTCGAGATCTGTCACAGCTTGGTTTTCCCTTCATCTGACAAGCTTGCGCTCTCCTCTACTCTACGGGTGGCCGTCTTGCACAGATATCAAGACCCGGAATTCCCGCGCATGTGGCTCTCTGCCTCTGCCTTGGTCTCGGCCGGTGCCAGCAACAGAGCACGCAAGAGTTTTCAGCGGAACCGTTCACGCCGATGTCGAGAGCTCGCGACGATTCCGGCGTCGGTATTGCACACATTGCTCCTCCTTTTCATCCTGCCGTTCGCCCCCGGATAGGGTCGTCATGCTGGGATGAGAGGTGGACCCACATTTCTGTGGTCAGCTGGGAATTGCTTCTGAGCCCGCTGCTGGTTTGTGCTTCTCCTGTGGAACAAAGCCCTCGCCAACAATCACTCCACCCAGGGATGCAAAATCACCGGCGCATCGGCTACCATTTGCCTCCCGGGATGACATCTTTCTTTTCGCCAGGAAGATGATTTCCAACCTTCTGCACAGCATTCTGCGAAAAGCCCTTCGAGTTATGCTCTCGGCTTCGTTGGGCACAACCTGCCTTGATGCGTCGCATCCGCCCTCGGCCATGTCGATGTTCAACGGCTGCGGAGTGAGTTCCACAATTGGTTGTGGGATAAACTTTGTCGAGCTACCACCGGCGCTCAGGACCTATAACTGGGACCCAAACAACGCCTCCGATTCTTCGCGCAAATTCTCACACCAATACCACGACTTCGGCAAGTTTGGAACGACAAATTAGTTTTTGCAGATATCACTGCTTTCTTTTTTTATTATTCAGCCGCCCGGCACGCCTTGGCCCTTGTCCCTGACGTCTATGTCTATGGCATAGTCTTCACCGTCGTCTATACATCATCCGTCACTCGCCCGCTCGCTTCCGCAATTATATGCTACACAAAAACCAACTGCACCGAACTCCTCGCCAGCCACGACGGGCTCCTCTTGTTTCAAGCCCATCGCTAAATGCACCATCGGAGTGTTGAGAGAGGGGATATACAGAGCAAGACCACCTTTGTGGCTTGCTGCTCCCGTCGCATCCTGAACGGGCGACGGGGAAAAATAAGGGCGAAATACACAAAAGCACAAAGGACAACTTCATGTTGCTCCCTTCACTTGTGCAGGCGATTTCGTCGCCTGCAGTTGTGCTGGTAGTGACGCCGGTTGGTTTGGTGGTATTGGATGTTGCTGCTGATGCTGTTGTTGCTGCATCATCGCAGCCTGCGCGGCTGGCATCATAGTTCTTGAGTTAGGAACTACTCGGTGTGTCATCCACACTGGAGGCGGGACAGAGGCGCGGAATTTCAGTGCCCGGGTATCAAAGGGATCAACCTCGTACACCTCGGGCTCGTCCTCATCATCCGACGACTGGTCATATTTCCAGCGGTCGTACTGTTCTGCGCTGACTTCACGGGGAGGACTAGCCAAGCCACGACGATCAATCCACAGCCGATTGAGACGACCAATACGCCGACGGTACGATGGCGGGTTTGCTCTCGACTCCTCATCCGGAGCTACTCCCCTAAATTTCAAGAGCGGGCCAAAGTCTCGTGGCTTTTCTGGCTTGTCAAGCTCCATAGGGGTGGGTTCCTCCATGGATACCGACGACGCCGAAGCTGGTGGTGTCATCAGATATTGGGTCTTGGCTGGCCTAAAGTTGGGATCTTGAAGGGGCCCATGCACCGGAGACAACGGACCCCTAGTCAAGTCCACATAGTTGCGATTCCATTCGCTATGGGTCAGCACCTTCTTCTCGATATCAATCCGGAGCTCGTTCTCCTTCTCAGCAAGGCGATCAGCCAGCTGCGAGAGATCTGCCTCGGCAGGACGGCCATCTGGTCGTACGGGCATACGAAGTTGGGCAGGTGGTGGGGGTCGCTGGACGGCAGGGGCCTCTGGCGCTTTTCGTTTCTGGGGCTGGAGACGGGTCAGAATCCGTTGGGGGTGGTGGCAGTAGGAGAGGGCATGATAGACTGACCTTTTGGTTGACGAGATCTTCGTCGTCGGTCTTGATCCCCAACCTGACCTTGAGCTCCTTGAGTGTCCCGCGCGTCTCAAAGATGGCGCGGTCAGTCTTGAGCATCTCGGCCTTGAAAAGCTCCCTTTGGTGGGCAGCCATGGCCAACTGGCGCGCATCCTCAAGCTCCCTCCGCAGTCGCTTGAGCTTATCTGCGCACAGCACATCTCGTGCTCTTGTCTTGCGAGTGGCACGTACTTCTCGCCGACGGAAACAGACATAGGGGTCCATGTCATCACTGTCAGGGGAGATCTCAAACTTGAGAGTGGGATGTAACGGTCGGTTGCTCAGAGCTTGCCGCCGTGATTTCCAATACTCATAGATCTCTTTGGCGTGAGGCATGACCTTTCCTCTCTCCAAGCTTTGAAGGCCTTGGAGCATCTCCTCATATGGGGCTATTGTCTGGTCTATTGAGGCAAACGGGGTTTTGATGAAGGCGGTGTCCTCATACACCTCCATGATCTTCTCAAAGTCATCTTCTGAGAGCTGGGCAGAGGCGGCTCGTTTTGAGTTGTATGCCTTGAGAAAAACATCGTCCTCCTCCGTCATGTCATACATGCATCCTATGCATTCTTCTACTGTTTGAGAAAAGCGGATATATGTTGATGGCTGGGAGCACCGCTGTGAGTAGAGCTCGTCATAGTTGAGTGTGCTCTCCTGTGGTGGTGGGACGGGAATTTCCTTGTCGGCAGCGACACCTGCATGCTGCAGGACTGCCTGAAGATGGTACTCCTGTCATTTCAAGGTCAGTATCAGATGCTATCAAGTGCTGTTGGGTAAGTCTTGTGGTGTAAGGGCAACTTGATATGGTCCGTGCACGTGCTGGTGCACGTGACACGTGGCCGTCAATCAAGGTGAGTTTTTGACATACATTTTCCTCGGCCTGTTCGACACCGGTTGCGATTTGGGCTTCGGAGGTGAGTTGTTCGTATTCTGAAGGGTCGATTTGGTCTTCTCTGAGGACGGATAGAGGCGTTTTTGGAGCCAACTTCTTGATCCTAACCTTCCGGGTCGCCATGGCTGCTAAGGGCGGTGAGAGGGGCAAAAAGCCTGGGGAAACCCCTAATAAATTTTTTTAAATCATTCAGCGGACCATGCGAAAGGAGTGTATCGATTTTTTCGATGCAAAAATGGCGTTGTTGGTGGTATTTTGATGGCCAAATTCTCGTATCGCGATGGAGTGTCGTTGAAGTTCTGGCGCAGAATTTGCTGTTTTGGCGGCGTGTTCCAGGACGCTTCTGGCGATTGGCTGACTTTGGCCGGGCTCTTTGAAAGGGGGGGAACGTGCCCACTCTTCCCTACCTGCCTAGCCGATTGGGAGAGCGTGCATTTCCCGTGCTGCACCCAGTAAATTGTTCAAAGGGCGCAGCAGCAGCAACAAACACCAAGCAATCTGCCCCTCTTTGCACCTAAAAATCAGGCTCTGCTACTGCGAAAGAGCGCATCCCTTATCTTGGAGAGGAGATGCTTGGAACAATTCACAGCCGCGCAATGTCTTGACGTCAGTTTTTTTTTTATTTCATTGTTAGTTCACTGCAAATAAGGGAATGGACTTTTTTTAGCTTCAAATTCGACATTTTAAAGCCACTTTATTTGAAATCTCATAAAGTATCATGATCATCAACCACTGATATTTTATAGTGTGATTGGACTGCAGTTCAATCTCTCATACAACTTCTCTCTTTGCGCTGTGTCTGGCACGTGCATTCCGTTCTTTCGCCTTCCTCAGCTTGCCATGGATGGGCGCCTGAACGCGACGCTGGTTCGCGGCCGGGGGGGTGACGCGCAAGGTGAGGTGAGAACAAATCAAGGTGAGGCCCTGCCCGTTTGTTGCCTCGCTTCGTTTGCCAAGGCAACCTGGAATAAATGTGGCTCGTGCGCCATTCATGACGACCGTGTGTGGCGGCAGCTTGTGGCTTGAGATCACCCCCACTCCCCGTCAAACCCTGGGCTGGGGGGCCTGATTTGGAACCTCTTTCTTGTGCCGCACCCCGCTTTTCGTAAGTCGCCGCCGCCAGTTGGGTTTGGGAGAGAGTCCAGAAGCCGTGTGTTGTTGATCGCAAAGCAAACCCTCATCGAAAATAGGAGTTGGGGAAAAGCTCCTGAACTAGACGAACCTCAGCCTCACCTGACGGACGGATCAACTTGTTCCGCTGCAATATCACGAACGACGAACCTGGAGCTTGGGTACCGAATTACACTACTTGCTCCTGCAGCCTCGACCGCCGACCGCCTGCGCCGATATCGATATCTCACGAGTAGAGAGTAGCGGGCAGCTTTATTCAGCAACCTTCTTTGATATCTGGTCCTGTTTGGTTTTGATTTCTTGCGCAAACTTGACCCTTTCAACACTCAGCATTCTTTCATTAACCTGATCGACACCCTCCGCCGCACCTTTACCGCCACTGACGACTCGCGACAGCACCAAACCGCTCCAACCGACTTTTTTCCCTTCTTCTTTAAGAAGACATTCTCTAGACGAGAGCATACAGGCAGAAATATAATACTCGGCGGACGATAATTATCAGTCAAAATGGGCAACCAGACCAGCAGCGTGCTGGACAACATTGTTCAGGGGTCCAACTGTTGGTTTTCACCATGACATTCAGGAGAAATGATGGGGACAAGTCATTGACATGTGGTTTTTTTCACCATGAATAGTCGACAGGGATGAAGTTGACCGGCTGCGGAAGAGGTTTATGAAGTTGGATAAGGCATGTTCATTTCATATTTGTTAGAACAAGGATCAACGGGGAATAGGAACAGGAAAGAGGATGGGAATGTCCCGAGAGAATGGGAGAGATATGACGAATATGGGGCTAATACGACATGTTCAACACAAACAGGATAACTCCGGCACTATCGAGCGCGAGGAGTTCCTTTCGCTCCCTCAAATATCCTCCAACCCACTCGCCACCAGGTAGGTACCTCCCCCCCCCCCCCCCTTCCTCTCACCCAACCCCCAAATACTAACACCCATCCCAAAGAATGATTGCCATCTTCGACGAAGACGGCGGCGGCGACGTCGACTTCCAAGAGTTCGTCTCTGGCCTTTCCGCCTTCTCCTCCAAGGGCAACAAGGAGCAGAAGCTCCGGTTCGCCTTCAAGGTCTACGACATTGACCGTGACGGCTACATCTCCAACGGCGAGCTGTTCATCGTCCTGAAGATGATGGTGGGCAACAACCTCAAGGACCAGCAGCTGCAGCAGATTGTGGACAAGACCATCATGGAGGCCGACCTGGACAAGGACGGGAAGATCAGTTTTGAGGAGTTTACCAAGATGGTGGAGAATACGGATGTCAGCATGAGTATGACGCTAGGTATGTTCTCCCTCGATTTCGAAGTGACGAAGGGCTTGTGTTTGCTAAAACAAGATGAACAGATCAATTCTAGACCTGGGGAGAGGAATGATGGGCAGGCATGCTTTGCGAACATTAGACAACCAAACAAGAGAGTTTTCTAGCATAGCACAGCACAGCACAGCACACAGCAAGGTGGCATGAAATGAAGCATGAAATGGACTAATGATATGACAATTCTTTCTTACTGATTTTCGCTTGATTTGTTCTTTTTTTCTTACCCTACTTCTATGCTGATTTCTCAGCCTCGAGTTGCTGTAAGTGTTGGCGTCAAGACCATTGCCTTGTTCCTTAACCATCAAAAGATGCCAGGCCCAGTGAAGATAGCAAGAAGTAGTAAACTGTGTTTAAAGGCAGGCCTATTGAACTATTTCTGGCCGTATATTGATTCATGTCAACAGTGCTCTCTGTCAACCATTCCCAAAGTCCCCATTGAACTATTTCCCAAAAGCCTTGATTTCCCACCGGCAGTCTCAACTTTTTGTTTTTGAGTCGGTGAGTATGTTGGCAAAGGGCCTAAGCCGAGGTGTTTTGAATCCTCTTCGCCATAAATCACAGCGAATAAGCGATATAAACAACAAACCAACTAGTGATGGCTTGAAATGGAATGGACTTTTGTTCACACAAAGTTTAAGAAGATAGTTAGCCCCTCCATTCCTAGTCAAAGCAAGATAAGTGTGATACATATATACTGTAGCAACGGCCAGCATCTTTTTCGGAACGTCTTTCCGTTTTCAAAATCAGCACTTCAAGAGGGCAAGAAGGGGGTTAGCCTGCCCCCCTTTGTACACGGAGGCATGTAGGCAGTGGACAGACTCCATATCCTGCGTGCTCTTTACTATACTACAGGTACCTACCTGTAACTCACAAACTATCTACCTCCACTCTAAAGCATAGTAGGAGGGCTGATATGTCATTTTGTCGAAAGAGCCAAGCAGTAAAGAAATGCTTTTACCCCGTCCCCCCATAGTATACCAAAACAAGCAACTAACTCCAAGCAAACGCCCTGTTATTGTTTCTCCAACTCTCTCCCATCCTGGAAAGCTTTCCACTTGGCCGCCGTTGCGTCAACCTGGCAGTAGATCAACTTGGAAATCTCAATCGCCAACCTACCCGCCCACATCCTCTCACCCTGTTAGAAGGAATCAGTAACTGACATGAATCAAGGCTGAACCCCACCCATTCACAGATCTAAGCAAAAAGCCATCACCGCATCTCCTCCCCAACTCTTTTGCCTGTGTACTGACGCCTACCTCCATGAGTGATCCTACCTACCTAGTGAGAGATTAGGGATCGCGGTAGGCAAACTCATGACAACACCGCGTGCGTGTGGATATGCCCAGCCTAGGTTGTTACTTGAAACAAAAGAAGAAAAAAACTATGAAACCGGTGTGCGCCTCACATCTGTCTTCTACGTTATGCTTGCTGCTTTCCTGTCAAAAGAAATCACCCACCGCTTAGGCGAGGTGTGCCTCGGTGTGAGTGTCCAACGCAGGCACCATCCGTGTGTGTGTGTGTGTGTGTGTGTGTGTGTGTGTGTGTGTGTGTGAGTGAGTGAGTGAGTGAGAGAGAGAGAGAGACGGCCATGATCACTAGACAAATAATCGATCAATAGTTTCCATTGCCATGCTTGTCATCTCATTACATTACGGTACATCTCCATGAAAACAGTCTCAACCTATCATCATCAATCCATCTGGACACTTTGACATCAAACATACCTCTACAGCCTTACCTTTCCAAACAGAGTACACCTAATGGTGTGACTTTTGCTCTCCGTTCGTGGTAAGCTATGCATACCCCCCGCACCCCCCACCCTTCCACCCACCCTATGTACATACACCTCCCTATGTACTCAACCTCACCCTCACCACACCGCAAAGTGACCCAACCCACAGCCTCACTCACCACCCACACCACCGCCATATGTACGGAGTACCCAACCTAGTAACCCGCCCTCCCCAGCCCTCCCACTCCCTCTCGGCCCAGATCAACAAATCACATGTCCATCCCCTCCAGCCCGGCCTACCTTTTCCCTTCAAAAACTAATGCACCCTAGCCGAACGGACCGGTGCAGGCGCCGCCACCTCTCCCTCGCAAACTTTGTTCTTCTACTCCCTAACCCTCACGGGCGGTTGCAGTCCAGTCACACGCGGAATCTACTCACCTACCCATGAAGGTCTCGGTGAGTAGAAGAAGAAACACGAAGGATGATGTCCCTGGCTGTGGAGGGAGAGGGTGTAGGAGGAGCGACCTGCATTCCTCCCTCGTATGGCTCACCATGCATGTATGTAAGTGATCCCCTTGTCGGCTACGTGCATGGGGCGTTGAATAAAGTCCGTCCAGTCAGTGTACCTTGTCTGACTTCTTCTTGCAAATGTCACACTCCATGGCCCATATACGCAACGACTCTGCTCGAGCGTTGTGTGTGTGCCCGGCCATGTCCTCGAGCAGAACAAAAAACCCGAAAACCTTAGGCCTCCTGTCCCTCTTCCGCTCCCTCAAGGTTCCCTTGATCATCCATCCGTGGAAGTCGCTGTAGGGTATGTCAAAGCAAACCTCATGTGACTCCTAGGCTAGGCCTTTTCCTTCAAGGCAGGGGAGATGGAGGACGGGGTTCTTGACTAAAGCCACAGCGGCATCCTACAGGCTAATCATGGTGATGGCCCTAAATCTGGGGCGCCCGGCGGCGGACCGACGACTAGCTCCCTAATGGTGGACGTTACTTGTCCTGTCCCTGTTTGGCAGGCGTCTGTCAAAGTTGAGGGCTGGGCTGGGCGGCCTGAGACTGGCGATCAAGACCCGAGAAACACAGGAAGCGTTGCCGTGGGGAGGGATAGAGGGCGGTGATCTGTCACAAACGAGGCTGGATGGCGGTTGTCAGTTCCCCGTGTATCTGAGTTCCAACCCTCAGTCTTTTGGTATCTTGTCTCGGGTATCCACAGACATATTCCAAGCCAGCTCGGCTGGGTGTCGCGGTATCATCGTTTTCTGTTCATCCCTCATTACGGCAATGTCGATGCCAATCCTCATCATCTTCAGCAAGGAGTAAACACTCCGGTAAGCCTCACATAAAACACTACAAGTTAGATCGAAGTGTGTTAGCTTTCACCCAGTTAAGTAAGGTGAGCTTCATGCCCTGCGGAAAAGCGGCTCGGTCACCATCGCGTCGGCTTGGCTCTTCTGTTTTGTTGCTTTTGAGGTTTTGAAATGCGGGATGTGAAAATGTGATACAACTGAGGCAAGCTGATGAAAACGTGACAGGGTACCTAGTTCCTCAGCTCACTGGACCCCAGAAATGCTTGACAGCTACCCAGACCCCTGTCCTGTGGGGGTGTTGGTTGATGTGCGCCGTCCGAATCTCGATCCATGGTTCTGGGACTCGGCTGCGGAGATCTGGAGATCATGGAGGGGGTGATCCTAAGCATCGAATGCTTGTTGATACCCTAATGATGTGCCTCCTAGTGGTCCACCTTGGAAAACAAAAAGCCACGGGGTAGGCGGAGACTGTATGTAAGACGAACTTTGTAATCTTTCCGCTGTTGGGCAAGCACAGACGCCCTTCGTATGTCTAGCAAGTAAGGTAGTGGTGGTGTGTAGTTTGATCGTAGATAGGTAGGTCGGAGAGTACAGGCCATTTCGGAGCTGATGTATAAGTCGCCGTTTCTACCACGGGTCAGAGACATCTCGCTGCAATCACCCGCAAAAGTTGATGAGCGCCATCGCCTGTGTCTTGGCGTCTCTGTGCTTGTTATCTCGGTCGGCGAGGTCGGCCGTGTGCTGTGCCCAATCAGAGAGGGGATGTTGAAGATGAGGATCAAAGGTGAGTCTGACGCTGACAAGTGTTCCTGCAGGGAAACCAGTGAGCTGCACGGTTTCTGCTGCTGTGGCACTCGATATAATATCAGGGGACGGACGGGAGATGGCTCCCTGGGAAAGGCGATCGGCTGGAGATGTGTGCAGGTGAAATGTGAGTGACAACTGGCGGGTGACTTGCAGTAGCGCGAGGCCCACTCGATTCTGCAGCGCAACCGGGTACCTGATGGGTACTTTGGTGTTGCGAGACACATTTGTCAATCTGGTGTAACTTTGTCTCTGCACAACAAGGCTTCTTGGCGTTGTAACTTCACCTGCCTCTCATGGTGGAGAGATAATGTGTGTGTGCCGACAACACGACCAGGGGGTGTCAACGGGTAGGGGCCGACGTGGAGGAGAACCGCAGACAAGATGGGGCGATGAGTTGAGAAGACAATCAATCCTTCTGCTGCTGGTAGTGCCGACCGACCGCGGTCTCGTTGAGGATGTGGGTGTGATGATCTGGGAAAAGAAAGCCAGGTAGAAATAAGGGATTCGGGATAATAAAGTGAGAAAGTGCTATTGGCCCAAAAGAGCTAGCCGGCCCTGACCCAGCAGTTTGGTTGGCCCCGTCTGGCAAACGTTGCAAACTGATTGGGCCAGTTTCTCTGTCTCACGGGGCCTTGGCGCTTTCAATTGCAGCGCCGCTAGTTTCTGCTTTCAGCGCTGCTCGGAGACATCGCATGTAACTCGGTCTTTCTTGCCCTGTGTAACAGTCTAACCACTGGAGCCCCCATCCCAATTTCAACTCATCCCCCCCCCTGGGCTTTCCTGACAGATGGACTGATCACTCAACGCCGTGATACATCAGCTGAGGTGACCCATTGAGGCGTTGGCCCCCGTTGTTGAGGGCGATATAACCCTCAGCCCTGTTCTGATTTTGCTTCTCAAGCCTTGTTTATCAGTAATCAGCCTTCATCAGCTTCATTTGGTGACTTGCAAGAGCATGATGAGATAGATAAGGGTGCTTCGAGGTGGATTGTATTCATGTACACTGGTGACAGGTACGAACAACATACCACTGGCCAACTTTTTTATTTACTCGATGTTTTTCTGTTTTATTCACCTGATCCAGACCTGTAATCCATCATTGCCCATGTTCGTCACTTACGGCGTTGCCCCCGGCCAGTTATACTCGTATCTCTGCGCAGCCCTGGCCAAGAGGCATATACGGTCATCATCACAAACATCTTGATAACTTTTCCTCAATTGATCAAAGCGGTACAAGCCGGTTTCCATCTCCTCCTTGTGGGAGGTTCTGCCATGGCAGAGAGCTTCACAACATCCTTGCCCTGTCGGATTCCTGACGAACCCGTTCCTAATAGAAGATACACAAGAAAGCAATGCTCTGAAAAGCTCCATAGCCCAATTGGCCAGAATCACCAACCGCCTTTCCATCAAAGAGATCCGAGGCGGCAACCTCCGCTAGAAGAAGCCTTTCCTATTCCGCAGGTCGTCACGGACGTTGCGGGCCCTTGCATGTGTTCTCCCCCTTTGCCGTAAGATCCAACCCCAGATTAGGAAAACGCTCCATTCCCAGGAGCGCCGAGCGAGAGCTAGAGAAGAGATGCCTTCATCACATCCCACATCGTCCAGCTCTCTGTCCTCCCACTCCCAATACATCCCCACAAAACATAAGAGGTATTAAGGTGACCCGCCCAACTCCTTGCTGGAGCACACGACAACCGATAAACAGGGCAAACAGCCAAGGAAAAGAAAGACACACAAATGATGCATGTGGAGCGCGAGGCAATGTGGTGGTACATGAATGTCTGGGTTCTGACATCGAAAGACTCCAAAAGGTCAAAACTAATCTCCGGATTGGGAAAAGCCAGACATCAATTGACTGCGTCCTCGTTCTTCAGCCTCTTCATCGCCGACGTGAGCTGGAGGATCCCTCGCCTCCGCTGCTGCCAGAGGCGTTGGCCGACTCGTAAAGATCGACGCACTCTCCAAGGACTGGTGCGGTGGTTAGTGATCAAGTAGCTAGATCAAAAAGGGGCCGTTGTGATACGTACTTTCGATAATTTGCTCTTCCCATACTCCGTACTGATAGTCTACCAGACCATGTCGCTCGATGTTGTCGCAATACTTGATCAGCTCCTTGGCCATCTTTTCCAGCTCTTCTTGCGGCACTAGGCTTTGGGAGCGCTGTAATTGCTGTCCGGATTCTATCATTTCTTTCTGGCGCTGGAACATGCCGAGCCAGGCATAGTTGAAGTCGTTCCACAGCTTGATACGTTCGCCATGGAGATTCTGATCGTCAGACGTGAGGCCTGGAGCAAGGGATCACTGTCAGAAGCAGGTTTCGAGAGACCCAGGGTGGAAAAAGTTTCACCCGACTTACCTAGTTCAACAACGTGTCCCAAAAGCCAAGTCGAGACCTGAAGAAGGGATTCTCCGGCAGTGGCTAGAGCACCATTTCGGATGTCCTTGAAAATTCCCTTGAGCGCTGATTGGTATTGCGCATATGCATCGTCCAGCCCTCCTGTGGCGGGATATTCTTCCTCCATCCTGACTTCCGCAGCAGGAGTGGTCTGCGTAGTGATTCCTCCAATGGCTGCCATGCTGCTGGTGGAATAGCCATGCAAGCCCGGCTGCTGATATACCTGTGGCGTGCTTGACGTCTGCGCCTGGGCTTGGAGGGCGGATGTGGTATTGGTTGGCTCGCTTGAGAAGTAGGGGGCCGTGACATCCGTCATCATTGGAAGACCTGCGGCTTGCCGCGAGGAAAACTGTTGACTCGCATCGTACACGCCGGCACTCTGCCCCCCTGTTGCCTGCTGGACGTTGTACATCATGGATGGATTGTACGTGCCGGCAAAGCTCTGTGTTTGCCGTGAGTCTGGCTGTCCGTAGTCAGCGGCAGAGTGATGATAGCCCAGCGCGCCCTGTGTCATGGCCGTCGTGGGGAACGAGGTCGTTGTTGAGTCCTGGTAGTAAGCGCCGTATCCGGCTGAACCACCCATTCCGCGGGAAGATCCGGCGGGCGAAGAACTCAGTGATGTCGTCTGGAACCTGCTATCTCTCTGTGTACCCGTAAATGACCTCCGATCCTGTCCTGCCTGCGCCTGCAGCGCGGGGTGATGTTGCCGGCTGTAGGTGGGCGGATCATTCTGCCTCCTCTGGCCTCGAGAGTCGTCCATGCCCTTGACGTCGAAATAACTGCCTGCGAAGTCCAAGTGTTGCCGAGTCCACTCCGTGTCCCGCTAGAGAGTGGAGTAGACGCGCGAGGTAAAAAAGACCCGGCTTCGTTGGCGAGTCGATCGGCCACGGACCACAGGTGTCTCCGGTAGATCTCGATGTCGAAAAATGAGAAAAAAACTTTGGTGGTGCGGTAAGGAGTGATGACCGCACGCGCGCGCAAGCAACACTAACGCAACGGAAATCAACTAACAACCGCTAGGGGGAAACGGACGTGTCAACGCCGTCAGTGAAAACGATTAGAAGACGCCGCGTTTCCAGACCCTTGGAACCCGTGGTGTTACCGACGTGTGAATTCGAAGTATCCAGCCGAGAGCCGTGAAGCGGGAAGCCGTAGGTCGCCGGGTGATATCTGGCGCAGCCGTGATGTGTTTTCTCGATGACGACGATAGGCTCAGAGCCCGCGGATAGATTTTCTTTCTGCCACAGCGGGTGAGGTGAGGCCACAAGTCCCGCAAGAGCTAAGGAGGGCTCTGCGCGCGAGAGTGGAGATGGAACGGACTTGACCAGTCGAAGGCAGGACGGATCTTGCCTTGGATAGTCGCCGATTGCGGTATCAGAAGGGGCAAGGAGGGACCTGGTGTTCGGTGTGGGAGAGAAACTTGGCTCCGAGCGGAGAGAGACGGCGATAGATCAACGGTGGAGGGGAACCAGCTGGGAAGATCCCAGGTCAAAGACTGACAGGCTTCAAAAGTTACAAAGCCGAAGGCTTTCGAGGTTCAAGTCTCTCCAGGCTTTGGCCTTGTTGAAGGGCTTCGAGAATGCTGCGGAAAGCCTGACTCGCGTTCACCTACAGCTCAGAAACGCAGTGTAGGAGGTCGAGTCTTGCTGAATCAGCGGAGGGGGGTCCAGAACTTGTATGGCTGGATGATGTTATCGCAGCAAATGGTCGGGAAGAAGAGAGAGCAAAGGCAAGGGACCGCCGAGTTTGGTTGTGCGTGGAGACTGCGGGACTAGACACGAATCGGCTCGGGTCTTATATAGACGACTCCCGAGAATTTGCTTGCTCGCTCGCAGGTGGATTTGGGTATCAGGACTCAGACCGGGCTGCACGGTCAGCAGAAGCGCGGCTGCGCAGACAACCACAACGGCGACTACTCCAAACTGCACAGCAGTGTCGGCGATATCGTCGGTTGTTTGGAGAGACTAGCGTGTATACTTCCCAAGACTGGCCGTTGGAGGCGCAGGGAGATGTAGTGTGAATGCCGAGCTAGGTTGCCGCAAGAGAACAAAAAGAAAGTTCAACAACAGGGCAAAGGTAGAAAAGTGCGGCTTGGTGCTGGGCAATGGAGTATACATAGAGGTACTAGCAAGGCAAGGTACCTCTTTAGTCCCTCGTCGATCTGGAGGACTTTGACGCTTCTCCACACCCACCCACAGCCATTTTAGATCCACGGGCGACGTACCTAGACAGAATGGACCTCTTGGCTTAAGACACACATGGGGTGCTATGTGAGGTGTGTATTGAGAAACAATGTTCAGATGGACTGGGGGTTTAAGCAGGGCCGAGAGATCTACGGCGACCCCCCCCCACGAAGCGAGACGCCTTTCCAGCGCCAGGATCGGATCGCGGGCAGACAGGGGGCTCGGTGGATCTTGGGATCCGGAAGGCTTGCCGGGCTGAATGTGAATCTGTGGCGTACGTAGAACCCGAGCCGCGCTGATGATGATGTGTGACGTCTGAATTGGCGATGGCTTACTTGTTTTGCGGTGGTGTTGACCAGGCGGAGCGTGTGGGATATGCCCCCTCCGTAGCATCGACGAATAAAGAGTTGATGCTGAGTTTTCGAGCAGTTCTCTCCGGACAGAAGCTCATTCCATAACCCATTGTCAGACAAACCGGTAGGGAGAAAAGAAAGAAGTCACAGAATCCCCTGCCCTCGGTCACAGACTTGGGCAATGGCCGTGCTAATGTCGAGGTCATTGTCAACCGATCAATCATAGCCTCGGAAGCTAAGGTGAGGCCGGGACTGGCGAGATGTCGGGCTAACAGTCTCAATGTTCGAAACATTGGCCGTAGACCAGACCCCTTGAGCGATGCCCCAAGAACCGTTTGTCTGGCAACGAAACCGCTCTGCGTTTTTGTTTCTCCTGTGCAGCAACATCCTCTTGTTTTTTTCCTTTTCATTGGTGATTCAACCATCTGTCTCTTCTGCCTGGTTACTCGGTAGCTTGCAGGTCCGCATGGTCGGCCCGTGCCTCGGCATGGCGTTTTGGTTTTGGCAGACCCGGTCTTCTGAGGTAATGGAAAGAGAAATCTGAGAAATAAAACGGATGAGGCTCCGATCTTGATGATGACAGGTAAGAGGGCCTAATGGGGCGATGGTACTAAACAGCTTGGCTCGCATGGGGACCTGGACAGCACGAACAAGATGCCGAGAACCCTGGATAGCGTTGGAGCCAACATCAAACAACGAGCGACAAGAGCGCCGACCTCTGAATACTTGGCGCGGAAACCTCTGCCTGTTCGTTGAATCCGTATTATGGCATCCTTGGTCAGTTGTCCGGTACGAGGCGATGGGCGGGAAAACGGTTGGTGTGTCCAGCGTGATGATCTCCAGAGAAAACAATTCCACTGGCTGCCCTGCCCTGCCCTCCCGGCCTCACAGCAAGACCCTCTCTCGCTGGACGTGAAAAACGTGCCGTCCCAAAATGGCAGGGTTTTAAAGTGGACCACACCTTCCCTCTACATTCGTCATGCCTGGGCCAACGACCAGATGGAACCAGGGCTCTGGCCCTGGAACTCACTCACTAAGGGTGCGTCAAATCATCGCTCTGTTTGAGACCGTCACGTCGCCCGGTTTGGCAAGTACTTCCTTCCCTGGTCCCAAGGGAAAGGGCAGATGCTTCAAATGTCTCACAAGTGCCAGCCGCTAAGCTGTCGGGCTGCTGCGGACTTGCGGTAGGTACTCTTGTGGGAGGAAAAAAGCAACTGCCGGCGTAAAAAAAAGGGGCCCCACGAATCACTGAATGAATCAGTCAGTGTCCAAGTTCTTGGCTGAGAGAATATTTACACCTCGCGGTGGTGGTGAAAGGAGCCGGAGTGCCCGCAGGATGTTCTCTCCACTATCGCGTGTAGCGGCTGCAGCACCTGGGCTACCTCAGCAGCGCAGAACAGGATGGAAGAAGATGAGTGGTTTTTCGGTCCCAACCCTTCCCATCTCGAAACTCCCGCCAGAACGCATTGGGCCGGCCCGATATCCATTTGTTTGAAGGAATGGAAAAGGCTGTTGGAATCCACTGTCTGAGCGTTGGATCCTAGATAGCTAAATAGCAAGAGAAGAGATCAATTACAATTACCCTTCCCATTATTGCCCTACTGCTGCTTCCATGTCTCCCACGCCTCGTGCAGGGCATTGGTGCCATAAGTGCAACCACCTCCGACAGAGCAGAACTGACTTTTTTTTCTTCCCTTGGACGGAGATGGAGGTCGGCACTTGGTTGGTTGGGCCACAGGTACTGGTACAGCGGTGCTGTCGTGCATTAGGTTAGTATATCTGTTATAATGAAGGAGGGCTCATGGATCCCGGATCCATGTCGTTGACTTAAAGATGCCAGGGGAAGGGGTGGAATGTCGTCAAACAGAGTCCAGAGATGCGAGGTAGATCCCTGTCTGTGCTCGCATGCACCGCGTCGTATCTGACCGGGGGGTTGGCCCAAAGCCAGCCAAAGAAGCCGTTGCCGCCCAATCAGAGGCTGTATTGCGGCAGCTTCTGGAACCCCCTTTGCTGAGGCCGCGATGTACTTCCACTACCTGATGCGCATGACAACACGGCCGCTGGTACTCAACGACGTTCGACAGAGATGCATTGCATGATGAACCAGCTGCGAACCTTCGTTTTTTTTCTGGCGCGGATATGCCTCACTTCCATCATCCGCTTCGAGAGCGTGAGCCGACGAGGGGCATCCACTCGTCCGTTGTTGACTCGGTTTGAAGGCAGGCGGATTTCGGAGTTGACATGCGATGGAGGCGTCTTCGATTCAGCTCATGATGCTTCACGACTTTAGAAACATTGCGGGACTGCGACATCACCAGGTTTGGATTCAAGTGGTCGCCAATCTCCAACCTTAGGAAGCTGAATGCTTTTGTAGATCACCTAAATTGATGCTGTTGGTGAGTCTGAATCACAAACGTCGTACTGGCACTAGATCCTGTAGATGATCCGTTCTAAACATATCCGGCACTCGGCGTCATCTACACTAGCCTCTACCTAGCTCTGGATCAACTAGGCAATTCTGTCCTTTCAGCTGTCATCGCACTGGACTAACTCCGGACCCTCGACATGGTGTAACGGTTTACCTTATTGAGCATGCGACTTCCTCATTGGGCTTTTGTGTTTGAGTGTGTTTTAAAGATGACAACAGTATATCGAGGTTGGAATCTGAGGTGAGTCGTAAGCCATGTGATTTGCATCAGCTCACATGGAACATCCCAACACTACGAAAACATCCCATATACACTTCGGGAACCCCTTCTCGAAGCCTTGTGTGACAACTAGTCAAGCCACAATGTCTGTGCGAGGCGGCAGCCCACCTGTTCTTCCTCAACGGCGGAATGAAACCGCGGATCAGTGGAAAGCAAGCCGTTGCCGGAGGGCAAACAGTCACCAACTCTGGTGACCGCCGAGTAACGTAATATAGAACACATCAACACCAAGCCGTTCATATGTCGTTTTCTCTCTACCCGCGGGCTGGCCGTTCGTATCGTCGCACTTTGGTGGGTCGCTGCATGGTCTAGTTTTGACAGTCAGGGGGATCGTGGTCCTATACCTAGCCAAGGCCGTGGACAATTGGAAACACGTTCGTGCGGCTCATATATCCCGTCTCCCAAAATCAACAAGTCGCCGACATGGTTTGACCGAGAGCCAATCGTCAAGCCGGAGACTGGGTTATGGGCAGGGGCAGAAGCCATGCGGACCGAGGACTTGCCACGTTTCTGTCCCATTTCCTTCCGCCCGAGCAGCACCTCCGGTTGGCAAACCGAATTCTCACTGGCTCTCCTCGTCGCCTCATGTTCGGCGGCGTGCCGTGTTGGCTGACCTGCCGAGACCTCTCAGGCATAGTATGGCTCGTTATAGATGCCTTCTCCTTCCCTCCTTGACTGACTGGGCACGTTGTGTTCTATAAACCGGAGGGCCCCGATGGCTTTGTATTGTACAGTTATGGGAGTGCCCGTGCGAACAAGCCCTTGAGTCGCATCTATGGTTGGTAGTTTGGTTGTTACAGAAGTCAGGCTTACATATAGAGAAAAACTGGGGCAGCACCCTGCCCAGGCTCGATCCGTTATGCGAAACCCAAGACAGCTCAATGCTTCCACTAAACCGCTCTATCTCTTGACCCACGCAGGTCTCTTTCTCGCCTTCACGCGGCCATGCTTCTTTCTCTCCACCCTTCTTGGATCGCGTGTGACACAACCAGCTACAGTAAACACCAGTCAGCATATATCCCATAAAACCGGAACCAGTGTGAAGCCACGCATGCCAGCACTTGCCTCTTCTCAATGCAGGTTTCAGAGCAGGCTCATGAACCATGAGAGCTCTTGAAATGGCCAAAGTAAGGGCCTCCGCCTGCCCTGTGGTACCGCCTCCTTCCACGCGTGCCCAAACATTGTATTTGTCCATGCGACCAGTGGCATGGAGCGCCCAGACGGCACTCTCGCGATCATGAACCCGTCCGAAATAATCCGCGAGGGTCTTGCCATTGACCAGAACCTCCCCATTGCCCTCCACAAGCCAAGCCCGGGCCGAAGACGATTTCCTCCTGCCGCTGCCCAAAGACCGCCCGTACTTATCAAGCGATTTCTTGACAGTTTCGTTGCTGAAGGCCTGGACACTCCGCTTGAAGTCGTTCAACGCCTGAATAACCGGGGCAGGCTTGATTTTCGGGTGAATCTGATGTAACCGCTTCACGATGGCGAGGCACTTTACATAGTCGGTTGCCTTGACCTGTTCACCGACGGCATGTCTGAAATCGTCCAGGGTCTTCCAAGACACGCGCTCGACGGCGTTGGCGGGAATGGTGGGGAGATTTCCGTAGATCCTGAGGAGCTTGTCGAGGGCGAGATAGCTGTCGTTGAACCGCGATGTGCGCGAGAAGTAGGATGGCGATACTGGTACCGCGCGGGCGTGTCTGGCTCGAATCGTGCCCTCGAGCTTCACGGAATCGATCTCGGGAGCGGTCTGGAAGGACTGGGTGGACAGGCACCTAGAACCCTTAGCGTTTAGTCGCAGTGCCTGAAATTGTTGCTCGAGAGACCGAGGTCTCACGGTTCCCCGCATGGCGACGGCGAGCCCTCGTCTTGTTGTTGGTATTGAGGCCATTATCGCGTGGTGCTATCTCCCATCGGAGGGTGTCGGCCGCCGGGAGCTCGCCACGGAACAACCGCAGGAATTTTTCCAGTCGTTGGTGATTGAGCCGGGAGCTCGGGCCACCTCTTTACATGCCCGTTCACAAAGCGGCGGGCATCGACCTCTCAGCCTCGCGGGTTGGGCAGCGTGGCCTGAGCACCCAGTGTCCCGCACACACGCCCGCATGTATTCACTGCCTGCCAGAAATGGCTTAGCAAAGCAGCAGGGACACACCCCACCAGAACAATCTACCCCGCCAGATAAATTTTATTACCCTTCGCACATTGTCGCCTTGACTCCCCTCCAACCCAATTCCCCTCTCCGAACCTTCACATCCAGCCAGACAGCTAGCACCGCAGCAAAGATGGCATTCGGAAAGCTCTTCACATACCCGGTAAGCCCATCTCCCGCTAGAGATGTCCTTTTCTGTGAAGGCTGCTCAATAACTAACATGATGGGGTGACTCAGGGCAACCCCCGCTCCACGGCCATCCGCGCCGTCGCGAAGGCCAACGGCCTCGACCTCCAGGAGGTTGAGACTGACCTCGCCCAGCCTACCGAGGAGTTCACCAAGGCCAACCCCCTCAAGAAGGTCCCCGCCTTCGTCGGCGCTGACGGCTTCACTCTCACCGAGTGCATTGCCATCGCCATCTATGGTATGTGGTATTCAGGCTTCGATGGCGATATTGCCCCGCTTTCCATTTCCAGCTCCCTTTGGCGACATCCTGTCCGGTGTAGCCTCTCCTGCCCTCTACAACCTGATGACCTAGACATTCTTTAACAGTTATCCCTATCTGAATAACCGTGTTGAACTGGTTTCTAACTTCTGATTGCTTTCTTTTTTCACTTCTTTGTCTGCTTTCGCAATATGGGTCTGGATACCTGTAGCTAACAGATGATACAGTCGCCTCCCAGAACGAAAAGACCACTCTCCTCGGCAAGACCAAGCAGGAGTAAGTCAAAACCCAGACTCGGAATACACCGCAAACCAGATTGCTAACATCTCATGTTTGCAGCTATGCTTCCATCCTCAAGTGGATGTCCTTCTTCAACAGCGAGGTCCTCCCCAAGCTCGGCAACTGGTTCCGCCCTCTCCTCGGCAAGACCACCTACAACAAGAAGGCTGTTGACGAGGCTGAGAAGGAGACCCTCGCCGTCATCGCCGTTGTCGATGCTCACCTCGCCAACAACACTTACCTTGTCGGTGAGCGCATCACCCTCGCCGATCTCTTCGCCACTGGCTTGATCGCCCGCGGCTTCGAGTACTTCTTCGGCAAGGAGTTCCAGCAAAAGTACCCCAACGTCACCCGTTGGTACTCTACTGTCTACAACCAGCCTATCTACTCGGCTGTTGCCCCCGAGTTCGCTCTTCTTGATGCCCCCAAGTTGACCAACGTCGCTCCCAAGAAGGCCGAGGCTCCCAAGCCCGCTGCCCCCAAGGCTGCCCCCAAGCCCGCTGCTCCTGCTGCCGAGGAGCCCGCTGAGGCCCCCAAGCCCAAGCACCCCCTTGAGGCCCTTCCCAAGGCCACCTTCCCTCTTGATGAGTGGAAGCGTCAGTACTCCAACGTTGACACCCCCGAGGCCCTAAAGTGGTTCTGGGAGAACGTTCCCTTCAACGAGTACTCCATCTGGAAGTGCCGTTACAAGTACAACGATGAGCTTACCCTGACTTTCATGTCCAACAACCTCATCGGTGGCCTTAACACCCGCCTCGAGGCTTCCCGCAAGTACCTCTTCGGCTGCGCCTCCGTCTACGGCACCAACAACGACTCCATCATCGAGGGTGCTTTCGTCATCCGCGGTGACGACTACGTCCCCGTCTTTGACGTCGCTCCCGATTATGAGAGCTACGAGTTCACCAAGCTCGACCCCTCCAAGCCCGAGGACCGCGAGTACGTGGATGCTCAGTGGACCTGGGAGAAGCCCATTGTCGAGAACGGCAAGGAGTACCCCCACGCCTCTGGCAAGGTTTTCAAATAAACAACCAAAAATTTCAAGCGCATTTCGGGCCGGCAGAGGTGGTGTGCTAGACTATGGGACATGACTGATGAATGGGTTGGACGGGGAATTACGGGACGGGTTCTGAGCCCATTTGGTTCATGTGTGATTTGATATCGCCAATAGTCAGGTCGCTGATGAGCGTCGACTAAGCTAGACACTTGCTACTGCGTCCAGAATAAAGTTCTTTGATTCCAGTTTGTTTTGTCGTGTAAAGTATCAAAATTAGTCAAGAAAAACAAAAACAAAAACATTCAGAAATATTGAGATACCGTGGTGACTCGGCAGTGCCTGCGATGCTTTTTAGCATGACAGGGATTTGATAGAGATGTTGGAAGCATTCTTGGTATGGTATGTGACTAATGAATGTACAATTTAGGTAATACACTCCCTCCAACCATTCCCCCTCTCCTTTTAAACACTTGCTTATCACACTACCGCTTTTATCATGATCTTTCTCTATTCCTCTACCTATATCACGCTGCAGACAATATAACTGGCACTGCAAAAGCAAGTCATGCATCCCAGCTATCTTTGAGGCCTATCAACTATTTTTCGAGACTACGTTCTTCTGCAAATTAACCACAACTACAAGTTTTACAGACTCGCAGCACCAGTTATCTTTCTCCAGGGCATGCCGTATGAATATACGCTTGTTGATTTACACTACAACCGCTATTTTTATCTCTATTGCCCTCTCTTCCCCTACCCGCTGTCTACAGCACCGTCACGTTCTTGTTATTCATACAGTGATTAAACGGCTTCTGTCTTCTCCGCCGCGGCAAGATGAGGTACAGGCTCTGCACAAGCTCATCCAACTCGCCAACTTCCCCCTCCTCAACCTTCCGAGGTGTACCATCCCCATTGAGGACCTTGCAAGGCAGCTGATGATGGTTCCTCACCTCCGGTATGCAGCCCGTCACGTACCTCCCCTACGGCATGGCCTTGTCCAGCCTCTTGCTCCACTTCGCCACCTTCATGTAGCTCTGCTCTTTCTGCCCCGTCGTCCTCTTCCCAGGTCTCCCGTTCCACCTATACACCCCCCTCCAAACCCCTTCCCCCACATCCACCCAAGCCCCCATCTCCTAAAATTCGTCCTCCCCATTCATAGGCTTCTCCTCCCTATTCATAGGCATTCTAAACGGATGAACCCTCATAAGCCTGCTCACATCCTCCGTCTTGGCCAGCTCGTTCAAGTAATTATGCACAGCCGGCAACACCTGCCCCTCCCATCTCCCCTCCTTATTCCCCGTGAACTCCGGCAACGTCACCGCATTGTGCGGCTCGCTCCTCGCCTTTTCCTTCGAATCATCAATCAGCACCGTGTTCCCCTGGTGCCACATTCCAGAGGGGTTGATATGCTGATCCCCCCACACCGTCTCCAGCCGTTTATACACCTGTACCTTTCTGTTGTAGTCCTTAGCCGTCAACCCGAATTTATCCCTTCCCCACATGGCCAGAACCCTCTGCTTTTGGTCGTCCGTCAGTAAATCCCTGCACATCTTTTCCACGTTTTCTGGTCGGGCAGAAGACCAGATGACGACGGAAAATGTGTCGATACAGTACGTCACGAATTTCTCCGCATGAGGACGGCGAATGTAGTGGTCAGATCTCCTAGAGTGGGGTCGATGAAGGAGGGTGCCGTTGAGGTCGATGACGAGGAGTAATGAGTGCGGAGAGGGGGAAGGGGCAGGGGGTATGTTGGCGCGGGCGAGGTAGGCTTCCGTAGGAACGGGAACGCCGCCTGACTCTGCGGATGGGGCAAAAGGTAGGAGGTCGGGAAGGGTTGATTGCGCCGGTAGGCGAGCTCTGTCCATGTCTCGGGAGAGGCCGGGAGGGGGTTTGGGGGGAAGGTTGCTGTTTGGGAGTTGGTTGGGACCACCACCACCGCCGACTGGGGGCTGGTTTGGGTCTGCTCCTCGGGCAGCTTTTCGTCTTTGACGGGGGGTGAGGTACTCGCCTCCGGTGCCGCCGCCTTCGCTTTGGCCTTTGCGGTTACGCTTGTTCTTCTTTTTGTTGTGAGAGCGCTGGCTATTTATGGGGCTAGAATCAGGACTGGGCTGAGCGTTGGGGTGGCGATATCTGGGAACGGAATCAAACTGGGCTGGTGGCTGTTGATAAGCCTGACCTTCGGCAGAGTTGAGGTCGAAGGAAGGTGCAGATGGGTTCAGGCCATTGGACCAACCTTGGCTGAACCCTTGATAGCCTGGATTTTGATCCATAGTAGCTGATCCAGATTTGGAGGTGTCAACAGTTGGGTGATTGCTCTCTGTAGCCGGAGCTGGTGGTTCGGTGTACCCTGATCCGGTCAGCAATGAATGAAGTGAGTGCTGGCGTGGTGTGACTTACAATTCTGTGATGACAACAAAGACAGTGGTCTTGTTGATAGTTGTGATGTGGGTGATGAAGACAACAGCGATTCCCCTTTGCCAGATAGTGAACCTTTCTGAGAAGTCGATTTGCGATCGGGCCTTTCTCGAGCCGATTTGCTCAAACCTCGACTCTGATGGATATTGCCAATGAAATATGGCTTTGAGTTAAGTCGGAGTTCTTGAGAAGAATGCAATGATAGCAGTCTGTTACTGTTATCAAAAACTCGGATTGGCAAAAAGAGTTGCTGTGGTTGAGATGCTCGGTCGAGAAGGTTGGCAAGCAGAGGGTTTGTTTGCCGTCTTATCATTCTAGAAAAGAAAAACCTGATTCACAGTTCATAGGCAGGAGCGACCTGATTGAACGATATCGGTTGCAGACCAGATGATCAGTCCTTGGGGCTATCTTTCCTGCTTATCGTCGATAAGCCTCCGTCGTCCCTTTCTTTTAGTGTAGCCTTCATCAAAGCAATAGGCAGGCACCATGTTGGTCTGTTGTAGGCCTCAGGGTCAAAAGCCCAGTTTTTCCAGACTGGCCAATGAGCGTCAGGCATCTGGAGCAGAAAGGGTCTGCAGGCTCAGCTTACAGGAACACTCACGTGACTTGGGTCGTGCTTCTTTCAACCTCATTACACCACCGGTAATCAATCAAATTTCTTTCAAAATGTATAGGGTCAATATTTCTTAGGCTGGCTCCATCAGATAAATAGTTGGCACGTTTTGATATGTCTCTTTCTTGGTTGGCATTCAAAGTCTCTAGTAAATCAATCACCTACTTGATCACTCATAGCGTCTGAATCAACCTCTCACTCACCACCAGCTCATACACACCTAGTCATCACGTACCTGACTCTTCTCACTCACACTCGCACCAACTTCACACCCCCAACCCATATCCATTCGCTCCTCTTGAAACCCATATCTCCATCTCATATACACCCCCCGCCAGTCAACCGACCAGAAACACCTTGTTCCCTGATCGACAGTGCATTATGCACGCGTCTGTCTGTCCGCCTTCCGTGAGCTAAACCAGGTTTAGTCATGATATAACCCTTAGCCTTAGCGAATATCACCTCCTTCAGTCATCACAAACTAAGCGATTTCATTCACAATGTCGGCACCACATCTCCAACAAAAAGCAGAAAGGTAGTGTGCCGTTTCACGGTATCACGGCAATGTAGTCCTCCGGCTGGTTAGCTATTGTCCATGCTTGTCAATATTCTTCGAGGATGATTTGTACCAGTACATCTATCATTCTCAGAACCACACAGCATGAATGTCACAGTCAGCGACAAAGAAGCATAGCCGATGATGTGAACGGCTTTCAGCCAGTGGGGGTATTAAACTATTTACTAGTATTCCTGTCTCCTTACTGCCCTTGTCAAGCAAATAAGTAGCTGTTATATCCTCCAACCAAGCTTCTGTAATTTAGTTTGCTCCTGGCAAGCAACTCCCTTCCCTTTCCCCTTTATGTAAGGCCAGAACGAGCGATAATATGCCTTGAAGATCCCCAAAGGCCCCAAAAATATTGGCCAACCGGGCGCCGTGAACGCCCAAAAATGAAGAAGCAGAAAAACGAAAAGAAAAGGTATGTGCAATGGAACAAAAGGTCCTCCGATATAAGTACAATCTTCATCATATCATTCCCTCTGGTTGGCTTCTGTTTATGAAGAGGCGTAGAACCAGTATCTATTTCAAAGTTAGTTTTACTGATTTAGTGTTTCTTGAGAACCTTGAGGGCTACTCACTGTGTGGAATATTGAATCTCAAACGACGCTGGCATCCCCTTGCAAGTTGCAGGAGCGCTGCCACCGACAGTCTCAAGACGATAGACCTCTTGAAGACCACCAGTGTTGGTACCCTTGGCTGCCAGTCTGAGCCATGGAACAGCAGCCTCTCCCTTCTTGCCCTTGGCGGCAGTCAGCGGCGCCGCAGTGCTGGCGTTCTTGCCGAAGGTGCCCTCGCCCAGGTGCCATTGGGGGGTATCTAGGCCGAAGAAAGGGGTGGTGCCGTCGGTAAAGTAGTGGATGCCGCTTACGGGGAGATCCGCGGGGGCGAGTCTTTGAAGAGCGTCATTGTCGGCAACATCAAAGTGCAGTGACGCGCGGGTAAGCATGGCGCTCACGTCAGGAAAGGCTGATGTGACACATGAGGCGTTGTAAAGGGTGGCAAGGGCGCCGAATGCTTGTGGCACGGCAGTGGAGTTGCTGAGATCGCATGTGTAGTTTTGTGTTCCGCGGCCAATCGCGACATGCTTGAGGTAGAGACCAGGTGTTGGTTGACCAAGGGGTTCAGCCTCTGTTGTTGGGTTAGTATGTCTCACAGAACTGCCGAGTGCGTGATGCTCTTACCGATTGGAAGAGAAAGCTTTGAAAGGTCGCAGATAGGTGCCGACCCTGCTGCCCGGTTTTCTTGGACCTTGGTCGCCAGGATGTTGAAGTAATCTGAGATGGCCTGGATATTGGGAGCAAGAGCGGCGGTGAATTTGGGGAAAGCGGGAGCTGCCCAGGTAGAAGCGCTGAGCGCAGGGACTAGGAGGAGTGGGCAGCGCATGGTGATTTGTGTGCTGGTGGTGGGAGTAGAAGGTGAGCTCGATTGGTGGAGTTGTATGGTATGGTAGATCGACTATTGAATAAGCCGAGTCTGGTCGTCGATGGGTATCACAAAGAAAGAAAGGAAACCCAAAAGAGAAACCCAAGCAGAGAGACCAAAGAAAGATATGGAAAACTGAAAAGGAAAACAAGGTCTGAACTAGACCAGATGTTTCATGCAAGGGGATGTGGTGTAGAGCAGATCACGAACGCCATCATTGGGGAAACAAGATGGGCTATATACAAAAGCCACGAGAAACAACAGGCGCGCACAAAGGCCGGCCAACCGCCTCGATATGCTGGAGGGTAGCACCCGTCCTTCCCATATTTGGCAAGGCGGGAGGCGGGAAGAGAAAGACGTGTGCCCCCGGTGCCGTGGCCGAAGACGCACGTAGTCGCTGGTCCCGATGAGCAGCCGCCGAAGACCCAGTTACGACGACGACAAGACATGCTCAGAGGTGGGATGCTGTCTTCTGAATGGTTGATGGAGATCGACATCGACATTGGAGGGGTTGGATAACCCCTGTCTGTCAGACCCTGGCCGCCCGTCTTGCAAGCGCTGGGACCGTGCGCTTCCACCAGAGTTAATTCAAACACCCTTGGCAATGAGGGGTGTGTGGAGCGTGTAAATTGATGTCCCTGGCAGACCTCATCCCACCACCGTTTAACAACATGGAGACAGTCCCTGTCTTGGGCATTCCATCGTTGATCATCCGGCTCATCGGAATCTACTATCCACTAATTCCCTTTACCCACAAGACCAGCGACAACTCTAACAACTTCAACGATGATCTCCCAAACATTGGGACAAATCTCGAAATTCTAGAAGGGCGTGAGGCGTACACCTAATGATCTTCCACCCCCCAAAGGCAATATTGGGAAAATTTGCCCGCTATGGCATGCAATCACTTTTATTAACCCACATTCTTACTCACCTCATTGGCTGGCTTACACCGCGGCACAGCTATTTTTACCCAAAATACCTTCCGTGTCTTCCCCTGTCAACACCAAGCTTTTAGCCGCCGGTGCACCCTTTCATCTATTTAGCTCTCTTCGGTCGACCCTGCTGTCCAACAGCCGTCTTCCCTCGCCGTCAATGTTGCATACGGAAGGTCGCCTATCCAGATTACCTTCCCCCTCCTTTAACGACCAAAATCGCGGGTAAATTTCTGGGCAAATCTGCTTCACCAGATTTCTTTCTGCGCGTCCGCGCCTATTTTTGCGCTGCCAACAGTCTCCTTCCTTGTCGATGGAAGGAGTGCTCACGGAAGCTTCAGTATCCGGCGTTCTTTTAGATTTCTGGATGCCAATCATGCCTCCTTGAGGGATTCATTCCAGCGTAAGATAGGAAAATCCGAACAACTCACGATGCAGTTGCTCTGCATGCTTCTTTTGTTTCGTTTCAACAACCTGCAGAAGACCACAAAATCCAACCAGCGGAATCTTCCGATGGGGAATAATTCCAAGAGCATTCAATTGGTGATGACCTCCCCGCAAGTCCCTAGCCGCGGGAGAGAAGCTTGGCTCTCCTGCAACCCGATGGCCAACCGTTTACACCTTCCACACTGACATCTCTACCGAACTCAAGGTAATGGGCCACCTTCCTCGACCTTGAGTCCGCCCGTTCCACGCGCCCACGGGACATGAAAGCCGGGAAAACGCAACCTCACTCGGGATGGAAGACCAGGCCGCAGAGTTGGCCAGCGTTTAAAATCCAAGCGAGCTACTGTCTGCCGCTTGTACAACAGACGGGCGAATTGTGTAAGGGGAATGCTGGGATTTGATTGGCTGAGTCCCACTATGACTTTGGGCAAGTCGTCCACAGGACCGCACACACAGGCACATACATATTGGACACATCCGCAGATGCCTTGATTCTTGGAAGGTTGAATAGTCCGAGGAGAAAGACAAATTTTCTTGTCCTGGGAAAGACGGGATTTGAACCTGGGAATTCGAGGGTCATTTGTTGCCTGAGCTCAGCTTGGTTCCGAAGATACAAGTCCCACGAGCACCAGGGACCAGGACACAGCCCAAACACACAAAACTGTAACACCAGCCTTCAAATCTGGTCTAAATTGTTACCCATACTCAAGAAACTCATTACAACATGGTAACATATCTCTTCTACCTTTCGCCCACCGTCCCATTATCAAACCTCCTTCCCTTTTCACAACTTGTTAAGGAAAATGATATGGTACAACAGTACGACGCCACATGAGGCCACCCATCATCTTTTCCAGGCCCACACACATAAACCGCAGTGCAACCAAGAAAGCCTTCCAACACAGCCAATCTCCGGTTCCGAGCATCATCCAGCCGCCCGCCGGAGTCTACCGACCACACCTCTTCCTCCCGCAACCGCCCTCGGCCCAATAGTCCGCAGCCAACTCCTTGGGCTCCGGACTTGCCAAACCGTGATTTGCATGCCAATTCTCGCTGTTATCAAGGTGTCTAAAGATTAAATCCAAAGAATCGTGACGCGTGTATACTACCACACATACACGTCATCAGCCTGTCGTTCATTCTCACGGCCAGCAGACTCGCATCTACACCGCCAACTCTTGTAAAGTGATCACCAAACCTTCCCACCATCACCACCTCACCATCATCAGGTCTGAAACCCCTGTTCCGACAAACTCCCCGTCCCCCCTCCACTCCCCCCTCCTCCTCCATCCCCAACATCCTCCGCCGCACCCCCCAAATTCCTCGCAACCTCCACCGCCGCCGCCGCAACAACCCGCCTATCCACATCCCCCGTCCCCATCCAAAACAAGCTATAAAACACCATCATATGCAAAACAACACAATAAACCGCAAACAAATTCCTGCTCGCCCTCGTGGCCAGCACCATCCTCGTGACCGAATACACCACCCTCTCGGGGAAACTCAACCCCCTATACGCCCTCGCCGACTCCCTCCCCCTAAACGCCGCAAACGGAGAGATATTAGACTCGTACGCCTTGCGGTACCGGTCCAGCGCTATCCCCGGGCTTTGTGCGCCCCCTCCTCCTCCACCGATAGACACCGAACTTGGGTTCGGGTTGGAATAGGCCGATGACGACGACGTCAAAGCCCCCACCGCTGGCCCGGCACGGTTGTAAGTAGATACGTAGCGGGTTTTCTCATAAAGATTCAAATTGTCGCGTTGCAGAGCGGCGATTTCCTGACGGAGCTGCGAGACCGTTTTGTGGGTTTCGTTTAGTTCTTGCTCGAGCTGGGCGTTGCGCTTCTTGAAGCGGTCACGCTGGGCCGTGATCATGGGTAGGATGCCACCGCCGCTGCTGCCGCCCGTGGGTCTGTCTTCAAAGCCGCCTCCGCCGGGGTTGAACCCGCTGATGATGGAGGAGGTGGGGGAGGTGCGCCCATTGCCTCCGCCTGGTCTTCGGCCTGGCGCCATTGAAGGTGCGTAACGGCTGACGTAGGTCCCTGCTACGGAAGCGCCTGAAGGAAACGCGTTGGGTGCCTCGGCTTGGATGGTCGAGAGCTCGTTTTCGAGCTTTTCGTTGAGGTTCTGGGACTTCTCCAGCTCAGCATTGGTCCGGGAGAGCTCCTCTTGGAGGTTTTGGAGCCTGGATTGAAGGTCTTGGTGTGACACTCGGAGAATGGTGAGTTCGTCGCTCAGCTTCTTGTTGCGCGCAAGAAGGAGCTGCTCAAGGGTGCCTTTGCCTTGTCCGCCGCTCTGGTCTGTGGACATGTCTCGTACTTCGTCATCATCGCCAGTGGCAAACTCGATGCTCTTCAGCACTTCCAGCTCTTGCTTTACTTCGTCATAATCACTCCATTTTTGCACCTTGGCCTTCAAACTGTCTCGCTCTTCTTTGAGTAAGCCAACTTCACGCTCCAAAGCGCGCAGTTTAGTATCGAGACCTCGCTTGAGCCCTTCCTTATCCACGCGCGCCGCCTCCAGCTTTCGAATAAGTGATGAATTCTCTGATCTCATCCTCATATACCCGGGGTCGTCTTCCAATGAAATTGCAGCTTGTGTAGGAACCTGTGACTTGGCTTGAGCCAGCTCCAGCCTCATCTGCTCGTTGCGAGCCTCAACCTCGGCAAGCCGTGCGCTGGTGCGCTCCAAATCCGAGTGCACCATCTCCAGCTCTGCGCTCGTGACATGGCCCCCTTGACCCTCCTCTCCATCGCCCTTGCCCAACCGCTGGTTGACTTCATAGCTGGCCTTGATCTCGTTCAAAAGACGATCCTGGTTCTCGACCTTGTCCTCCAACGCCTTCTCCTTGGCAGCCCAGTTGTCCTGCTTCTCCTCCAGCACCGCAGTCCAGGATGCCTCAACCTCCTTGACCTTGGTCTCCAAGTTCTCTTCCAACCCCTTCCTCAAGTCGCGCTCTGTTTGCAGTCTCGTTTCGGTCTCTTCGAGCTGGGCAGTCAAGCTTGACACTGTTTTCTGAAGGTGTTCGTTCTCCTGACTAAGCTTTGGTAAGGTGTCTTCAGACACCAGCATAGAATCGACCGAGGCCTCGAGCAATGGGTACGGATCGGGAGCTTCGGATAGGGAGGTATAGGCGTGCAAAAAGGCCGAGTTGACAGATTTCGAATGGTTGGTTAGAAGATCAATGAACGTCTGGTAAGCTGAGCAGAGTCCCTGTTAGCCCCCAACTTCCTCCCTTGAGCCAGGACCAAAACACCAAAATCCCAACTTACCCTTTAGCAAACCCTTGACTTCAGAAAGCTTGCTCGCATCATCCAGCTTTCGGAATTCTTTGGTCTTTGACGCAAGGTCTTTTCTCTGTACTGTCGAGTCTCGCTGGTAGGCAACGATTTCGGAGGCTGTGTTGTCGAGGGTCGAGACAAGGCTCGTGAAATCGAGACCTGATGGAGCAGCAAGTCAGACACGTGCTGATTTCAAACTCGGAATCTAGAAATGAGCCTACTTCTCCATTGCGAGATAGCGTTTTGGAACTTGTTGACTGATTCATTGGTTGACGTTGTCGTCGTCGTGGTCGCCGGCGCGGTGGCAGCCGCCGCGGCGGGAGCTTCTGATGGGGTGTCTTCTGCCATTACGTGGTGTTTGTAGGCGCGATTACTAGATTAGCTATCGGGGACGGCAGCGGATGCCGTGTTGAGGTGTGGCAAGCATTAATGTTGTTATGGTTTGGAGGTTGATGTTTCGGCTGCTGAACAGCTGGAAAGGTGGCCGCTCAGGGACTGTGTGAGGCGCCAAGACTTTGGCCCGAGCCGTGGGGCCGTTCCATGCAGTTGGGGGAGCTTCGTCACCCCAGCCCCATGTGTGGGACCTGGCAGGTGAGCTACAGGGGTGCAATGGGCGCACTCCTACTTGGAAGCTTCCTGCCACAAGGCACATCAAGAAGTCAGCCTCTCCGTAGCAAGTTTCTCGATATAACGACGATACGAGGGTGTTGACGACCACCGGTGCCTACTGTATTCGCAGCATCTTCCCAGAAACGGCGACGATGTCGCGCGAGAGGCCATGGCATCTGAACGGCACAGGAACCACAGGGCAACCACAGCGCCGCCTGGTATAGGACCCTTCGATTTGCGCCCGCTGCTCCATGGCGTCCCCCTGTCAGAAAATGGTGACGAGGAGGATATCCAGATCAACTGCGTGGAATACTTGGGTACGCTATTCCAGTACCAGCCTCTGTGTGGATTAGCAGCTGACACTGTCTCCAATCATCAGACGGAAACCTCTATGTTGGCACTACTGCTTCTGAATTGCTTCACTTCTTTGGCATCCCACCAGACCCCGCCGACTCGAACCAAAATCCCACGTTTATTCTCGCCTCGCGACTGAAACCAGCATCCTCAGATACCAACGGCTCATCGAATGGCTCACGGCCTGGTGTCCAGCAGATTCTCCTGCTGCCCCGCGTCGCCAAGGCATGTGTGTTGTGCAACTCAACCGTATCATTCTATTCACTTCCAGAACTAAGCCCAGTATTTGGAACCACGGTCAGGAATTGCAATTGGATCGGTGGAGTTGATCTGAACGAGGACTTGACTGGGCCGGGGCACGACAAATCAGGATCTGTTACGATACTACTGCACTTGAACCGCAAGATCAGAGTAGTGAGGATTGGAGATGATGCTCCACGTGTATACCGAACCATCGACTATGCCGGGAGCACACTATCTGTACGTAGGGACTCGTTTGCATGTGTGGCGGACTCGAGAAGCTATGCATTGGTGGATATCGACCGGCAGCTGAAGATCCCGCTCATGAGCATATCATCACTTGACGACTCACAGCCAGGAGGTCCCTTCGGGCAGGCCCAAAACATTGCTGGGCCGCCAGATGGAGGTCTTTTCAGGAGTGCTTCTACGGCCTCGCCTCGGCCACCTACTGATGCACATGGGCATTCTAGGAGCACAAGCTTGGGCGATTTCATCTCGAGGGGTATACAACGACGGCAAGGGGAAACTGAAGATCCTGTCTTCCAAGATACGGATGCGCCAACACCGACGCGCAGCCCGGCGCCAGGAGAAGATGGCCCAAATCGGGCCCAGCAGAACCGATCACCGCAGCCCCAGGCGGTATCAGCAGCACAAGCTGCCGGTGCAAATCCACCTTCCCGAACAATGTCACCAGCAAGGCCTGAGACTGTATTGTTGAAACCTCTCATAGTATCACCAACCACAGAAGAGTTTCTTCTCGTGACGGGCACCGGCCCTCTTGACCCGGGTATTGGCATGTTTGTGAATCTCGACGGTGATCCAACAAGGCCGACGTTGGAATTCGACAGGTATCCACGTGAAATTGTGGTTGATGGTGGACTTATTGACCCGTCATCATCACGCCCATCTCTTGGTGAGGCAGAGGAAGGCTATGTTCTTGCGTCCATGGCTAAAGAGCTCGAGGATGGGTTGCATAATGGGCTGGAAATTCAACGCTTTGATGTGAATGTTGGCGAGGACGAGCCAGAAAAATGGTGGTTGGAGGTGGACAACACAGTTTCGAACGAGGCGCCAGGAAATACACCCATAGGCATCCGCTCTCTGCTGCAGAGCGAGGAGATGCACTTTGAGCAGATTGTACAGCGGCTGTGCCAGAGACGATTCTCGCCATTCAGGGGACAATCTACCACACCAACGGTATCGCTAAAAAGTAACGACTCCCGCACCGCGCTTTCCCTTCAACGGCTAACACAGGAACAAGAACTCTTCAACCGTGACGAGTCGGATGACGAGGTGCTCCCACCAGAATGGGAGACTAATCGCAATAAAGAAGGCGAGGACTTTGTCCGGAGGCTGGCGAAGACCTCATCCAGACTAGCCGTATGGGCTGGGGCGAATATATGGTGGGCGGTTCGAAATCCTCTGCTTGTGCAATTAGAGGCTGCCTTGGACGCAGCAGCATCACGGGAGCAGCAGTCTCAGCCAACCACGCTTGAAACCAGATTACGGATATTCTCACTTTTAGAGACTATAAAGGGGCGGGAACCGAAGATGGAGCTTGAATTTTTGACGCTGGGGTATATCAAGCAGCGGGCTAGCGTCATGCTTCTTGTTGCTTTTCTGACGTCGACAGAGACACCTTTCACTGAAGGTCAGACGGCAGCAATGGAAGAGCATCTTCTTGATGGCGACTTGGACGCTAGAGTTGTCTTGTCGCTTATACCCGCTCTCCGGAACGAGATCATTGTCAGCAGACGAGGAATCTGGATATATGGGGGCATCAAAACTGTCGTGGAGGAGTATATATCCCGTGAACAGGATGGATTAGAGAATCAGGGCGTCAGTTCATTGGCGTCTAATGTCCTCCAGTTTCTTCGCCGGTTCCTCACGGCAACCAGGAAAAAGAAGGGGTTTGGGAGCGTATCTGATGAGGTCTTCAGAACTGTTGATGCATCTCTTCTTGTGGTACTTCTAGAGCTGGACAAGGAAACGCCCTTGGGTCAGCTCGGAAGAAGCGGCTCTGTCCGCAAGGAACTTTATGATCTTGTTGATCATGGTGTGGATTGTTTCGACCGCGCGGTGGACTTACTAGAGACCTACCAGAGACTTTTTGTGCTCAGCCGTCTCTACCAACACAAGAAAATGGCAGGCGAAGTTCTCGCAACATGGAGACGCATCATGGAAGGGGAAGAGGACAAGGGCGGCGAGCTTGGGGATGGCGAGCAACGGATCCGGAGCTACCTCTCCAACATCAGCAACCAGGCTCTTGTCCAGGAATATGCCATCTGGCTGGCCGCCCGCAACCCCAAGCTCGGTGTTCAAGTATTCGCAGACGAAAAGGGGAGGTTTCCCGGATTCGAGCATGGCCAAGTCGTCGCTCTCTTGCGAGAAGAAGCCCCTGACGCAGTGGCATACTACCTCGAGCACCTCGTCTTCGGCAAAGGCAATACCGCCTACGTCAACGAGCTCATCACGTACTACCTCGACATCGTCATCACCGACTTGCAGTCCTCCGAAGAAACCCGGGAGATGGTCGCCGCCTCTTATGAAGCCTACCGTGCCCTCCACCCCCCTAAACCAACTTACCTCCGCTTCCTATCAGACAACACCCCACCCAACAGCGAGGTCTGGCAGAGCCGGTTACGGCTGCTCCAGTTACTATCCGGTGGACACGACTACAACGCGACAGCCATCCGCGCCAGGATAGACGACTCGCTATCTACCATCCCGCAACCCAACGGTCACGAAGACTCCAACAACAACGGGGTCAACACACTCCGCCATCAGCTCCTCGTACCAGAATCGATCATCCTCGCCGGCCGCGCAAGGCAACATCGCGATGCCTTGCGGTTGTTAGTCCACCGCCTGGGAGACTACGACACTGCAGTCTCGTACTGTATCCGTGGCGGCGCGGCGCTGTCACCTGGTAGTCGGAACAAACGCCGCGATAGCGATAGCTCCCTCCCGCCTACGTACGAGGAGCAGGTACAACTTTTCAAGTCATTGCTCGGCGAGTTTTTGGCGTTGGAGGACCCAGAGGAGAGGGTGGAGCGCACGGGGAATTTGCTGGAGAGATTCGGGGGCTGGTTTGATATTTTGGAGGTGTTGGAGGTGATACCGGATGGTTGGCCTGTGGAGACGATAGCAGAGTTTTTGGTGAGTGGGCTCAGGAGGTTGGTGGCGGAGAGGTGTGAGGGGTTGGTTGCGAGGGCGCTGAGCGGGACGGAGAACTTGAGGGTTGGGTTTGAGTTTGTGGAGAGGGTGCGGGAGAAGGGGGCTGTAGTTGAGTATCCTGAGGGGGGGGGGGGGGGGGGGAATTTTCTTTTTTTCTACTTTAAAAAAATAATTCATAGAGGGGATTTTCTTGTAAGGGAAATTTGGGGGATATTTACAGGTGGGGGGAGGTGGGGGGTAGAAGGACAAAACGGTGAACATCTGGTGAGAC